ATAGTAACTAGAAAATAATTATTATTTAGTTTTTCTTATTTATAATATTTATACTAATAGTACCTATATAATACCTATAAGATTTTATTATATCTAGGATTTATTAGTATTATCTGGATATTATCTTATATACTAAAATCAGGCTCCTTATATAGTAGGTTAAGTATATTGCTAGTATAATAGGCTTTTATATAGACTATACTTTTCTTTTATATTGGTATATTCTCTTACTCCTTATATACAGAGTTTATTATATATTTAAAAAATATCTAATTCCTTATTTATTATATATTTTCTTATATTCTTAGGTTTATATTCTTACAATTTCCTTATCTTATTTCTAGAGATACTATACTATAACCTGTACTAATCTTTCTTTATATCCTATACTTTAGGATTATTAGTAGTAAGATTATTAGATATTATTTCTATCTATAGTTTCTTATTCCTATATTGCCTCTTTCTTAGTAAGTTTAGTTTTAATTAAGATATTATTTATTATCTGTAATAATTATAATAGTTCTAGGTTAAGGGTAATTATTTTTCCTTATTTTATTATTCCTAAGGTTTAAGGTTCTTTAAGTTTTTTTTATTTTTTAAATTCTTTAATTTTCCTTTCCCTTACTTTATCTTTTTGCTTTTATTATTATACTTAGATATATTTTTTCTTTTTAAGGTCCTATATATACCTATAGTAACTTTCCTTTTATATTCTGTTTTTATATTCCTTTCTTTCTTTTTTAGTAATGCTTTTATCCCCCTTTTATCCTAATATATAAGGTTCTGGCTTTACCTATTTAATGCTTATTTCTTTAATGCTAGGTATATTATATTTACTTTAGGTTATTCCTAGAGTTTAAGTTCTGGCTGCTATTTATAGTTTAAGCTATTATATTAGTCCTAGGGTCTACCTACCTTAGTTAGGGTCTTATAGTTTATATAGCTCTGGGCATTATTATGCTATATATTTAAAGTTATTATAGTTATAGTACTTATATCTAGATATATCTTATAGTCTTTATTTATAGCTATCTAGTTATATAGCTCCTAGTATTATAGGGCCTAACTGTATTTTATATAAGGTATTATTATAATAGTTACCTTACTATAGTCCTTAATTTTAAGGATTACCCTAGTTATTATTATATCCTTAGTTTAAGTAATAGGGGTTAAAGTTATTTCCTTATTTTATCTTTATAGACCTTTTTTTTTTATATTTATACTATCTTTTATTAATCTTGATTATTATTATAATATACTTTATAATATTATTAAGTTAGTCTGCTTTATATAGTTTATCCTTAACCTTTTCTTTAAGTCCTTAGTAATAGACTTTTATAAGAGCTTTATTATCTTACTAAGTCTTAGATATAAGCTATTTAAATTTAGCAAAATATATAGTATATAAATAAGTTTACTTAAGTATTATAATTTTAGTAACTACTTATTATTCCTTATTAACTACTTTAAAGTTATCTTTAAGTATACTTTTAAAGTTATACTAATTAGTAAAGATATTAATAGTCTTTTAATCCTAAATAATCTCTTTATTCTTTAGGTAGTCCCTAAGAATAGGTTTAAACTAGTTCTTAGTATTTCCTTAAATTAAAAGTATAGTAAAGAGTACTTTCTTTATAGTAGTATTTAGTTTAGTTAGGAATAAGTAAAAGTAGCCTTTTATTTAGGTTAGGAAAGGAACTATATTTATAGCTTATCCTTTAAAGGGTTTTAGCTTAGGCAGTTTTAATGCCTTTTTAATATCTTATTCTATTTAGGGGTTACTATATATATTCCCTATAAGTACTACGTTTTATTTACAGGTATATACTTTTATATTATAGATAGTATTATAAAGCTAATAGATCTTAGCTATTATCTTAGTAAGACTAGGTAGTTCTTTAGTATAAGGAGGTACTAGACTATAGTTACTAAATATCTTAATAGTATAATATTACTTAGTTATTTAATGTAATATATTCTAAATAAGAGCTATTAATATATAATAATTAAGGTTTTAAATAAGGAAACTAGTCTATATTAGGTTTATATTTACAGATTATATAGAGTATTATACTAAGTATATTAGTTTAAAGTTATATTTCTTAATAGTTAATAGTATAGGTAAGGCTTATTAAGGTAAAGAAGTATTATTAATAGCTAGTAAGCTAAGTTCTATCTAGTACTAAATAAATATATATATATACTTAGGTAGCTTATAGTATTATAAGTTAGGCTTATAGTAAGTTATAAGTCTATATTATAAGTTATATCTAAGGCTTATAATATATACAGGGTTTAAGCGTAAGTTAGTTGCTAATTAGTGAAAATAAGGTAAGGTCTACGTAACGTAAGCGCTTCTCCCGTTAGGTCGTAACACTTAACTAGCTATTGTATTAAACCCAAAGTGTATTTTCTAACCTTGTAACTAACTTATAAACTTAACTTCGCTACTACCTTTTAATTGCCCTAAACCTTCTTCCCTAATCACACCGATATATATATTATTATAAAACTTTCTTTAGGTTAAGCTTTTTTTATATATTAGTATTTTTTAATAAATCTAATAGCTATATACTATACCTAGAAGTCCTTTTTAGCTAAATTACTATCTATACCTTAAATATAAATATAATCTAAGCTAGATTTTACTATAATAGCTTTATAGCCTTTTCCTTTTTTTATTTTTTTATTTTTTTATTTTCTTTAAGGTAAATAGTATACTCTTTTCTTACTAAGTAACTTAAATAACCCTTATAGGAAATTTACTATAGGCTACTATATAGGTAATAGTCTTATAGTTAAAAAGAGTAAGATTAATAAGAAATTTACTGCTAAGCTAATAGAAGTCCTTTATATAAATAAATAATATAGCTTCTTTAAATTACCTTTCTATAGCCTTATAGCTACTTATATTTTTAAAGGTATTTTTATATTAAATTATAACTTATAGTATAACTATAGCCTTATTAGTATAGTTATTAATAGCTACTATTTAAGGAGGTAGATATAAAGTAAAGATTTCTCTTATTATTATAAAAGTTATTATCTTCAAGATTAGAGGTATTTATAGTATTAAGTTAATCTTTCTTAGCTAATAGATTAGAGTATTTTATATACCTTTAAGGGTAGCTAAAGAGTTATAATCTAGGTTTTTCTCTTTTTAGCCTTTAGCTATAGTAATTAGTTAGTTATTTAGTATAATATCTAAGTTATAAGCTAGATATATTATTTACAGTTAAGACTTGTAGCTAAGAGCTTAATCTAGCGGACAGAACTTAGCCTTGACTGGCTGAAGCTAACCTCCTAATGTCCCTCGCCACGGCCGCTCCGATAAGCGGCTACCCCACCCCGCGGAAACATTCCCATTTCGCCATCTCACTAACAGCACAATATCATAACCTCCCCCGGGATCAGTCTCCCTCACGAGAAGAAGCAATCAACCCAAAACCAAATCAATCCAATTTCCCTTCATCTCTCTCCACTTTCCTATCTAAGATGCCCAAAAAAGTCGAGCGAACACGGACTTTCACAGGCTGTCGAACATGTCGTTCGCGCCACGCAAAATGCGACGAGGCTCAGCCCGAATGTGGAACCTGTGAACGGCTGGGGCTTGCGTGTGGAGGTTATGGAGCACGGCTGTTTTGGATCAGGGATGATGCTGTCAGGCCGGAGCTGCAGCAGAGTCATCGGGGCTCGGAGTATCGGTATCCACTATTCTCCGGTAAGTTCTCCGGTCCGACTTGGGGGCTGATGACTGATGAATGTAGAGAGTGAGAGACGGTTGATGAGTGATGAGTTGAAGGGGAGTTTGGGAAAACGAACGGCTTTGGCGTTGTTGGCGGATATTGACTCTGCGTGTGAAAAGAGTGATGTTGGAGATGCGTTGATGAGAGGTCCTTTTGGAGTCTTTCAGTCTGTCGAAGAGAAGGAGTTGACGTTGGATACGACTGAGTGCTCGCCGGATACTAACACTGATAATACATCGACGAGCATGTATGCTGAGACTGATGGTTTCATTGAGGAGATTCAACGAACACATTGGCCGGATCAGTTACCCGAAGACGACCTCGACATTTTCACGCACTCGTTGGACCCAAGTTTCGGCATCAACTCTGAAGAGATGACAGCAGGTGACCAAATGAACATGCATGATTCTATAGCAAACTTCTTCGTCGATGATCCAATGGGTGCTGAAGGATTAGCCCTCTTCAGTCCAGGCTTCATATCCCAAGTCATGGGCAACGACACCACTGCGCAAGAAGACACCATCGACCCAAGCCTTCACCCTCCAATGAACGAAGTAGTCCCATATCCGAGAAACATCACAAGCCCCTCCGGGCTCCCCGAAGAAGCAGAGCCCTTACTCCGCCACTACAGACAACATATCGCCGGCCAACGCTCAACCATGCAGGCAAAACGCAAGTCTCCTTGGGAAATCATCTTTCTACCTTGTGCCCTTGAGACATTTGCTGAGCTATCACTATGGAATGAAGCTTCTCATACCCGCTCTTCGATATTCTATACTCTGCTTGCTCATAGTGCCCTGCAACTGCACATGTCAAAGGCGCCGAATTCTTTGGCGGCGGATTGGAAGGAGATTGGGTTGAAGAATCATGAGAGAGCGCAGAATCATCTTAGGCAGGCGCTGCAGCATGAGATGTTTGGACCGAGACAGGCGAGTTATAAGGAGCTTTTGATGGCTATCCTTGCAATGGCGATGACTTCGGTAAGTTCCTCATTTCCGATGTAATGACCAAGCATTAACAGAGTCAGTTACACAACGGAGCTCGTGCATTCCGTATCTTCCTTCTTGATGCAGAGCGCCTCATCCGTCTTCGTGGTCTAGCAAACCAAGCCCAAAATCCCTTCAAGTCACGTCTTCTGCACCACATGTACACCCACCTCCGCGTCATCGCAGAGAGTATATCCCTCTGGAGTGAACCCCTTCCCGAAAGCTCTTCAGAGATCCAAGGTCGAGAGCAATTCCGAACATTCCGCATTACAGAAGAGGGCTTGAACATGGGTCTTGATCCAGCCCAGGAGAAAACTGATGAGCTTGGATACAATGACATCCATCTTGAAGTTCAAGGACGGTGGACCCAAACTCTTTATCCGGTTATTTATGGGATACCAGAATCTCTCATGACGCTCTTGTCACAAACGGTCTCATTGTCCAACGAGAAAAATCGTCTTGAGACTGTCGCACGCTGCAATCCTTCAATATCAGAAGCTCTCTCCAAACACACCAAAACCCTCGAAAACAGAATCTGGGCATGGCCCTCAACCCTCGATCACACCGAACCCGTCAAAATACCAACGGGCGACGAAGATCTCGTCCGCCATCCCCAAGTCCGCTCCATGACACTCGCAATCCACCAAGCGTTGGTGATCTACTTCTACCGAAGAGTCTACGACATGAACGCCATGATCCTGCAAGACCTTGTCCGTAAAACGCTCGAGTATCTTGAGCCGTGTCTGAGTGAACTGATCGATGATCAGGATTTTGCGACCAGTCTGGCATGGCCTGCTTTTGTGGCGGCTTGTGAAGCTGTTAGTCCTGATTTGCAGGAGCGAGCGTTGAAGTGCTTGGGGGTTACGGATGATAAGGGCGTTTATTTTACGAATAGGCCGGCGGGGGTTGTTGTGCCGTTGATTTGGGAGAGGAGGAAGCAGTCTGGGGATTGGACTACGAGTTGGCAGAGCCTCGTGCAGGAGAGCCTAGCATAGATATGGCATTGGCACTTGATTTGGTTCTCACACTTGCAACGACATGTTCTATTAAACTCTCATAAAGCGATTTTGTCTATTTTAATATTTTAATCATTAAACTCCATAATGCAAAGTCACGTCCATTCAAGCCAACTTGACACCAGCATCCTTCAGAAGCTGCGCAAGCTCTGCCCTCTCATCATCCTCCAAAAGAGCAAAAGGCTTTCGCAGACCCCCCGTCTTCCAACCCTGCAACTCCATACCAGTCTTGATACCAGCAGCATAGTGATGCGCCTCCAGAAACTTGCAGACGGGAAAGATCTTGGACCAGAGCTCACGTCCCTTCTTCAGATCACCATCAACAGCGATGGCGTTCCAAAGTTGCACTGAAAGCTCGGGAATGACATTGGTGGTTCCCCAGACTGAGCCCTTGGCACCAGCGCAGAGACCGTAGAAGGTCAGTGTATCCCAGCCGTTGAGGGCGGTGATGTCGTTGTGATGGTGGAAGAGGAGATCTGTAAGAGCGGGTGCATTTCCAGAAGTATCCTTGAGATACTTGACGCCAACATCTGAAAGACCAGCGATTTCCGCGGGTGATAAGCTTACACCGCTCGCACTGGGAATGTTGTAGTACATGATCGGCAAACCACTCTCCTTATAAATCTCCCCAAACATCTCCCTCAACTGCTTCAGATTAGGGGCATCGTAGAACGGCGGCACAATCATAGTAGCAGCGGCTCCAACTTCAGCAGCGTGCTTAGCGAGCTCTACAACACCAGAGGTGGTGAGGTCGCCAATGCCAGCGATGACGGGGACTCGGCCAGCGGCTGACTTGACGCATTGGTCGAGAACATCTTTGCGCTCTTGCAGGGTGAGGGCAGTGAATTCACCGGTGCTGCCGCCGGGGACTAGGCCGTGCACGCCGGCGGAGATCTGACGCTGGATGTGGGCGTCGAGGGCGGGGAGATCGACTGTGCCGTCGGGTTTGAAGGGGGTTATGAGGGCCACTAGGATGCCTGTGAGTTCTTGGGGAGCCATTGTGATATGATGTGATTTGTATGAGACACTTGGATGAATGAGTGATATGAGATGAATGTTTATGATGAGACTCTTGATTCTTGTTGTCTATTATATGCTTCCTCTTGTTATCACTCCTTTACCAATTGGTATACCCCGCGTTGTTCTCTATCAGTCTCGAGAAGATGGTCTCGTCAAAATAGGTAGGTCTCCACGACGTGAGCGGAGATACCTACCAACCGTCGATTGGTGGGGTGGCTACTTTTCATTGGCAACTTTCCTCTTTGAGAATTGCTAGGGGCTTGCGCTAGGCGCCCTCCAAAGCTGACTGGTATGCCAACTACCTGCACGCAGTGACCTTCTTAATTAAAAACAGGCTTATGAAGATATGTTCCTCGTCCCAAGAGAAATGACGGGAGGGTTTCGTGATGTGTTTCTCATTCGGCATGAGAATTACTGGTCAATTTGATAACCGTCTCGCAATCATGGCAACATCAATAAGTTGCAAAGTAGATGAAAAGACTTACTTGCTAAGTGGCCTTTTTCTCCCACAATCCCGAGCCATCATTATCTAAATTGAGCTGTTCTGGGTTTTTAGCTTAAGCCTCGGGCTGAACCTCTTCGCTTTGTGTTGCAGCTTGCGTTGCTGAGGTCGGACTGGTCGCGTTCAGAGATCCAGTGTTGTTGGGCTGATATCACAACGTCGAAATAGTGCGGAATTCTGTTCTTAAACCCTATTTGCCTTATCCTTGAGTCGATCCTTTGCTTCCTGTCATCTAAAACCAATTCTATAATAATGAGATTGCTATTAACTACTGGCCTTTTCTATACAACACTTGGCCTTGCTGGATCTGTAGCAATTTCATCCAGCTCCCTTAGAACTTTCTCCAAATCACTTACATCCTCTTCCTTCTCTGTATCTATCTTTACGTCATCGCTACAAAGTGGAAGCCGTGGGCCATAACACTCCCATACAACTCCAGCTGCCTCCGCTGCCTCTCGCTGAGTCTCCGTCAAAACATTTGACTCGATTTCTTGATGAACAGCCTCCATCCTAGGAGCCCAATATTCTCGTGCAAAAGATAACAGATCAGCATAATTACCACGCTCCATTTCAAACTCCATAACGAGCTGTTCAAATCGCTCTAGCAGCGAGCTGTCTTCCTCTTCAATCTCGCGGCGATCTACTGTAGACAATGGGCCAGAGGCCTCAGCACCACCGCCGGTACGTAAGCAGCAACAAGTATGGCGAAGTTCAAGAATAAAAAACGTAAAGTGACGCATAGTCGCTCCATCAATCCAATGTTCTTTGGTTAGGTCGTAGCCAACGTGGTCTAGTATATCGCACAGATATTCAAGGTGTCTAAGGACAATATGGATGGTACGTGAAAGCTCAAAGGTAGGAAGCCAATACTCTTCCCAATTTACCATTGCTAGGAATTTGGTCAAAGGTGTGCATCCTTTTGGGGAGCATCGGCATCGGCAGTCGTCAGTATTATCTTCCTCAAAAATGATACTTGAGACTTGGGGAGAGAGAGAGGCCCTAAGTCTATGTTCAAATGGGCTTTTGCACGTGCCGAGGTAGGCCATGAAGTAGTGCGCTGCTGTTGTATGGCCCCATAGAGTCGGGACAGTGGAGTGAAGATTCCCCCCGTGGTCAACCAGCCAACAGATATATGATAACAACAAGGAGTTTTGATTTCGAGGGGCAAAAGTCATAAAGTCCAGCCGTTCCGCTAGCAAGCGAAATACGTCATAAAATAACGTCGTTGGCATAAGGAAGCCACTTTGAAGGGCAAATTCAGCAACATCGCCATGGGAGATGAATAGGTAGATTGATTGAGAATCTTCTGGACTCTCACGGTTGTCGTATACTTTCAAATGCATCGGAACTTGAAATTTCTTTGCCTCCAGGAACCGTTGGGTCTGAGCCGCATTTTGATCTAATATACCGGCTTGGCAGAATTTCAACTGTTGTCTTTCTGCTGGCGTGAGCTCGCACTGTCCTATTGTTTTCAGCTTCGTCCTTCGGGAGGCTAGACTGCGGATGATATTCTTTTGGCCCTCTATGCAGATAGGGATCTCGTGATTCTCCGGTTGTTGCATGGCCATTTGGACAGAATCTGTAAAAATCGCCGATTCAGAGCGGAGTAGGACGTTGAGGACTTCGCAACCGTTACATACTGTCGGTGTCGATTGTTTTCCAGACTTCAGAGCATGACATAATGCGTCGATCGCGTGATCGATTGCGTAATGACCGTTATTATCTTTAGTGTTTAACACCTTGGCATCTGCATGATTGACAAGTACGCTCAAGATGGTCGCATTCTGAGTCTGAACCGCAATGTGTACAGGCGTCTGACCAAGATGATTCATCTCATTGATAGATGCTGGATATTCGTTCAGGAGGGCTGTAACCCTGTTCTGATCTTCCATGAGGACCAGCCTACTGAGTTGACCATATTCTAGATCTATCAAGGTTAGAAAATACCCAAGAATCAATGTTAGCCAAGTGAATCTCACAATTGGATATCTGTGGAAAGCGTTTAACTAAGTCAAACTGTTCCTTGAGGCTACAGTAGACAAATGGTGACTTGCAATCTTGGCCTGCAGAGTCATCACACCTAGATAGGAGAGAGCTAATTAATTCGCCAGGCACGGTGGGATTTGGTGTTATTAAATTTTGGCAAAGTTGTGCTAGGAGTGGTGACCTACACAAATTATTCAATTAGTAATCTCAATTCTCTAAAAGTAATTCTACACAATGGATGCGTATATTTATTTGCTAAAGACCTACCTTGTTTTTGATCCTAGATGTATGGCTGGATCGATGAAAGGGGCCAACATACAAAAGACTGGCAGAGCGCCACCAGTCAAAGAGTATTCCGCTGAAATGTTACTCTAGTAGAGATAAGTCAGTCTTGGTCTAGTTAAAAGCTTACAAGAAACATACAACGGTAATGCTTGTTATTACGTCGACGATTGATTGACCATATTGGTCTACGTCGGTAATTGAAGCCCTCCTGTTAGTAAAACACCACTTCAGTCGTCTGTAACATGATAATAAGAGTGCGTTATAATCCTCGCTGCTAAGGCAATGTGACTGATCCATCGCAACTTGTACAATCTTGAAGGAAGGGGACTGATCTGTGTCGACCAGTTTAACCCAGGCAATATTTTGCCCGAAACCCATACCACCAGTCCCTGCTGTAAAGAATAGCGAGAATTTGCTAGAGGTTTTCCAGTGACTTCCAGTAAAAGGGATAGGAAATTTCAATGTCCGCTTTGCTTGTTGTTCAAGGGGTTGCTGCGTTGAAAGCGGGCATCAACGTGAATGATAGTCTGTGAAGCTCATTTCATTTTCGACAATAAAAGGACCCCATTGTCGCCGCTCGCGCCGTTTAAAGTTCTTTCGGCAGACGCAGAAGGAATTAATCGTCCACATTGCCCCGTTCTGGTATCTTGTTTCTCTAATTCCCGGCACGGGCGTCTTGGACGTCGGTTCTCGCAAGCATATGGTGCTCTCGGAACTCGTTTCGGTGACATTTTGATCCGTATGGGGAACCGCATTGTTGCAATTTGCTCCGTCAGGGTCTGGAAAACGAGTGAGTCGATTGAAAAGAGCCCGTTCCATACTTTGGACGGACATTTGAGTAATATAGGTACTCTTTCTAATCGTCGGAATTAGCATCTATCGGACGGCTGGTAGTGTTTCTCTTACACTTGCAAAATTGTCAAGGCGAACTTTAGAGCGCTGACTGTATTAAATAATTGGTTCTCCAAGTTGTCCAAGTTTTGCTTTTTGAATGGATACTTGAGTTTGACATAGAGAGCCCTGGCTTTTGAAGCGCGACTGTTGGGTATAGGATCCTGGCCTTTTAGTTGTGCAACCATCTTTGACAAATTGTTGATAGCGCTCGCACAATTGGCTTGGCCTTGGTTGATCACTCTTTCGAGGTCGGCATCGCTAATACCGGTAGTAGAAGCCAATGTCTCGAGCGCGATTAAGGATGAATGAAAGTCCAGCGCATAATTCTTTGCGCGCTCAAGATCTTCATCCCGGCCCTCGACGCTATTGAGATAGTTGGATATGTGAGTGAACAGCTGGATTCCCAGGGAGACCGTTCCGAAAGCGCTGCCGGCGATGCCCAAGGCTTCGGCCATTTTGGTACGAGAGGGTAATCACGGGTAATACCAAGAGACGTCTGGATTTTGCTGAAGTGGCAAACGAGCCTCCCTTATAGAATGGTTGGATGCTGACCATGTCGGGCTCCAACGCAGACTAGTGGCTGTGTAATGTGACTGCATAATCAGGCTGTGTTGAAATGTAATCTTGCGAATTGTATACGTGGTCCAGTTAGAACCTTGACATACGCCTGCCTGCATGAATATTGGTTGTTGTAGTGTGGGGTAGATATGGGCGGATGACTGAGTTGGGTAACGAGAGAATCACAATAACGAAATAGTAAGGAATTTGTTCTTTATTTAATGATGCTTGAAGTCTACGCCTGAGATCTTTACGTGGCTTTATCTAGTAAGCTTAGCTTTCGAGATCCTGGCTCTTAATCTTTTCTAGATCTTTGGTAGTCTCAACAAGACATCCGCTACTATCTTATAAAATTATGCCGTTTCTCTGTTCTCCTCTAAGGATACCAAAGCGAGCTGCGGTACTGGTAATTGATGTTCAACAGAACAGAAGGCTGCGGATCGTCTGGAGCATTAGGTACTCTGGTACGTATACCTGTATGATATGCTGCACCAGATCTAGCCATTCCGGTCGAAACCGACCAGCGATAGTAGCGTTGCAAAATTCCCAGTAATCCGGATACCAACCTGAAATCTCCCAGTCTATAATTTTGACCTCATAATGAGAATCGTTCAGTTCAGTCTTTTTGACAACGATGTATTTGGTTGCAGATCCCCATGAGTGAATTTAACCTTATGGTCTCGCAATGTCTCAGTGATGAGTGTCCGTATGAGTGTGAGATGTGCCTGGGGTTCTTGCTCCGCTAGCCGTTTGAGTATACCTTCATTAAGGTCCTCCTATGTTTTGAAAGGACCTGCCCTGGCTGGGTTCTGATCTGGGGTCAAGAAGACTCCTTCCTTGAGGGGCCGCCGGTTGAGAGGGCCCAGAGAAGAGGGCGGCTCAAGACTGCGCAAGTCCTGTAAAGCAGCATGAAGTTGGTTGGTGATTTCTAGCTTATCAGGCGCTGGGAGCGACGGCCAGAGATCGGCCATGCTCATGGCGTCGATGTACTCCATAACTATGAAGTTGATCCCGGTCTCCGGCTCCACCAAAGTCACGTAGAATTCCGGTACAGGAACCTTGGTGGTGGATGAGATGAATTGGAAGGCCCCAACTTCTTAGCTTCTTCGGAGGAGACGGTATGGCCGAACTTGACTGCGAAGTTTTCGCCAACTTTCACAACAGTAGCTGACGCATCAATCAGGGGGACTGAGTACTTCAGTGGATGCGCGTATTTCTGCGATCGTAGGGACCTGAAGTGCCATTTGTTCTCGTGGCTAGGTTGACAGCAGATGTTGCGACATGGAAAGAGAGGAGCGGGGAAGTTCTGGATGTCACGTGGTCCGCCATGAGCAGAACTGTTTCGTAGAAAACTGAGGGTCAATTGTCTGCAGGGCAAAAGCTGATGCGCCAACATTAATCTTGGTCTCTAAAGTGGCGATCCATGGTCAGCGGCCCACCAGATCGCCATGCTTCAATGTGTCTGGAGTTGGTGGTTGGCTAGGGGAGGAAAGAAAACATAGGACCTTGACCCTAAGCACTAAAAGCATTTAGGTAAATCTAGCCTAAGCTTAGAAGGGTCTTCCCTAAGTTTATTTTGACACCCTATGTCCAGGCCCGGTGTTTTCTTGCTCCCCGAGGATTAATTGCCCAAAGCAGCTATACCGAAGATGGATCAAATGGCTTACAGTAGTTAGCCCGGGCCGCAAGCCGGCGATCAGATAACGTACTGAACCCAATTCAGTGCATTTATTACTGTAATTGTGCAGATCTTCAGCAGCCATCTCAATTTCGAAGCAAGTCAATGGATCTTCAACACGTCAGTGGAGCGGGGCATTCAGCTAGCCACATGCACTCAGCCTTACCCTAATGCATTGGGTTATATAAATCACCAAGCTCCCCAAACCTGTATAGCTTACACCCAGATTAATTATCTTTCTGCCTCTGACCATGGCTGCCATAGCATCCCAAAATGAGCTCCCAGTTGACAACTCCATTGCAAAAGCTGGTGTAGAGGAGTCACAAACTCAACTACCTATCTGTGACTGGATTGAGAAGGATGAAGTCAAGCTGAGAAGAAAGTGCGTCAATCCTCCCTCAATACCATGTGCCACTCCTAACACTTATGGCCAGAATTGACTTCACCATCTTACCAATGCTCATGCTCGGCCTTTTCGCCCTCCAGCTCGACAGAGGAAATGTAGGCTACGCCATGACAACAAGCTTCACCGACGATCTCGGCATAAACAACGACAACGTCAACACCGGAAACCAGCTCATGCTCGCAGCCGTCGTGATCTTCGAAATACCTTTCAACATGGTCCTATCCAGAATCGGACCTGCGCTTTGGCTAATTATCCAGATCCTGGCGTGGGGAACAATCGCAACGGCGCAAGCAGCTGTCCACAACAAATCAGGGTTCTACGCTACGCGATTTCTACTAGGAATGTGGGAAGCTGGATATCTAGCTGCTGCGCTGACGATTCTGGCGTCTTTTTACACGAGGAGGGAGATGGCGATGCGGGCGACGTTGGTGTATGTTGGGAATTACTGCTCTGCGGGTGTGAGTGGACTGCTTGCGGGGTTGATCTTCAGAATTCTAGAGACAAGCGGTTTGAAGAAATGGCAGTGGCTTTTTATAATTGACGGTCTCTTCACACTGGCCGTTGGCTTTGTTTTTATCTTGATCATGCCTCGTTCGACAACCAACACGCTTCCGCTGGCGGGCATCAAGTGGTTTGACTTGTTCACTGTCGAAGAGAGGGACATTCTGGCCAAGCGCGTTATCCTGGACGATCCACGCAAGGAGGTAAAGCTCTCTGGTATCAGCCCCAGGACTGCTCTGCGCATCCTCTTCACCAGCTTTCCAATGTGGGGTCATTTCGGCATCAACGCCATTTCTATCACGCCCAAAGGAGGGTTAGTCTTCTACACGCCCACGATTATCAAGAACCTCGGCTTCGGGGCATCTACTGCGAGCTTCCTAGCAGCCGTAAGTAACTTTGGGGTATGCATCTTGGCAATATTGGTATCGTGGGTCAGCGACAAGACTTTGTCTCGAGGACCTCTTTGCCTACTTTGCGGCGTGTACTCGCTCGTTTTCTCAGGTGTTCAATTCGCTGTTGTTGGCAGTTCCGACGTCTGGATGAAGTACGCTATCCTTACACTCTTGGGCTCAGGAGTAGCAGTGTCTCAGAGTCTTAACGATGCGTGGTTTAGCATCAACACTGAAGATCCGCAGGTCCGATGCATTGGACTTGCGCTGGCCGTCGCGGGATCTAACGTGGGAGGACTTGCTGGACAGAACATCTTTGTGAAAAGTGACGCGCCATACTATAAAAACGGTTTTCTGAAGATCTTGTGTCTTTACGCGGCTAGTATTGTACTTGTCGCTGGGATGATATTTTACTACTGGAGTGACAACAGGAGGATGGAAAAGTCTGGGGAGCTTGAAGATGCCACAGAAACAGAAGGGTCTGGTGGAGTCAAGAGGAGAAGGGTGAGGAACCAGCTGTAGACGATGCCAATCAATGGACTTTTCTACCCCTGAGTAGGTTCAGTATGGCAGTAAACATAAACTCAGAACCACAGGTCTTGACTGCAGATACACCACGCAGCTTGCAATGTAGATACAACTCATATTGCCTGACAGTTCGCTATCACATACGTGCCGGATGACTCCACGAGAGCCAGATAAAGAGGGCAAGACTCAGTCAAAGCCCACAAGTGACATCCCACTCTGAGCATTGCCTCCTTCAAAGACACTAGCATGACTGCTGAGCGGGGCTCTTGATAGCGTTCCCAGCAGCATTCAGATACTTCTTCAGTACACTAGTCCCTCCACACTTGTACTTAACAGCCTGAACAAACGTCTGTGTATTCAAATTCGCACCATCCCAGTTAGTATGCGTATTATCGTTAGGATAATAAGTCTTGGCCTTCGTAGGTCCCATCGCCTGGAATAACGCCACAGAGTACTTAGTATGGTTGATGTACTCAACTCCAGCAGCCTTAGCCACAGCTTCAGCGTAGTCTGCAAAGGGCCATTTAGACTGCAGCGTGTTGCCAGTCCAGTAGTTGCGGTTCACCATACCTGAGATAACAGGTGTTGCCCCCTTGGCCTTGACGTCGGCGATCATCTTGCGAAGATACCAGCCGAATGTGTGCACGACTTCTTTGCTACCTGTGGTCGTAGTGACGGTGACAGTTTCTTCGCCGGTTCCTGGGAGGGTAGCGCGGTCTGATGTAGTGGGATCTCCGTCGTCGTTGTGGCCCATCTCAATAACCACGAAATCTCCAGAAGCTGTCTTTGATAGCAGGTCGCTCCACAGACCCTCGTTGATGAAGGATCTGGTCGAGCGACCATTTTTGGCAAGGTTCGAGATAGTCAGGGTTGTGTAGTCTTGGATGTAAAAACCCCATCTATTATGATGAATGAGTAAGGGCTATTGCTATGCTGGGGATGGAGTTACTTACCCTTGTAGGGCATTTCCGGTGGCATAGTTTGCGGTGGTGCTATCAGAACAAATCAGTAGCTTTGCTGCCTGGATAGGTGCTGCAAGCAATACCGAACCGGGGATGATTGAGAAGCGCATGTTGTATCCGTAGCCGACCAAACAAAGTTCGCATGAGGACCAAGCATTCAATTACTGGGAGCACCATCCTATGCTTAAGTTTCTTTCAACGCGGCAAGGGTCGAAGCTTTACTACTCTATACGAAGCTAGAGGGAGGTGGAAAAATAGAATCCGGAGCGACCACTTCAGATGCCGAACTCGGCAGCTCGGCAAAGATGATATCCATGCAAAGTCCCAAATTGGTCATACGGAAGTAACATTAGCTATCCGAATGCTTAATTAAGCCTTGCTACGAAAGGTTTATAGTTTGCTATACGCGGATACATCGATCTGAAACAGACTAAGACAAGAATGCGAGCAAAAAGACCCGAACGGAAGATACCCCACGATTCTCCGTTTCTTGTTATAGTCTGTGTGGGGGAGATCGTCTACCCCACGATCCAGCGATGATCATCAAGGTGACTAAACTCGATGCACTACGGGATTACGCTCACCGTGTAGGAGATAGAGAAATAGAATGGGCTCAACAGCTGTACCCAGGGACGCTTCTGAAGTATTAAGCTCGAGATCTAAAAGCTTCAGGGTCGCGGCGGTGCGAAGATTGATGAGAGGGTTTTGGCTGCGATGGACGCAGGGCGACCCAAGGTCCTTACCCAAGGGAAGAGTGACTGAGATGAGTTTGATACAACTTGATATGCTGTAACGGAGCTAATCTTAGTTCTTCAGCCCAAAATCAGAAAGCCCTTGCTCCCTTTGGATTGAGTAGGTTCTATCTTGGTGGCGAAATGTGCTCTTTGATCCTTTCACGACTTTAGACTTCTTCTAAACTCTCCTTCCACCAAACTCTGTATTGCCGCGTTACTCATTTTTCCAAGGTGTGACTCAACGCCGTGCAAGCAGCGCTACTTAAACATCAAGCTCCCGAAGTATCACAAGTTTGCCAAACCTTGATGCTGCACCATGAGTATAAAATGCCCGCGACGCTGCGTTTTCCTCCTTGCTTTTCAAACATCATCACTGCGGTCGATCATCTCTCACAAACAATTCCTTCCCAAATTTTCACCATGACGTCCACGGATTCTACCTCAGCCAGCACTGAACCGCGTGTCATTACCGGTTGGAAACGAGTCGCTTGGCCAGAACTTCGTGCAGATCCTCTAGAGACGTCAGTTACTAGTCTACCTGGCCCCATGCTAGAGATCTCCCGAGATATTCTCGAACTCGCGCATGAAGTCGTCAAAAGGCATAATATCCTACCATCGCTTAAAGACAGGGATGATCGAATTCGCTTCGAGGTGCGAGATGGAATAACAACACTCCTCATCGTCACTCCCTGGTCTTCTAAAAAAACACCTATCTGGGAGGCAGCCTTGCGAGAGATTGTCACGAGCTTGAACGAGCTGACAAAAGAAACATCGATCTGTGAAGGCGATATTCACGCTGAAATAATCGCTCCGGAACTTACTCAGACGATTTACTATACTTTCAACAACGATCCGCATCTTAGTGCAACCTGGGACTCTGTCCGTCCCAAAGTCTATAAGTGCCTTGAGTCTGTTCAAGCAACCAGACATCGCATGAGCTCCATTGCTCTTCACCGATATGGAGTGCTTCCAGAGCTCGAAGCAAACCCCGCTACAATTTATATCGGAGTGGACTATCGCTCGGACGAGACGGGCTGGAACGAGGTCGTCACCGATATCAAGAACATGCTTCAAGGCGAAGAGGGATGGGGTCATGTGAATGTCCATATGGAGCATAATGTAAATTAGGCAGGATCTCCTTTCGACTAAGGTTGCACATCAATCGAATGGCAGTTTGGTGGCTTGGATAGAGACTGCCATGTGCTTCATAGTAGGAGACGTGGGCGAGCATTGGAGAGGAATTCACCATTTAGAACGTTGATATGGTGGGTACACAATTGAAAAGCAAATCTAAATAATCAAGGCAGACTCGCTAATCATACCTCGCCAGGACTGCTCCAGCCTCCTTCCCATCAAACTCCAACCAGAACTTCATAGCAGCCTCTCTAGTAGAAATGACAAGATCATAGCAAACCTCCCACCATTTCTTGCCATCGATCCCTCGAACCTTTTTGAATCGCGACTTATTCACCGAACTCAAATCACTTTCCAGAACACAAGTGACCTTGATTTCTTGGGTAGGGTGAGTTGGTCCAGTCTCTGAGATCCATAGCTCGTCTTCGAACTGAAGATCGTTATCCGTATATGATCTCGGAATATGCCTCACGTAAGTGTACCGTTCGTCGCGATCGCGCCTCAAGTTCTCTCCCTTACGTATATACCAATCCATCTATATTCTGTTAGTAGGCAGATCCAGAGCCCTGTCGCTGAAACCTACTCTTTCGGTCATAAGCTCGCCGCTTATGATTGAAATTTCAGTTGGCCGTCCCTTGTCGGTCATAGGCTCATAGATACACCATGACTTGACGCCGTAGTGGCGCATCGACTTTGTTGATATTACGTTGGTGTGCGATAGTCGGCTTAGTGCTGCACCTCTAAACCTATATTAGAGAAGTTTCCCATTGTAACGAAGATGACTCACTTAACAATAGCGGCCCACGCATCATCTGGTTGAATGACCAAGCCAGGTCAGTATTTTTAAAAATTTCCTCCTGTCAGCTTCTTACCTGTATACCTGGATTTGACTCTTCTAAACGGATTTTAAGGTACTGACTCGAACCGAATCCGCCTACCAAAAAGATGCCCTACAGGAAACAATTAGCATATGTACTTAGGCGTAGTCAAACGCCTTACCTTAACAGGTTTGTTCGAGCGCTCAAGCAAAGCACTTTGAACCTGCTCCCTGACCAAGCGAATGATATCGCCAATCAAGGGTTCAAATATCTCTTGGACCGCCTCCCTTTGAACATATTCTGTTAGTTATGGACAGTGGTTTATAAAGACGGTGGCATACCCAGGCATGAACCAGGTGTCTCGTCGCAAACCCTCATCTTCATTGTCTGGCAGATGGGCACCTGGAAAGTTGACAATATACTCCTCGTCTAAATCCCCTGCGAAGGCTGTCTTGACCTCTTGGTCGAACTGACGTTCGGCCTTTGCCCAAGCAGTTGTATGTTTGAGACATAGCCATTCCTCCTCTCCAATAAGGTCCTTGACGGCTTCAGCAAAACGCTTGTTAAGACCCAATGATCCCGACATGTTACCTATAGCGATTAGCAAAGGAGTCTCGCAAAGTTGATGTTACGTACCCGTGCCTGGAACCACTTCAGCAAGATCTAGCGTTGGTTCAGTTGCAACAACTTCATAGGAGATTAGATCTACGGTGCCGCCTCCGGCATCGCAAACGACAAAGCAATCACCGACCTATTTGGGCAATTGTCAGAAATAGTTAATTCTTGTGGAGACTACTAACACTCATCGCTCGCTCTTGTGTTTTGAACGTGTAGAGAGCTGCTGCTTCGGGTTCCTTGATGAGAATCACAGGATAGACTCCTGCTTTCTTCGCAGCCTGTAGTGCATTAGTGGCCGTGTAATGTCTTGCCAGTTCACGACACTAACTTGTATAGTACTCTCCTTGGCCTTCTCTGACCAAACAGCCGGGACACTTAAAACGAATGTCTTTTGACAGAGATCGAGATAGTCTCGAGGCACTCTGGACCCAATTTTCTCCAGAGCGTGACTATACATAGCTCCAATAAAGTCGGCTGCAACATCAACAGCACTCTTGGGGAGCCTTTTCATCTCACTCTTGACGTTAGCCGAAGGGAGGTATGATGGTCTTGTCTGCTTAGGGTCCAGCAGGAGCTTGACACCCTGTACATGGTCATCTCGCCAGGAAAGCTGTCCTCCCCATTTGAACTCTGAGCTGTCATCTGGGTCATAGGCGATGGCAGTTGGAACTTTTGGCTGTGTGCGACCCTCGAGACCTTTTTGCCGTTATTAGCCGAAGAGCTGAAGGGTAGTAAGAGCCTTACGTACCTAACCAGTCGACGACTGGCTTTACATCAGAAGAGCTAGCGAAACAATATGCAACACCAGAATATGTCGTACCAAAGTCAAGGGCAATGATGATTCTGTCCTTCGAGTTGATGGCAGAAGTGCCCAGACTCCTAGTTACTTCCTCAACAGAAGAGCCATTGTTAACAGAAGGTCTGGTTGAGTTGGTGAAGCGGAATGTCATGTTGATGGATAAAAGCTTTAGTCTGAAAAGGCAATAAATGAGTTCCCTCACTGTGAAGTCGCTATGGAATGATTTATCATCTATTTAAGGGAAAAACTCTGCGAATGAGATAGCATCATCGCGTAGGCCTCCAGATTATACTTTTGAAAGATATTGAGGAAACAACGTAATGTCACACCATTGAACGCTCCCAAACAGGGTGGGTGGCTGTGTGCCGTCAAGCCCGATGATGTTGGCCAGTTCTCATACTGACTTAGGCCAATGATTATATGTTGAGAAAAGCCACAATGGCCGAATTAAAAGAGGCCATGGGCTTTTTGGCGGCTTTTTGGAGAATTGTTTGAGATTATGCCTTGACAACATTTTCAGCTTCGCCTGGTTAAGCGCTCAACGCCGACAAGCGGCCATGTGCCGGCCAAACCTGACACTCTTTGGCCACACCATCAATCCTTCCATGAATGTTGGTTGGTCGTCTTTACCAAAGTGTATTTTATGAGTCGAGGATTTAAAGCTGCTATTTTTGAAGCCCCAAAGATCAGCCAGGTAAGTGACAGCCGCCAACCTAGAAATTCCCTTATTGTCGTACTACCCTTTCATCATTCTCGTCTTCTACACACTCAGCTCAAATCTGACATTATGGTTTGTGGCAATCTTTTCGGAGAGACTCGGAAACACCGTTATAGCTCTCATTCGTCTAGCGACCAGCATCGAGCTACGCAAAATAAGACATCATACTTTGCCCGTTCAGCTGATGAGATGGACTGGGAACAGTCGCAGACCTACCAAGCCATTCGCCATTTAACCACAAACTGGCATGATACTTTCAAATTGTTCGAACGGCAGAACGCCGAGGTCCAAAGACATTTGCAAGCCGGACACAGCAACTTAGAGCACATGTTTCGAAAGGTCTTGGAAGACTTTGTCGCTAATGGAGTAATCATCATTCAGTCGCCTCATTCGCCTGATGCACCCACCAAATCACTCTCATCTAAGCCCCTGGAGCAGCGGGTAGCAACGTCATCGGAACTGTACGACGAGCTTCAGCGGTTGACTCTGAAGTTGCAAAATGCAGAGGAAGAGCTAACGGTCGTCAAGTCTCAACTAGACGAAGCTGAGCTTAGGACTGATCAGCTGCGTAAACTCATAATCTCCGCTGGCACGGAGCCGATCCTGGACAGCAAAATACAGCAGAAATTCTCTGAGATTCGCACCCTGACCCAAAAGGTTGTCTCCAAACTTTACACGAAAACTCCGAGATACTGGGAGTCTTTAGTAGATGAGAGTAGGGTGTTCTTCGAAGGGATCAAAGATCGTTCCCTAGACCTTCGACAGGATGCCATACATGGACAGCTTTTCCATTGTCTTCAGCAATGGTTCTTTTCTGACGCAATTAAGGACCATGGATTGGGAGACAAATATGAAAAGCTTCAGACTCTTCTCGGTCAAGCAAATGAGGAATTAGTGGAAGCCATTGAAGCCAAAGGTCTTGGAGGTACGTTTCTATACAAAGTCTGGACAAGGAACCGATGCCTAACAGTCTGTTATACAGGGCCGCATGGAGAGGAGATACGAGAATGGAGAAACGCTACACTCAAGTGTATAAACCTTCTTCAAGACCCATCAAACGATCAAGCCTTTTGCGTCGCCCATATCGAAAACTTCTTCAAGCCCGCTGAGACAGATGATTCCAAGGCCCAACAACGTGGCAGAAAGTACCTGCAGAGTCTCTGCGAGAGGTCTTCTGAGCTTGGGGCGCTTATGAGGCGTACTGAGGATAGCTTTGAAGTTTTCACGGTCAAAGACGGTATTCCCCTCGCGGATTGTGAGGATATAGCTGAGAAGTGGATAAATTACAGTGACAAAGATGCTTCTGGGGTAGAAATCACTGCTTCATGTCTTTTTGGAGGACTGAGGAAGATATCCAAGGACTATCCAACTAAGCCAGTAGTTCTAGAGAAGGCACAGGTTGCAACGCGATTTGTCAGACACGCGGAGTAGCCCAGAGGAGATTTAGCTTGATTATGTAATGAAGACATCCCATATCCCATGTCAGAATGGATGTAGTACTCCTGTCATCGGCGCTGAGAAGGACGGTAGACGCCCTTATCGCCCGGGTGAAGTCTAAATTGTTTCCTATCTCTCATGGTAATATCAAAGCCATTGACAGCACAAAAGGATGCACGATTCTTCTGGTGGGTTAGGGGGACGTCTGAGATGGCTGTGTAGGAGATGGGCCGGACCTTGAAACAATACTTCAGGTCGGGAAACCGTCAGACGACATTCACAGCGGCTGCACAGGCCTTACAGGCTGCGTCCATTGCTTGCGAAAACTTTTTTCCTACCATCCTGTTGGTCCATGGAAATGACCACGCCAAATAGAGTTTCGCAGCTCTTTACGAGGTTGCCTTGATCTAGGCCGCGACCTGTTTCAAACTGGACCAACAAATACCTCATTGTGGCCGTGTAGCTGGAGGAATCAGGCCTCCTCTTACAATATTATTCTTTTGACCGATCAGGAAATGGGCAATCACCCAAAAGTTCCTTGCATTATGCTATGTCTATCTCATGTCTTTGTAATCCTGGAACGTGACTGAAATACTACTGCCATGTCTGAATTTGTTTCCAGGACTTGTGCTTAAGCGCCGGCCGTGTACGACCGACGGCTATCCTGTCGTTTGGCAAGCCCTTTGGATATCCATGTCATAGTTTAGCCTGTTAGTCCGTCACCTGTATTAGCATTGGGTACATGTGATCAACAAGGAAAGCCTCGCACCTATCAGCCCAAAGTCTCAGAATGACAAGCTGTGCCACCAGTCTTGCAAAAGGACAAGTAGTCATCATGATCGATCGCGGTTCTCAGAAGCTGTTGGTGTGGCGTGCTTCTTTTCTTTCGATGGTGTGCCCAAGAAGCGGTCCAGTGGACTCTTCTGTTTCTTTGCATCCTCGTTCGCTGGAGGTCCCGGAGGAAGGAATGGGACATTTGGTAGGACGGCGAGAACGCTATTAATTAAACTCATCCTCGTTTCGTTTGTGATTTGTTGCTGTGTATGAAGGGGAGCGTTGGTATCGAGCTGATGGTTGATGACCCGCGAAGAGAATTTATGAAAGATGTGAACAGACTTGCAGGCGCCAAGAATTGCGACCCCAAAGATATCTAAGTGGGCACTCAGTTACGTCAGCTCATGCAGTTGGTCCTCACTTTCACCCTTAGACAGTTCCATTCATTGGTCTGGCAATTGGGCTTGAGGGGCACAGTCCGGTCTAGATTGCTTGTATCAGGCCACGATACCCATCTGGCAAAGTTCGGTTTTAGGCAGCCCCCAAAGTTGTGGTAACACGGCATCAGGTGTCCCATCAGAAAAAGCCCTTCCATGAAAATGTTGGGTGCACATACTCACTTTGCTGATATGTTTCGAGAATGTTAGCACACCGCAAAGCGGACTGTTTACGGCGCGACTGGATTTAGAATTGTATCATAGTCATAAAATGAGAGAAGACTAATCTATATCAAATGAGTCGCATCCTGTTCACACCAATAAGACATCTAGTACAGGAGCTCCTTTGAATAACAAGTTACTCTTGGAATAGGCCAGACCAATGCGACAAAACGACTTATCGCCACCGGCGTTACCAGACTGACTCAATACTAACATGAAATGTTCCCTGTCACTCTCGTCGCCTCGATTAGAGTAAGTCGAGCCAATGTACAGGCAATAAACCTTGGCCGTAAACTTGGAAGCCTTCGCATCCTGCTTAGCCCTTAACAAATGGTTGTCATCCAAGACCAGGATGCTGTCGGGAGAAAACTCCCATTTTTCTGTAGGCCCAGATATCTTATAAAAGACGCTTGTTTGAGGGTCATCGCAGGTTAACACCGCCTCAGCGATCTGTCCTCTCATGAGAAGATGGCCAGCAGTGACCCTGCCGAATGGGTTGAGCCCTGAGACATTAGAGTTGGCTTCAATGATTGTGAAGCTGGGTTCAAAGATACTGATCGTTCTCTCGACGCGACTTTTCACTACTCCGGGTATCGAGGCCCATGACCATGAGGGTGCCACATACTCGGCGGAAATGGTCGGCAAGTCCTGGTACTCTCTATATGCCCTGGACCAACATAGCTCGATACCAAGGTTATCCTCCCACATGCCCGCAAGATAACGGGACTTTGTGATTTTAAGGACACGAGAAGCGACGCCACTCAGTGCCGGCAATTTATCAGTGACGAAGGTGAGATGACGACGTGAGTAGTATGTCACCAAATCATCCCACATATCCCAAACAAAATTCATCATGTTGGCCTCGGAAGAGATGGAGCTGGGGCTATCAGGTCGCGAGGGCGCCAAAGAATTTGACGACATTGCAGAATCAAAGCCTGTCGGAGGTATGCCAATGGGACTGTCGCTGCTCGGGATACTGTCACTACCGCTTCTCACTGGACTGTCGATATCGCGACCCATATCCAAATTCAAGCTGAATCTCAGAATAGACAAGAGCTTAGAAAAGCCCAGCCTTTCAGATGTCTCAAGATCGGGTATATATCTTTGCGGCGCAACATGCTCCGAACACTCCCAAATGAGTTCTGACGGCGTGAAATAAATAGTGCGCGATGACATGGCAGCCTCTTGCCATGTCCAAGCCCGCGTGAAAATCATTCCTTCTTCTTCTGGCTCCTTCGGTATGCGCTGCGCATAAATGTCTTCGCTACTTGAACCATTCGTCAGGTTGAGCTTAGTCGGGCACCACCGCTTGTCTCGTGGGCCGAGAAATGGGACGGTGGAATTTGGTGACGTGGCTGTTGAGATAGTCAAGAAGGAGTTTTCGTAGTAATCGCACATTTTGAAAAGAATCGAGTTCCCAGTCCGACTTGCTGTCTTGAATGATGCAGAGCGAGTCAATCCATATATACTCGATGTTCAGCGCCCGAACAATCTGAACAGCTTGCTGGAAGACAATCGGTTGAGAGTCTACATCAATTGACTTTTTCATGGCGTCGATGTTGGCTGTAACTGTCCTGAGTGGTTGCTTACCGCCCCAGCAATGGCTCAATGTCACGTATTGTGCCGGGACATCCTTTAATTCGACAAGCCTGATGTCTGTGTCAGAAGAGCCAACACCAACGACACGTGTTGGAAGCGGTGACTCGAGCTGTTTTTTGCATGACTCGTGTTTGGTGCTGCATTCTAACATCTGTACATTGATGAAATTTACAGATGCACCGAGTTCGGTAGATTCGGGATATGCGCCAAGGATTCCAAGGCCAGGGATAAGCTGAGACTAATATCCGGGTTATCATGAGCCTAGATACTAGTGAAGATGAGATAAATTGTTTACCTTGTCGTGAGAATAGATGATGAACCCGGCCTTGCTCGCATAGGTATCCTCGGGGTCTAGGTCCTTCTCATAGAAGTACTCAACGCTAATGGGCTCGCCTTCTTTGCTGTGCACAAAAAGCTGAGTTGTTGGTTCATCAACAATACTATTCATGGCCGACTCGAGAATACGACAGTATCCACAATCATCTCTGAGACTTTCAATTCCGATAGTATTCAGTTCATCATACTCGTCGCCGGGCTGTAGGTCTCTGCATATAGGACGGCTCTGCTTGACTTTGACGATATCGTCTAGCTGAGCTCTAGGTTGGCGAACGGAGTTCATCATAGCGGTGTGTAATTGAGATGAAGAAACATGCCGATGAGGGATATATATAGATATATAACGATGTTGTACAGTCTCAGCTCCTAAAATGGGATGACTGAGCAAAGCACATAAGCATAAGCGCTTAGGGTAATTTATTCTAGCTGATTGGCTCAAGATATACGGAGTAACTACAATAAACCTGTACCATTTCTTCTTTATGACCTTGTTATCTCCCGTAATCCATGACTAAGCTTTTTCTCCACGTGGTTCTCTCTTTGTAAGGCGCTCTAGGGAAGGATAGAATACTCAGGACCTCGATCCTAGGTAACAAAATAACTTAGGTAACTGAGGATAAATTTAAGATAACTTTACTAAGGTTAGGATATCTTTCCTAAGTTTATTTTTAATACCCTATATTTAGGTCTAAATTTTCTTGCCCCTTGAGGGTGCCTAAGGTAAGGGCTGCGGAAGATTTTGCCACCCTACACCACACTTCCAGTTTGTAAATCTCGGCTCCCATATTGTTGTCATGAGACGCTGCGTATACGAGTATTGGGTAACGCAATGGTTATTAGTCGCACGATATTCACAATTAATACTACACCCAACGCAACATAGGCAGGATGGCATCATAACATGAGTCGTTAGCTCTGGAGCTGAAAAATTGACAATTGGTGAAATGGCCTCCATGTAATCCGTAGTCTCAATCCCTAAGTTGAAACGGCCCTGATAACGTCTGTGTTTCTGGCGATCATCTTCGGGCCGATACAGTCAATAACGGGAATCATCCAGGCTACTGGTACAGGTTAACTTGGGTGTAATTAATTGTTCTTTGGGCAGCTATAGGGTATTATACTTTTGAAGGTGGAAGAAAACCACTTGCATATCAGCCGAAGGTAGCTTTTTGAAGCGACCGTGCAAACAAACTACTGTGTCTTGGTCACAAACTCATGTGTTCGCAAACATTCAAGTACCTATTTCTCCGTGATGTATCGACGCCCTTTACTTGAAGATGCTAATTTTGAGACAAATAATAGGGGAAATAAGTATCCAATTGACATCTTCTAATAATATTTACGTAACAGTTTCGAACATAAAACGATGCCTCTAAGAGCAGGCCTCCTGAAGCTATTCACGTCCACCAGACCGTTTATCCTTAGGCTCCTTGCATTAATCAGCCAGCTCAAGAAATAGAGGACATAAAAGAGCATGACTGCATTACCACACCGGCCTTGCTCAGTTGCTTTCGGAACTTGGTCTCACCGAGCTTGGCAGTAGGCCAGGGCCTCGGCGTGGCCAGTGCGCGAGATATACAAACTGTTGGCTCTTTTGAGACTACGAGAGGACGAAAATTATTCTAGATCTATGGGATACTACACTGCCTAGTTGGGATGAACTGACTGACATATTCCAGCCTGTTTGATCTCGGTTTCGGCTTACCCTGGTCTTCAGGTCCCTGGAAACTACGACAAGTCAACGTGGGAGGATTCAATGCCGAGGAAATAACGGGGCATGGCCCTGTTGAGAGTACATGATTGGTTCAGCTCGTCTAACACGGGGTTTTGCCGACGATTCTCAGGGTCCATAATTTACCCGGGAGGTTCATGACTCGGGCATCCTTGTTGATAGCACGTTTGAGACTTGACAGCCTTGTTGACCCCGTGATGCTGGCCGAGTTGGGCTCAAGCAGCTGAGACATGCCTTATGGCAAATCGCTTAATTAAGAGATGACATCTAGTCGGCAAGGATCGCTGAAATAAAGTTTAAGCTTATCAAACACACGGTTCAAGAAGGTGGAGTTATTAGTCACTTGTCTCATGGCTCGGCCATGCCGACAGACACACCGCATGACAGGAGATGAAGAGATGTGGATATCGTCGAAAAGCATACAGACATTATGAGAAGACACGAGTATAAAATATCGAGGTTTCCTGTGTTATTCGTTCTTCAATCAACTCAACTCAACTCATTAACTCGGTTCGCTTCCTCATAATCTGCTGCGCAGTTTCAACCCTTACAACATTCTCTTCCTTCCAAGCTCTTTACTCCAGCTTTCCCATTTTCACCAAGTCCGTGATTTATCCACCGCTTAAAAATTTCAAAATGCCTTCTTTCACCAAAGTCATCGCCGCTGTCGCCGGATGCTCTGCCATGGTCAACGGCGCTGTCATCCCAGCCGAGAACGGCCTTCACACCACCACTCTCCAGACCCGAGACACAGCCAAGGGCACTGATCATATTCTCAGCAAGCGTGAACCGGTCACGATCGCTATCCTTACTGCGGCTGGTACCGCAGCAGCTACCGCTATTGTCAACGAGGCCGTCAAAGCTGCCGCCGCTTTCATCGGTGACATTTCCAACTTTGACGCTGGCCGCGAAGCCTTCACTGTCCAAACCACTGAGTCCATGATGGCTAACAACCCCGACCCCGAGCGTTTCCAGGCCGCTGCCTGCTACAACAAAGCCTTTTCGGTTGCTGATCCTGCCAACATCGACGGACAGTCCTCTGTTGAGTTCAGACTTGGAATCCTCAACACTGATTACGAGTGCATGTACATTGCTGCCCCTAACCAGTTCTTCACTGAGGGAGATGGTGGCCTCATCAACGTAAGTTACTATTTGGTTATCTTTGAAGCTCATGAGCAATTTAACTAATGAGAAATCCAGCTTTCCTTTACACATACCGATCGATGCACTTTTGACCCGGAAACTGCTGATCTCACTTGTGTTTAAGTGATAAGCAGGAGGATTTATACTCTGTAGAAAAGGGCTAGAGAAGGCTAGAAGACACTTATAAAGCCAGAATTAGAGATGTGTTAGCCTAGACATAACATTTTATTTAATTGTACCAAAAAATGGTATAGAAAATTCTAGAAATCTACTAACCCTACACATGTAGAACTACAATTAAGAAATATCAAAATGCTATATTATTAATCCCTTTGTGCCTAAAAAATGAACGCTTATGTTAAGGATATAAAACAACTACCCTTTAAGCATAAAGTTAAAGCAAGGACGTCTCAGTAAGGTAGGGTAAGCTTGGTGTTCAGTTTAACGGTGTTTCTTTGCTTGTCTTTTCGAAGTTTCTCAGCACTGGAATCAAGCTTCGTGATGACATGAATCGTATAGATTCACTTTACGATACTTCTGGAGCTCTTGGCAATCAATAGGAAGAGGGAGGTTTGATAAAAAGTAGTTAAGTGGCCGTGAAAATTATATTAATTAGAGAGACTCTTGACAACCTGAGACGTAAGTCTGCTCACCATTCTCCCCTCTTCACGCTTGCTAGCATCACTCATTACCAGCATTATCCTAAAGATGAAGGACTCTACCATTAGCCTCATCTCGGCTACTATCCTTGCTGTCTTTGCCCGTTTCGGAGCGATTGATGTCTGATCTGTCGCCTAAGATCGCCCTACGCCCCCGACAGCTCTGGCCTCAAGCCGTGACCTGTATCAGGACAGCTTTGCCTTTGAAGGGTCGACTCTACTCACATGTCCTGCTCCCGTCTCTACTACCTGCACTCCCTGGACGCGTGGCGTCAATTCCTATACCGATGGAGATGGTAAAATGGATGAGACGATGACTGAGTTGCTGGAGATTTTCCATTGCGTTGAGTAATAGCTCAATAGAATCCTGGCAGTTTAGGACGAGATATCTGGCATTATAAGCAAGATCTCCAAGTCTGTCAAGCCACCATTCCCAGGGTCAGGTACCCTCCTTGCTATTTTCGCTATCATTACGATCTGTAAGACACGCCTCAAGAACTGCTTCAACTTCTTCGTCAAACAGGCTGAGACTTAAATAGGAAATGGTCACGCGACGGTGCGAATGATGTTGATTGGGCTAAGTTGCTACGGTGGGCCACAAGCCCTGAATATGACCCCTGTAACAATGACTAAGCTATAGTGTAGTCCCCTGTAATTGCCTCCCGTAACAGACTGCCATGAACAACGCCCTTGAACACCTAGAACCCACAAACTAAGTTACTAAGAGCTCTGTGCGTGTCACAAGCGGATCTTATGTCTCTTCAACGTTCACTTGCCTTTGCATCGTGCACAATCTTCCCGATACGCCCTTGGAACAGGTATCTAGTCATTCGAAACGCGTTATACCAATCGTCAAAATGAGATACCAGAGTCTCGGTCTTGTTTTCGCCATTATACTGGCCTTCTTCACCCTCCACGGAGCGATTGATATCCGCTCCAGCGCCCAACAGGACAGCATGTCCTCGACAAGTCTCGCCCCCAATGCCGAAGTCCCTAGGGAGATGGGAACTCTCACGATCGATGGCTCTCTTGAGCTTGAAACTCTCTTTTTCTTCATCGGTCGCCCTCTGGCGATATCAATAGCTAGCAAGAGAAGCTCAGACCCTAAACTCTACTCATTTTAGACGACTTATCATAAAACAACCTAAATTTGCCTAAACTTAGGACATAGATCCTAAGGCTTGTCTAAGTTCGCTGCCGTAATGGAAGCCACCAGCTATATGCGTAAACTGTATATCATACATTTGGTTCACAACTTGGACATCGGATTAAAAGGTCTTCGTGATGACACTGAAGAGATGCAAGATCAAGAGAAGTTTACGCGGACGTAAAGTAAGTTCCTTGCGCTGATTCAACTGAGTTCTGTCTGCTGATTTAAGCTCTCAGCCAGAAGTCTCAACCGCAAATCACACATCTGGCTTACCGCCATAACCTAATCACCTGCATCCTTGTCCTTGTGATGACAGAAAATTCAATAAATCCAAACCTACTGAGATTTAACTTTTCACGATAACATTATTCGGCCTGGCAAGTATAAAAGAGTCGACAGTCTACCTTTTTCCTCTGACCTTTCTCTCCCTCCTGTTTACCAATGGCCTACCCCACGTAATAAACTTTCAGAGCGACTGGCTCTGCTAAAATACCTCAAAATGTTGATGCGGGGGCTGTCCCGATTGTTTTGCCGCCAAAAAGGCCAATACCGCAATTCTTCAAGTACGTCCGATAAACTTGTTGGATGAATTAGTGCTAATGTCCATATCAAGCAAACACAACTATTGACGCGACTCCAGAGACGGCTTTTCATGGCGCCGAAATCAGATCGATCGCGGAGATCTGTACAAACACTGGAGTCCCAAAGGCGAATATCCATGACGTCCCTGACAAACCAAACGTCCAGGATTGCACCAGCAGGAAGGTTGAAGTAGTCATCGATCAAGCCCAATTAAACTTACCGAAAGACATGACTGAGGTCTTCAAAAAACAAGGCAGTCATATTTTGAATCTTCCAGATGAGATCCTCTTGCTCATCATCAAGAACCTGCATGACGGTTCCGATAAGCCCTCACTATTTGGCTTTTTCGTTCTTCGTCAAGTTTCGCAACGGTTCAGGAGCCTTATGAGAGACAGGATGTTTCTGTCCCATGTCTTCTCCGATAGCGGTTGCTGCGAAAGATGCTCAGGAGGGTTCTGTGGGAAATGGACGCGCATCAGCCCCTCGTCCTACAAGCTCCACTGCTTCGAAAGCAAGATAGAAAAGTCAAACATAGACGTCAAAGGACTGGGACGTCTCATTAGGAGGGAACGAATTTGCAACATGTGTCGACCCGAGTTTAGGTCTCGGCGGCGAGCAGGTGTCTCCCTGGATTGCAAGTTTGCAGCACGTACTCGTAAAGACTGGATGTACTGTTGTGCGTGCAAAGCTGAACACCCAACGCTCTGTTTCTCAATAGAACAGGCTCAGAAGAAGTCAGATCGGGTATGCATTGCCAGGACAGGCTATATTCGTATATGCGCCCATGAAGTAATCACTTGGGATGAGGTACAATCAAATCTTGGAAGTGGACAAGACGTTTGTACGAGGTTCAAGAAAGTCTGCAAGCATCCCAGCCACCTTTTTCATCACAATGACCCTCGAAGGCTACCTTCTGACCTACCCTCCGTTGAGGCTTACGGGGCCCAAGACAGCTTTGCTCTTTATCTTTCATCCGGATTGCACTCACAGGAAGACCTCAATGAAACTTATTTTCAAGGTCGCGGTACGAACGACAAACCGTTGCATAGAAACCATATTTTGCCATTTGGCATGGTGCAGATGGCACGGGAGTTTGACGGAAAGAGCACGAGGGTACACGCTGAGAAAATGGCGGGTCAATCAGCATCGATCTCTTTGCAAGATTGCTTGGAAGACTATGAGTGTCATATACTTCGCTACAGAAGAACGGTATGCTCCAGTGCTTTGGTACACAACCTTCCGGGACACGAATGGTATCATACAATCAGTCCAGAGTCTTATTCTTATGCCGGACCTTGCGGTGTTCCAGAGACCTGCTCTGATCCATTATGCCGAAACCATTACTCTTCGGGGCTTCGCTTTGGGCATGCTGGTTACGGGAAGAATAGCGAATACAATCATTTATGGAGGAAAAAGAGGTAGTATAATTCGCTAATCTAATGTTCCCAAGGTTGGATTGTTAGTCGTCTCGCACAAGCTTTCCTGGAGGATACTGGATATGTAGGCATAGGCATATGAAGTAGGGAACCTTAAATGGAATCTATTTAAGAACATGCGGAATAGGACCAAGATTGTCAACGGAAATAAACGGTAACTTCATACGAAGAACTGCAAGTTACATTAGGTGCTCACAGTCGTCTGTAAGGTTGATCTTAGAAGTCTTTTTCGAATATCCTAGTTTAGCCGGCTACATAGGATGGCCTGCCCGCGAATACTTGACTTATGCCAACATATGATGAATCTTCGCAAGACCCTGCCGGTCGCCTTCGAGTGTTCCAGCCTTATCCACATCTACCCAGCCCGCGGTGGATCCTTCCCCGAAGTCAATAACCCAAGCATCATCATTCTGATCTATAAGAACATTCTCAGCTTTGGCGTCACCCCATGTGATGCCCTTCTTGTGTAGATGGTCTACTGATCTCTGGATCTGAGAAGCCCATCGCTTTCTCAACTCTGGAGGACTCGCTGCAGCTCTTGCCTTGGACAGCACGCCCTTGTTAGGAATCCAAGCGAATAACATTCCGAGCAGTCCATCACCTTGCCGAACTACCCCTATTAGACGGCAGATATGTGCTTCGGGTGGCGCGGGTATCTGGGCCTCGATGATCTTCTTTAATGTCATGAGTTCTTTTCTCGCGTGTGAGGGACCAAAAGAGAGCCCGAACCTTTTGAAGAAGCAAGGGATCGGTTCTCCATCTCTGCTGATTACCATGGTGCGCTTAGGTGGTTTGATCAGACTCTCATCTGGTCCAGCGTAGGATATATCAACCTGCCATGGCGTGTAGCGCTCCGTCCAAGTGTTGAGATCCTCCAGGAAATCGTCGTCGAACTTGACGATCGGGCTACTCCAGCCGTGATTCTTTTTGTCAAGTTCTTGGGGCACCAACTTATCATCCATGGCTGTCAAACCACAGACAAAGGCTTCTTTGGGGAAGAAGTAATCAGCCAAAGTCGGCTCTGCAGTGACATCAAGGTCTGAAGAAGATGCAAGCTTGGTTATCAAAGGCTCAAAGCAACCTAGCAACCACTCGAAAGCATCCTCCTCGTAGAAGTCATCGATTTCGACTTCGCCAGTTCTCAAGAGTTGAAGACACTTGAAGTATTGCGATGCGACGGAGGGAGATCGAACAAACTGACTGGGACAAATGTGACAATAGAACACGTGGCCAGAATTAGATCGGATGACCAAATCACAGTCATTCTCAGTATCATGTACTTGCCAAAGAGCGATATCGTAATGCCAGCCTTTGTCAATTTCGAGTGATGTATCCATATTTGCTCGTGACGTTCAAGAAAAAAAGTGTTTTGGAGGAGTGGTTTCGGGCGAATTTGATGGTCGCTGGTGCCTAATAGCGACACCAATCAGCGCAAAGATCGCCTATTCCGTGTTTTGGAGACAATATCTCAGTGACGAGAAGAACATAGTGTGATCCTTTAGACTTGTTTCCTTCAAAGTTCCAAGAGACTTTGTTTGTTTATTGGGAGTATTTCATTGTTATCGGCCGCAGCACTCCTAGAGGGATCTTTCCCATTGACCCCCACGTGATTTGATCTATCCATGCATGCATGATTCCGCTCCAATTATCGCGCTTCACATCGGACGTCAAGGCAGCAATCGCGCCAGCAACGCATTGCATACGGCCAGGAATACTTAATAATCCTTCCGTCCAGCATTAACCTCTCGCAAAAAGTGACGGTATACTCACATTATCATACCTTCCCCGCCAAAGTCACCATGGCAGCTACTTCAAATATGTTTCTGTACTCACTTTCGCTCCAGTCTCCGACGGCTATTTCGCAAGCCATCGTCGGCTATTTCTCTGGCACCAAGGAACAGCAAGTTCTGACAGTATCGGGGTCCATTCTGACCTTACACCGTCCCGAACCGACTCTCGGCAGAGTCCGGCCATTCCTTTCGCATGACCTCTTCAGCATAATCCGATCGGTTGTCTCTTTCCGCTTAGCTGGAAGCTCCAAAGGTACGCAAGAGCTTTTCAAGCCGCCAATCACAGGTGGTTCCAAGTTGCAAGGATAAAGCTAACTTCTCAGATTATATTATTGTAACAAGCGACTCTGGCTGCATCGCCGTTATCGAGTATCTGCCTACTCAAAACCGTTTCTCTCGCATTGTCCTAGAGGCGTTTGGAAAGTCTGGCGTGCGCCGTACTGTTCCAGGTGAATACCTGGCTGTTGATCCAAAGGGAAGAGCCTGTATGCTTGCGTCCATCGAAAAGAACAAGCTTGTCTACGTCCTCAATCGTAACTCCCAAGCCGAACCGACTATATCATCCCCCCTCGAAGCACACAAACATGGAGTCCAGGTTCTAGCCCTAGTAGCCCTCGATGTGGGATATTCCAATCCCGTCTTTGCAGCTCTTGAGACGGACTATTCAGAGTCTGACCTGGTCTCCTCTGGACAAGAGATACCTGACGTTGAGCTTGTTTACTACGAGCTGGATCTGGGCCTGAACCATGTCGTCCGAAAATGGTCGGAAACTGTAGATTCTACGGCATCTTTACTCTTCCAAGTTCCTGGTGGAATTGATGGTCCAAGTGGCGTCCGTGTCTGTGGAAAGGAAAGTATTACCTACCGACACACGAACCAGGAGCCTCTTCGTATCCCCATTCCGCAGCGTCGTGGACCACAGAAGACCCGCAACGGAAGCGTACTATTGTTAGTGGTGTGATGCACAAGCTCAAGAACAGCCCAGAAGCGTTCTTCCTTTTGCTGCAGACAGACGATGATGATATTTTCAAGCTGACGTTCGACCTACAAGTCGGAGATGGTAGTCTGATAGGAGAGTTACGGCGTATCAAGATTAGGTATTTCAATACTCTCCCTATTGCCAGCAGCCTCTGTATTCTTAAGAGCGGGTTTCTCTTTGTCGCAGCTGAGTCTGGTAATCATCATTTCTATCAATTTGAGAAGCTCGGCGACGACGATACAGAGCCCTCAGTTACCAGCGACAATTTCCCCAGCGATCCGCGTGCTGTATAACAGCCTGTCTACTTCTACCCACGCCGTCTAAAGAATCTCACCTTGGTAGAAAGCATCGATTCTTTGAGTCCTCTTATGGACTGCAAGGTTGCTGATTTGGTTGGGGGCGGCACACCGCAGATCTATTCAGTCTCTGGCAGCGGTGCGAGAAGCCATTTTCGGGTGCTCAAGCATGGGCTAGGGATTAATGAGGTTGCAACATCTGAGTTACCGGGGACAGTTTCTGGTGTATGGACCACCAAGTTAACAAGGCATGACAAGTACGACGGGTACATCATCTTGACCTCCTCCGATAACACGTTGGTCATGGGCGTCGGAGATGAAGTCCAGCAAGTGAGCGATTCCGGATTTCTCACAACTGTGACCACCCTCGCCATCCAGCAAATCGGGGATGATGGTATAGTACAAATCCATGCGCGAGGTATCCGACATCTCCGCGGCGGGGAAATCAACGACTGGCCTGTCCCCCAACATAGAGTTATCGTAGCTGTTGCTACAAATGAGCGACAGATTGCAGTGGCTTTGAGCTCAGGAGAGATTGTTCATTTCGAGATAGGTAGTGATGGATCACTTGCTGAGTACGATGAGCGGAAACAGATATCTAGCACTGTAACCTGTCTCAGCTTAGGGCCGGTCCCTGAAGGGCGACTCCGAAGCCCAATTCTGGCGGTAGGATGTGAGGATTGCACTGTTCGAATCTTGAGCTTGCATCCAGATTCCACGCTTGAGAGCAAGTCTATACAAGCGCTGATAGCGGCACCCTCGGCGCTTAACGTCATGGCAATGGAGGATCCATTATTGAGTAGCTCTGAACTGTTCCTAAACATCGGCCTGAGTTCTGGGGTCTATCTGAAAACTAGACTCGATGGAATCACAGGACAGTTATCAGATACGCAGACGAGATTCCTTGGTCTCAAGGCTATTAAGCTCTTCCAGGTAACAGTCAAGGGTCAAACCTGTGTTTTGGCCCTGGGCTCTAAGCCTTGGATGGGGTATACTGACCCCAAACGAGGGCTTATTATGACACCTCTTGATTACGATGAGCTGGAGTGGGCATGGAACTTCAGTAGTGAGCAGTGCGGTATCATCGCGGTTCACGCCAACTTCCTGCAGTGAGTATCCCTTTTCTACACCCCTTTGAGTCTTGCTATTCACCGCCGTAGCACCAGCATCACTCTTTACCTCGCTAACCTAATCTTTAGCATATTTTCTATTGAGAGTCTATCTGATAACATGGTCCGAAAGTCTCTACCTCTGACCTATACACCACGGCATTTTGTTAAGCATCCTCATGAACCCTACTTCTATACGGCTGAAGCGGATAACAACACACTGGGTCCTGAGTTACGTACACAGCTACTGGGAGCCTCTGAAGATAAAACTCAAAAGGATGAGAAACTACTCCCACCAGAAGAGTTTGGCTATCCGCCTGGTCGTGGCCGATGGGCCTCGTGCATCAGTGTTGTCGATCCCATCGGCGAACAAGTGCTTCAAAAGATCGAGCTTGGAGGCAACGAGGCTGCTCTGTGTGTAGCGGTGGTTCTATTCACTGGACAGGATGGCGAGAACTTCTTGCTTGTTGGCACTGGGAAGGACATGATCCTTGATCCCAGGCAATTCTCAGAGGGCTACATCCATGTCTATCGCTTTCAGCAAAACGGGAGAGGGCTGGAGTTCATTCACAAGACCAAGGTAGAGGAACCTCCAATGGTGCTAGTAGCTTTCCAAGGCCAGCTAGCTGCAGGAATTGGCAAATCTCTACGGATATATGATCTAGGCTTGAAATAATTACTTCAAAAAGCTCATGCTGAAGCGGTACCGCAGTTGATTGTCTCCTTGAATGCTCAAGACAACCGTATCGTCGTCGGGGATGTCCAGCATGGCGTGACGATGGTTACGTACGATCACAAGCATCATAGGCTTATCCCTTTTGTTGATGATACAGTTGCACGCTGGACAACCTGTACGGAAGTGGTCGACTATGAATCTGTGGTTGGAGGTGATAAATTCGGGAACCTCTGGGTTGTGCGATGCCCCGAGAAAGCGAGTCAAGAGGCAAAAGAGGACGGAAATCGCTTCATCGACGCACGGAATCATCTGCGCGGCGCACCAGCTCGATTCGACATGGTGGCCTATTTCTTTACGCAGGATATACCGACCAGCATCACCAAGACCAACCTCGTCGTGGGCGGACTGGATGTTATCGTCTGGAGCGGCTTGCATGGCACTATCGGCGTCCTCATCCCCTTCGTCACACGCGAGGACGCCGATTTCTTCCACAAGCTCGAGGTGCATATGCGTGCTGCGGATCCGTCTCTTGTCGGCCGTGACCATCTGATGTACCGCGGCTATTACGTGCCGGCTAAGGGCGTCATAGACGGAGACCTCTGCGAGCGGTTTAGATTACTCCCCGTAGAGAAAAAGCAGCGGATTGCGGTTGAGCTGGATCGCACTGTGATGGAAGTCGAACGAAAGATCTCGGTACGATTCCCTTTGGCCTTTTCCATGCGGTTTATAACGAACTTGAAATGCCCATACTAACTGAAGATAGGAAGCTCGAACTCGATCCGCATTCTAGTTCAAACGGGGTTATGAAGGGGACTTTAGGGGAAGGACGTCACGCTCATCAGAACTTAGGCTAACATTAGACCAGTTCTTCTAAACAATGCTATCTGAGGCGACTAGAAATGTTCCTACACAGCCATGGGTAATTCAAGTGTCAATCTTGGTCACTGCTTTTGAAACTGGCGATAGACATATTTTTAAAGCTTCGGTTGATATGTCATGTTCTATCACTACTTACCTCTCAGCTTAACAAGCGACTGGGACAACCTATGCAAAAGCTGCCGATAAGAAATGTCATGACCATTGTCTCAACCCCGAATAGGGAGTCATATATGGCTTCATCTTACATGAGGGTGCCACGGAAAAGCCCGCTGACTACCCTGACCACATGATACCATAAACAACCAGCGAACCTAATGAGAAAGCTGATCGAGTTTGCCCACAGCCATATACGGAAGAACCAGACTTTATGCCAGTACGAGTCACCAAGCCACCACAAGATTTTGAGGCTGTCGTTCATGACAATAAGACAAACGAAAATGTTTGAGAAGATGTATGACGCGAGCAGAATAGTGCGAAACTCCATCATGGCGTCTGCTACTGCGAGAACCTGGGGGCGCTTCCTCTCCCGGCTCGCTGTCTCGTCTTCAGCCGTCGCTCGAGCCAGTGCCTCTTGGTACTCTTTATTTCTCGCTTCGGGAGTTTCATCACGCTGGGTAGCGATTGATCGAATGTTTGGATCTTGGTCGGAAAACGTGAATCGTCTCTCGATGGTAGCTGGCCTTGGTCCTTCTTGTCTCTGGCCCGCTTCGGTGTCTTGATGCCGACCTTTTCTTCCCCAGCTGACATCATGTGTATTGCTGAAAGCATAGATATTGAGAATGTTGACGTAAGACGATGATATAAACAGAAATTGCGCAAAAGATGTGAGGAGGTGCCATGGGTCAAGTGCTAGAAGAGCGCCGAGGATATAGACGCCGAAAACAGAGAACCCAGCGACAATGATAGTGCTTTGGCCAATGTCGGCGTAGAACTCCCCGATATAGGCATAATTGCTCGACCCAGTATCGTCGGCCTTGTAGTCTGCAACTCTCTTTACGAGATACACCAGATTCATGATTAGATACGCCTGAATAAGTCCGAAAATGGCGAATGATATGATATAGCTGATTCGATGATTCCTTGGGCGACTTCCAAGGGCGAGTATGAACTGGAACAAGACAGTCGCCAAGTACACTATCTGAATGACCGCGTTTACAATAGGTGTTGCCTTTCCGAATGGGAATCCTCCAGCCGGTGCATCCTTGGGAGGATCTCCAGAGATGCTATTGATAGTGAATGTCGTGAGTAGAAATGCCGCGAGCGAGAACCAAGCCAAGACCAAGGCTAGAACACTGTGAAGAAGAGGGATGAAAAAGGCCAACTTGCGCATTCGTGTATGGTCAGACCTCCACAAGTGTCCACATCTCTTCAAGACATAAATAGTCGAGAAGAAAGCTCCATTGAGCCATCGTCGTCTTTGGTTGATGAAGTCTGTTGTCGTCATGGGGATGTCAGTGGTGGCGGTGACTGGAACATACTTCAGGAGCCAGTGCGTGCGTGGTTTGCTGATTATCCTGAAACAAATGACTCTATCGTCTGCAAGGTGGCGATTGAGATTGACGGGGGACAGGGAAGGGCGAAGGTCGCCGTGGCCTTGGATCCATGTTGGGTCGCCGAGAAGCATATCTTCTAGCGGTTTACCAGCACTGCCCACGTATCTAGACAGTGAAAACGAGTCAGCATTGAATTGTGGCAGTCGATTTTGTTGTACAAACCTGTAAGCAGAACAGGCCCCGGGCAAGAGAGACAGAAAACCGGTTGCAGATTCAAACGTCCTATCAAGCTGAAATCCAACCTTGTACTCAAAGTTTTGGGCGGCAACGATGGGATTGAGAATGTTGAGCCAGTTACCGCCCAAAGAGCAAGAGATCTCTCCACAGGCTGCAGCAAGCATAGGCTCAAGATCGAATTCCTTCCATAGCTTGAACAGCGCCTGCTTGCCCAGCTTGGTGCCCACGTCGAGATGAACTGTAATATTGGGGTCCAAGACTTTGGCGAACCCATTGTAAAGCCACCGGTATGAGTTGAGCTTGCCGCAATTTGAAGCCTTCATGAGTAGCATAAGCTGTACTGGGAATTTCATGGACCGCGAGTGAAGGTTGAGGGAGTCATTGTTGCCATCTGGATAGTCCTCACAACCTAGATGGGTTGCTAAATGAGACGAAAATTCAAACTGGAGGCAAAACAAATCCATGTTAAAAAGAGTTCGGGACTCACGTACTAGGGCAGACTTACAAGGTGTCCCGTTACTTCCTCTCCTTTCTCCGTCGTCCTTTTGCACAATCCATTCTGATAAAGACCGAGAGTGGTGAGTACGTCGAGAACACCAGGGTCCACGGACTCGATACCGTCGATGAGGATACAAACCACGATCTTAGTCCAGGATCTCTTTCCCCAGACTTTTGACTGTGTACGGATATTTAGATACCAGATATTCTGGACAACACTCTGCAAAGTACGACGAAGTAGGTGTTTTGGTTCGTTATAAACTGTGATGCCGACGAGAATTTCTGTATGGCGCGGGTAGTGGAATCGCTTGGGCCGAAGATCATGTTTCTGGAAGAACTCTTGAGGATCTGTTGAAATTGCTGTATCTGTGAAACTTGCGGGTCAGTGAAAGGCCCGGCGAGTAGGGTGAGTATTCCTACAGGTCAGATGAGCCATCTCATAGATATCCTCTTGTGTCATTGAGTCAAAGTCAAGCGCGGCATCCGCAAGGTCCGAAGGAATCGGCACGTGGACCTGAGACTCCGAGTCATGGCCAAGGGGAGACGTTACAGGGCCATGCCTTGCAACGGGTTGCAGTTCTGTGCCTGTCTCAGTTCAGTAATGAACGATAATTTTCTATAGAGCACGCACCGTGTTCGGGGTCTTCAACGTAGTCAGGAACCTGTGAGAATAGAGGTGCCCGATCTGACGTAGACATTTGGTTCTCTCCATCAGTATCAAAGCTGAGACGATGGAATGGTAGTGCAGCCCCGTTTTTGGCCTGCGGGGTCGACATTCCACTATCTACAGGGGACTAGGCCTTGTCTGAACAACGACTCATACAGCTGGATCGACTTGCAGTGAGCTCTGTGTAGCTCAAACTCGGCTCTGCAAGAATCCTCAAAATATTGTTAGAGACTTCACGAGGCTTCGTGGCATCGCTGCCACAGACGCGTTATTTGCCATCTCGTGCGGCTGAAAACCTAAAATCGCCTAGCTATTCTGCCTTGCCTCAGCTTTCGCTCCAATCCCTGTTGCAGTTGCAAGCCGTCGCATACCCTATACTGCTTCCCCCTTGTTCTCAGCTCGAGAATTCAGATGTGTTTCGATAACAATGAAGTCAAACCGAACAGTAAACGGTCTTATAAGCTGTTAATTAAACCATTGTGAATCATAAAATCCGGGTCCTCAGCTTTCGTACTTCCTCAGGCTTCTTATCCTGGCTCCTCACCGCTCTTAAAAGGAGGGTGTGTTGTTTACGGGTTCAATTGGCCAGTGCTGCAGGTGACATTGTGAAAGGTATTTCAACCGTGCATCGATACCCAATTGTGACAAACGCCTTTCCGTGCCCAATTGAAATGTAAAAATAGCACATTATGCCTCGCCAACAGCCAAAAGTCCATCTGCCCTAGCGTTGTCCTAGACGTGTTGCCGATGGAAGAACCATGCCAAAATCAACTGCCCCGATGTGACCTGCTAGTTTTCCTAGTACACTCTAAGATTTCTTCTTCATTCCGATACCCTCTCGCGACACGACTCGAGCAACCATGAATAACGCCGACTCGCTGGTCGACTGCTGCAAACAGTGGTCAAAGTATCCCCGCAACTTGCTGCAGCCGTGCCACAGACAGAGTGTACTGAATGATTACCGGTCGCGCCTCGACAAACCAAAGACGAAGCTTTTTGATGCCAATCGAGAAAACATACACTTCCTCGAGCCTAACGGATTTGTACGCGGTCGGTAACGACCCAGAAAATATTTTAATGCTTTTATCTCATAGTTTTCAGGGTACAAGGAAACGGCAATCGCCGGTCCAGCCGATCTCGAGAAGCATCTTGGACCGAACGGCGAAGACCCCCATTATTGTATGATGTGAGTCGATTGAACTCCCAGTAGGTGAATCAAGACTACTGAAAGCTCATCCATTATAGCTTTATTGAATCCAGAAATTCGCGATCGCCATTAAACTGCTCCCACCAAAGCTTCTGCTACCTATCGACATTTTATCAGATTCCTGTCAGCTTCCTGGACTTTCTGTTTTCTTTCGGCCAAAGCACGGAACCCTTGGACTATCATATGACTGGCTTTGATGGGTCTGATACCCTTGATACCCCACAAAGCGAGATTCTCCAAATTCCCAAGCTTGGGCGTTCTGGTCGGGAGCACACCGTGCAGTACCTCCTGCGCTCCGTCGAGAAGTCTACAGAGAGAGGTCAGGTAGTCTGGCATATTCGTCAATTGGCTGTTCATCACAAATTCGACTTCATTACCGGGAAATCATTTTGGCTCAGCATCAAAGCCAACTCTGTCGTACAAGAAAGGCTCAAGGAAGCGATCGCGGACAACCCAAAGTTCAACCCAGAACCTACAAGTAGAATGGCATCATCTTTCGCAGCAACATTGATGACCATTCTCGTGTATCTTGAGTGGTGTGATGAGTCTTGGCGAGAATGCGTCAATGATCTAGAGGGAAATATACGCGTTGTGCTGAAAAGTGCAGAGACAGCATCAGTTAATCACCAGCCTGGTTTGCGTGCATCTGCCATGAGATTCTCGACTATCGGGACTGCTACTGCAGCATTTGGCGAACCGGAAAAGTATAGCCCACCGAGCCTTCGGCTTTTCAACGCAGGCTACGGTATGGAAAAACCACTGGCGAAGTATCTCCCCTCCGCTCTTGGCAAATCATTGCAGCAAACGAACGCAACCCCATTGCTTCCTCTGGGGCCGAAGACCGCAGCAGTCCCAGGGACAGGTACTAACGATGGTTTTTCTGAGCACCCCAGGAAAGTTCTTGAGACGTTCTCGGTAGAAAACTTGCAACATCTCCATTATATCGGCGGACAACTCGAAAAGTTCCGCTTGGTGATGCTGCTGAACCGCCAGACATTACGAGATATCTCTGAACACTACCAGGATTTGACAATCCGAGAATATTTCCCCTCAGAACACCGAGAAGAATGTGACCGAAGTCTGAATTCATTCGCCCGGCGAGTGGAGCGCATAAGACGAAATTTGGAAATTCGGGTCACGCAGCTTGAAGCACTGCGCACCTGCCTACAGGAGGGAAAGACACTGGTAAATCTGATTGGACGCCGTATCATATCATTTGCTTACCAACCTATCTTAGGTTGGGGTAATACTGCAACATCGCACCATGCAGGCTGGCCGCATTTCCACCGAGAGCTCCCACAGCCAGTCAGACAAGATAGAACAAATGTCATACAAGGCAAAACGAGAGAAAGTGCCTATGCATATAGTGGCAATTGTCGCCATATTATTTCTGCCTGGCACATTTGTATCTGTAAGTACCTCGCGATGATCTTTGTGAAACCAGGCCGAGAACTGCGCTGATTGACAAGGCAACTTTATCAAGTGGACTGTTCGATGTTAGCAAGGCCTCATATGACGCCGACGGTTTTACTACGTTTGATCTTGGTCCCTTGACGCTTTTCACATTGATTAGCTTTTCCCTTATGATCATTACAATCGGATTATGGGTCATTATACTCAAGTTGTTGGATCGCCAGGCTTGTAAGAGACAGAAGAGTGTCCAGCCAGCACAGGATTTGTTTCATCATGTTTAGAGCTTTTCCGATTGTCGGTGATGCAATTAGATCGTATGTACTGGGGGTATTGCTGCTATTTCATGCTCAGCCACAAAGCTTGGCCACGAATTGAGTATCCTTAATCATCTCGAGTCAAACCTAACCATCATCGTTGGGTCTGGAGTTAACAGACAGCATTTTGGCTATCAAGAAAAGGGAATTTTCCACCTCTCAGTGTAACTGACCCACTATTTCCGGTTATCTTTGAGCTGTCCTCTGGTTGATACAATTTCCAAACTTTAAAGGAGACGGACAGTATGAAGCGAGGGCCTCGTTATGTCTTTAGCACCACCTTACTTAGCCTATCCACAGTTGGATCAGATGATGTCCAGGTGAGAGGTAACACGATTCGCAGAAAGTCTATTGTCTATCTTGAACGACTAGGTCCCTTCAAATACGCGAGCTTTGCTTCAAAAAACTTTCAGGGTGTGCTTTTCAGCAGTGCCTCGGCTGCGCTATTTGCAAGCTGTGCGGCTGAAAGCTCACATTCGCCTTCTTTTCGTAGTCTGCCTTATGAGCTCCGTCAACCCAATCACATTGAAGATCTACAGCCACATATAGGATGACAGAATAACTGATGCCTAGCTCCCGTCACATTAAGATGGGTTAATTTCTTCAAATATCACCACCGGGATCATAGGTTCCAAGACAGGCGTGTCGCATTTGGTCGAGACCGACACAGGAGCACTCTCAGTGGCTCGCATACGCCACGTAAGCAAAATACAAGCTGTATCGCTTAACGATTGGTTTGGAATCCACGGAATATTATGGTAGAGGCGGTGTCGCATTACTCGTAGTGTTACGTCGTAATTTGTGGCCGCTGTTGATTTTCAGACCTTCAAGTGTTTTTTCATCCACAATTACGGGAATAGCTCGACACGTTCAATTGACCGATCCACTACCGCACATTTTATAGGGTCGATTGGCTGGACTGTTCGAGATGGACTCGTATCAGTTGTTGAAGCGCAGCTGTGAGCAGTGGTCTACGTACCCGACTTATTTGTTGCGGCCTGACCAGCGGAGGAACGCCCTTGAAAGTTATCGCCTCGCCCTGGACGTGTCTGAGCGACAGCTTTTCCAGGCCAGTACTGAAGATGTTCATATTGTCGAGCCGAGCGATTCTCCAGATGGTAATTTTATCCGAATACCCCACTTCCCAAAGGCTTGACGCGTCTGACTTGCTCCAGGCTATGCTGAGCAGACGATCGCGAACCCCTTTGCTTTGCGAAAACATCTGGAGCAGAACCGCAAAGACCCCCAAGCTTCACTCATGTAATCACAGCCACTTGACAGAACTTGGAGAAACGCGATGCTAACTCGTTAAGCTTTATTAATTCTGACGGTCCACGTACTCCATTGAACTGTTCACGTGAAAGCCTAGCTCTTATCTGTTCCCATTACCAGATCCCAGCCAGCTTTCTGGATTTTGTATCTTCGTTCGGATATACCAGCGAGCCACAAAATTATCACACGACTGGATTTGACAGCTACGACACCATCGAGAACCCCCGATCAAATCTCCTGGAGATTCAGCAGCTTGGCCGTTCTGGCTTGGAGCATGGCGTGCAGTATATGCTCCGATCTGTTGAAAAGTCAACTGAGGATACGGGAAACAGAAAGTGGGAGATTCGTCAGATGGCTATTCACCACAGATACGACTTCGGCCACGGAAAGGCATTGTGGCTAAATATCAAGAACGATAATGCTATGTCTGAGAGGATGAAGGAAGCAATTGCCGAAGATCCAGCCCTCAATTCCGCTTTGAGTAAGGATATACCCGGTTCCTTTGCTGCATCACTGCGGACACATCTTGTGCATCTTGAATGGTGTGACAATTCCTGGAGAGAGTTCATCTGTGACAAAGAGGGTGAGATCCGGAGGACATTGAAAGGACTCAAGGCAGCTCAAAGCGGCAACAAACATGATGTCCACTCTTCTTCTCCTACAGAGCACGCTGGTAGTGGGATTCAGGCTGAGACTCGCGAAACTGCTGGTCTGCAGCGCTCGGTATCCTGGCGACTGGCTGAGGAGATCGAGGACCTCGATAAATTTCCGTTCAGGGAAGCTGAAAAGCTTGATTCACTTTTCGAGCGACTGGAGCAATCGCTACTGGTCATACAGTTAAACATACAAACCTTGCGCGATATCTCAGATCATTACGAAAACCTGGCAACGCGCGATAATCTGCCAAGCGAGATGGTGACAAGGTCCTTCTTCAGCGACTTGGACTCATTTTCCCACCGGATAAGTCGCATCCAAAAGAACCTGGAAATCCCTGTAACTCAAGTCAAGTCCCTAATGTCCTGGCTACGGAAGGAAAGGGAATTGGTATGGCTCTTCCTTTCTGTCGATCGCCGCACACTGCTGATTCCAACTTCTCTTCCAGTTTGAAGAAATCATGCGTTATCGCAGCGTTCAAGCTAGTTGCTTCTTTACTAAGACTTCACATCTTCACCTCGACAGGATGCAGCAAATTGCTCACAAGACCCAAGAGGACACGATGTCTATGCATGTCATAACCCTCGTCACGTTGGCGTTCCTACCTCGAGCCTTCGTAGCTGTAGGTTTATCCGTTCTAGTGTACTGGGAGAAGCACTAATGCATGATATCGCTTCTAGAGCTTCTGCAATATTCGGCCTTTCAGCCGTAATGACTCACAGTCAATCAGCGTTGTACCCGAAGCATGCCGCGTTGCTTCGGATCTCTTTGCAGCGGCAACCTTACTACTCACATGCATTAGTCTCTTGTTCTGGTATTCCCTTTTTTCACGTTCTAGGGGAAATACGAGAATAGGACCGCGTAGGCATAATCTTCGACACAGCATTGCATCAAGGTGGCTGTAGACTGGAGAGAGCTGAAGTTTGTAAAGTTGGATGACGTCGAGTTGTACAGGGCGAACTAAGCTTTCATCAATGGGCCTCCAATATAAATACCACATGTATCTTGTTTAAAAAGATTAATAACCACTAGATATCAACACAATCCAAAATCTGTCTGTACTGCCTTTGCTCCACTTGTCAGTATATCTGATTTACTAATCCCATGTGTCTTCGAGCTCTCCTTCGGTTCATGCTATTTCTTCATCCGACAAGCGTAAGTACTCGAAAGAAACGTGTGGCTGTGGGGCATCGTCCTCCATATCATCCATCATTTCACCTCTGACGAGTCCATCATCTATGAACTTTCTCTCTTTATTGAAGAGGTTAAGCCGCCGAACACAACGATACTTATTGACACGGTAACCGACGACGATATCAGAAACAGAAAACTCTAGACTGCGATTCTTCTCTCGGCGTATGTTGCCGCTTAAAGCGGCCCCTGTACCTGTCCGTGGTTCCTGTACACCAAGCTGTCCTTCGACTTCTGCTTGACTCGTATTGGACTTGTTGTACTCCAGGCCTTTAGCCACCTTGAGCCCAGTGATCATGTAGAACACAGATGTCCACTTAGAAGAGCCCTCAAGTACTAGCTGGACCTGGGGGATGGCGAAAGTGGCATCAAGGAAGTTGTCATCTGGGTCAAAGTACGTTGTCAAGACCTCATCGCAAGTGATAGTGTTTTCTGCGTCGCTCGAGCCCGAGATGGCTGCTGAACCACGAGCATACTCACTGAAGGCTTTGACCCAGGCCTCAAACTTCCCTTCTCGGACCTTTGAGCAGGTTTCGCAAAAGCCACTCTGGGGAACTGGAGCATATTTCAGCTCCTCTCGGATTTTGATGCGGCTTGACCGGTTCAAAGCAGCGCGTCCGAGGCCGAGGTCTGTGAATATCGCGCCCAAGAACAAAGGACCGTTGTCTGCTGCCATGTCGAAACGCGGAACAGGATGATAGGTGTTATTGCCCCGTGTAGTTGATGCCATGGTCGGTTTGTCTCTGACTGAAGAACGTGCGACTGTTATCACAGCTAAGAGTCTAAAATGGCCGTCCTTAGTAAAATCGATACCTTGAAGGACGTACTCGGCATCTCATTGTAGTGATGCTAGGGGTGAGCTGAGCTTGTGAGGCCTCCGGGCGTAAAAGTGACGCGCTAAGCGGGGAGGAACATGCATCAGAAGATGCATATTTGGGCCAATGGCATCTGTCCACACCTGCATATCCTCAGACTTGTCACAGTGGCGTTGCCATCTGTTACAAAAGGAGAACATCTTGCGATCCAATGGCAGGGAGAACATCGGACAGGAGGATCAAGGACTGAATATGCACTGCAAACATCAGCATGTGTAATTGACGCAGCACAAATCCCCCAGGTTTGTAGCGCAGCAGTAGTCTTCTCGGAGTTTGACAGCAGATATAGGATACGTGATTAGTCTGTGCAATTCGTATTGTGGCGCTAGCAATCTGGCTTTGGACTTTTACTAGGTCCAGTGTACGAGAAACTCCCTAAAGACTCTAGCCACGTCCTCGTTATTGGCTTCGCCTCCCCACAGTTGGTCACTCCAAGGTTTAATACAATGATATGCCCCATTCGTCTCGCCATTATCCGTCATTTTGTAACGGAAAAGCTTACGCATTGGTCCATAGGCTTGGAGAGCGTTGGCTTCGTCAGCGCGAAGATTTCTCCGAGCAAACTCCAATATGTTCGCTGCAATCGCCGCTGCTACTGGAGTAGCGAAGGAGGTGCCTGAGATACAGCGCTCTTCGCCCTGCCAATACGACTGGATGTTCTCGCCAAGAGTCGCAAAATTATCCATAGTGGACTTGGCCACTGGATTCATGTTCAGATTCGGTACGGCGCGTTCATTAGTTACGTGAATGCAAAAAACACCCGGATGGTTAGCTGGCCAAGGCCTCGATCTGTTGCCACCTGAGTTGGAGGCAGCTGCAAATATTAGCTTGCGATCCAACACAAGCTTGTCCAGTACTTGTTTCAACTGTGGAGAAGGGCATTGCTGCCCAAGACCGAAAGAGAGATTGATGATGTCAGCCTGCTCGCCTGCCCATTCAAGAGCCTTGCATGAGTGACACGTTAGTAGTTATTGTGATATATTGAGAAACACATACCTTGGCAAGCCGCCCGACTTGATCTTCCGAAAAGGAGCGCGTGTCGGAGACTTTTGCAACATATACTTCGCATTCTGGCGCGTAGCGTAGCACCAGTCTGGCGACATGTGTTCCATGACCGTGTATGTCATTCCAATCAGCCTCCTTACCAATAAAGCTTCGACAATTACGAACTCTCTGCTCAGCATGGATGAAAAACGGGTCATCATTGGGACAAAACCCCGTGTCAATGATAACGACCTTGACTCTTTCATGAGGGAAAGCTGCTGGGATATCGACTTCAGCCACTCTGAGTATATACCTCTCGACAAATCTATCCATTCGTGTTGAAAAATCATGTTTAGATCGAGTTTTAAGCTGATTAGACTTTCTAAAGAATTATTAGCGTCGTGTAGCTCAAGACATCAAGTTACCTACAGCATCTCATTTCTATCGTCTTCATCAGAGAACAACGTGAATGTGGGCAAGGCTGGCCTGTGATCTAGTGCCCTGTGAGCACCATGATCAATATTTTGTGTAGGAGGCTTTCCACACTGCGAAACTTGCGCTTCCCAAATGTCAAGATTCGTCCTAAGTGGAGCGACGATGTGCTCCAGGATTACCCGTCGGGCCCCTGATTCAGTCTTTTCCGTTTTATCCACCCCAACACGATAGTGCTTGAAAAATAGAAGACAGCTAAAGACGGCCTTTCGATAATGTTGGACCAAGTCATCCTTCAGAAGTACTTGTGCCTCTTCAGAGAGGTCATCGTACCATGTCTTGAGATCGCTCCCATAATCGTATCGTCCGATCTCGCCCTTGAAGATGTCGATAAGGACTTGGGCGAGCGACAGGAAGAACCTTGAAAAGTTTCGTTTTCCTGAATTGAAGTCGTTGATAACAGTGTTTGTGTTTCTTGGAATGGTCTGCAATAAACAATTGATATAAGGCTCAGCCAAAATATCTTCAATAGTTGCCTTTGGATCGTTCATAACAAAGATGTTCTTTAATGTCAAATCTTGTTGTATCCAGGAACCGAGATAAAGGTGGCGCAGAGAACACACCAACCGGTAAGCCAAATGGAACTTCTTTACTTCCAGGTGAATGTCTGAGGTCTTCAATTGTCTCTGTTGCATCAACTGCTCTAGTGGAATTTGGCTTCTGTTCTCTCTCTGTTCTCGGCTGATTATTTCGAGGCCTTTGGTGCTGGCTAACCACATATTGGTATGATTGAAAGATAGCCAAAGGGGAATGTTCAGAACTTCGGCTTCTTGCGTTTCTTCGCAAATATTCAGGTCTCCACCGTGGCTCTTTGCATCATGTCTATAGTATAAGCATAAGTATTGGCATAAATGATAGAAAGCCTTTGTAAATATTGTATGAATTTCTGGTAGAAGCTTACCTTTCAAGTGTGCACGATGTATAGCATCGGGAGGCTTCGCACCCTTTGACGGTCTCACAAGGAGAAAGAAACATGTGGAATACACTATTTTCTTTGATATCCTCCCATCCTGAAAGCTTGAGTGAGGCTCCATGACCTTGATCATGGCATGTTCCGCTCACAAGGTGGTAAAACAAATTGTCCAAGGGCAGATCTATGGGCTCTGCGTCGATTAAAGCTTTGGATGCTTTACTAGAACTCCCTTCCAGCCGCTCAAAGTACTTTGTGTGTAACTTCTTCTCCACCATCTCATTTACCTTAGTAAGGCCAATGACTCCCTCCCTCCATTGTATTTCTGACTCTGGAAGAAGTTCATTCTGCACCTCACGATCAAGGGAGCCCGTTGTGAGTATTGACTCGCCATATCGATGTATCTTATGAATTGATTCATCCAATTTGCTACAAGATGATGAGCATTTCGTATTAGCTTCGGTCAGGGTTGGCAACTATTAAGGCTGTCAGTGTGCACTGAAGTCTCTCTCAGCGTCACAGATGATCACATACGCGGGCGCCGAATGTTCTGAGGCTGTCTTCGAGTGCATGCTGCAGCTTCCAACCATTGTCTTCGCTCTTAAGTTTAGCATCGTCCATATCCCCGATATTTTCGGTGGCTCCTAATATTGCTGGAATCGTAGTCTCAAAGGTGAGAAAGTCTCTATCATTCTGCTCCTCATTTGAAATTGTCTCAGATCTAACAGAGTCTGAGTGGGACTTCTCTCCATATAGAAGGTTGGTGACCAGAAGATGCATTTCCCATAACCTTGATAGGTAACCGAGGCGCTCTGAGGTCATCTTGCCGTTGCACTCTGAAAAGATCTGAGAGGTTGCTTGGAAGGTTTCTTCTCAAGGATAAGGAAGGTACCAACCTCAGTTACTTATCACTTATTATTATTCCAGCTTTGCGGCTGAGGTGGGGATTTTCTTAACCCAGCCCCCTTTCTGAAACCCGTAATTGGAACTAATTTGTCGGATTGTCCGAATGTATCTGCTGTGTAACTGTGGCTGTAGCATTTTATTCGTCCATTATCCCGCTGATGTGACAGCCCGTCGCAACCTGCATGCAAGATAATGCCACTGAATTGATGCCACGTAATCCATATTTGTCATTGTTCAGGTTTGTACACCTTATCGATTAGAAATACCTTTTCATTTTTAGGCACAAGTCTCGGGTACAAGAGGGCGGGGTAGCCACATATCACTCAACACAAGACTCGAAACCTCCGCATGATACTGCGACCATAACTATTAACAATACACTTCCTATCTTTCACGAGTTGAGTTGGGTTATTATATGCTTTTTTTTTCTGAAACAATACGATGGTGCTTGATGTTCAGCCTCAAAACGATGACAGGGCTACGGGGTCTCACAGAGATATCCGCGCAGTCGCATCAGAATGCCAAAATCTCTTCGGTAATGAGGTGATGGATAGTATTACTCTCAGCACTCATATCCGAAGAGCTGAACACAGGTTCCTGTCATGGGTCAGTTTTCTCGGCGTTCACGCTGATAAACAGCATTGCCTTGATACGCGTCTACGGCATTCTCCCGAAACAATGAATCTTATTTTGCTTATGCTCCAAGTCCTACGGCGGAACCTTCAGCTTGGTGAGTTCCCAGCCCCAAATTTTATTTACTGGCTTATACAGCCCTCTAGTTGTTTCCGAGCATCAACACATCCGCACTGACCATCAAAAAGGCCCTATTTATGGGATTGATGGTGCATTGGATCGTCTTCACCGCCTAGCTGCTGTCATTCAAAGCCAGCAAACATTAGATGAGGCACAAGATATCAACAAGATCATGATCAAGCGGGTCTTAGATGGCTTTGACGAGAGTATCATTGACTTCATCCAAAAGAAGTTTCCTAATGCCCCGTTGTCACTTCAACTACAGTTGTCAAGATCAGTTATGCATCGAACACATCGTTTATTATACTGGAAACAACGTCCACAGGTGCTAGCGGATAGATGCTCTAGCAACAGAAATTCACAACGACCTCAAACACCCTCAAGTGTATTCTCACATTCGAGTAGTACGTCATCATTGTTGGACATCCCCCGATACAAAGACCCAAAAGAGTTCAGTGGTGTTTTTGGCATATTGTTCAAGGAGCCCTCAGATCGGATCAAGCAGCATATCCATAAGAAGAGGAAGCAGAACCGCCAGAAGAATTACTTTGGTAACTTACCATCTCCGTCTGTGGGCGCTGACATAAGATCTTCACGGAACCTTGAGGTTGAATCCGGATCGAATGACCCGTCCGGCATCCGCGCCGCAAAGTCTCCTGTGAATCCATGCCACGTCTCTCAGAGATTCCTGAACGAGAAAGCTACAGAAGTATATGCAAACACCGACCAAGGGGATACAAGTGCCGATTGCGAAACTTTTCGATCTTTACATCCCTGCCCTGATCGCCTGATTTCTGAAGACGGCACTGAAGAAGTTTACTGTGTGCTTTGCTCTAATCTGCTAAACAAGGCCACAATTGAAAGTCAAGAGGCTTGGATGTGCGTTTCAAAGAAAGTATGACATAAATATAACTGACCATAGGCAGGAAACATGTCGATCACGATGTACGACCCTACATTTGCGTTTCTGAAGATTGCGAATATACTCAATTGTTTTTTCCAACCACAGCTGACTGGAGATCTCATATGGAAGTGGTGCATAGCATGGAGTGGCCGCGGTATGTTCACCGGGCAAGGTGGACTTGTCCGTACTGTCAACCGGCCTCGGGGATTATACACTTCACTTCCAAAGAAGAGTTTGTTCGTCATTTGACAGAAGGGAAAACAAAGCCTCACTGTCTTTCAATTGGTTCTTTTCAATTGAACAAGCTCATCGTGGATTGTAAATGGTACGATCCCATCAAAAAAGCGGATTGCCCCCTCTGCCAGTCATATGGAAAGGCAGATAACCCCATCGTATGCGAAAACCAAAAAGAAGTGGAAGACTTCTACGAGCACTTTACCGGCCATCTGCGATTTATTGCATTTGAAGGACTCAACCTCTGGGATACTCATACAGGTGCAAAAATGAACCATTTTGCACCAGTTGATTGCCCATCAACAGAGGATGACAAAAGGCCTGAGCAAGACGAGGACTATGGACTTGATTCACTTATGGATTCCCGTGTTAAGCATTTTCATGACTACGTTAAAAGCAAATCGCTTGTTGGTCTGGATGGAGAGGAAAAAGTTGTCCCCTACATCCCACCATGCGAACTCGAGGCATATTGGACAGTGGAGCGTATTAATTACATCCTCGCCTTCGCTACCATCCCCATTGACACAGCGTATGAAGCAATCAGCCACGGGTACCTCAAAATATTCTCTATACTCGTGTTCATTGGCCATTGTGACAAGATGTCGGTTCTTTTCCCCAACCGCAAAGTTCTCGACGATCATAACTTGCCCTTCACCGCTGACGATTTTGAGCCAAAGAGCAAGTGGTCAGATGAGTTTCTGGAAGCCCAATGGATGTTTTGTCCCTTCATATTCTCTCGCACCCGCGTATATAAAAGACCCCTTCACCCAAGAACTATACTACCTGTCACATACGATGACTGTATCAAGGAAAGGCGTGTTGGGCCTGATGCAGTAGTGTTGCGCAAAGTGCGAATACACGATCATTGTAAATCCATGGTACAAAAGGTAACGAATGCTGTTTACTTGAGTTTTATTTAATGCTAATTCTACCTAGAGTCAGTTCGTTGTGTTCAAAATGTACGAGGGTATCAATGCAGAAGAACGCTACAGTTCTGAAACGGCTATATACGAGAAGCTTCACGACAAGTCAAATGACAGCATCGTCAGGCACATCGCAAGCTTCCATTTTCAACATAATCATAAGTTCGTTATCGTTCTTGAGTATGCGGCTCATGGTTCACTTCTAGACTACCTGCAAAAAACTCCCCAGCCGATCACTCCTGACGACTTTGCTTTGTTCTGGGGCCGATTGATCCAGCTGCTAGACGCCCTACACACCTTGAGCGATATCTATAGACAAAGTCACTCTTTACATGAGTCGCTCGCTGGGGTCCATCAAGATATCCATCCTGGTAATATCCTAGTATTTCCAGGAACTGACAGCAAATCTTCATTTAATGTTCACTTCAAAATTACCGACTTTGGACTGGGTGAGATGGGGAGGATTTCAGGTTTGAATGATGCCCTGGCGTCATCCAGTACAGGAAACAGAATGTACAGTTAGTATATCATTTCACCTCATATGTCGACTGAATTATGACTCAATATACATTAGTTTCTCCAGAGGCATTCGCCAACTTTGCCGTTCAAGATCGTGTCAGAACAGTCATTTCTCCTGCCACCGATATCTGGTCTCTAGGAGCAGTATTCAGCGACGTTCTTATCTGGACAATCGCCGGCGAAGCGGGCCGTGAGAGATATCGCCGCAGTCGATTCGAGGAAATCGCTGAACTTCCACATCTCAGCGGCGCGGGATATGATTGCTGCTTCCATGATGGAGAGCAGCGATTGAAGGCTGTTCGGAAGGTCCACGGTGATTTCCTCTTACACAGGAGGAGCAGCGACTCGATATCGCCTTTCATCAGCAAGCTGATTCTTCGCAACATGCTTATTGGGCAGCTTGGTCGCCTCAATGCTATGCAGATCAGGCTACGCGCGGAGGAGGGACTGCAAAAGATCCTCGCGCCTGAACCATCAAAAAATGGTATGTCGTTTGTGCCGACACCGGATGACAAAGCATCTCATCAGCCGAGGGACTCTTTCTCCAGGCCTCCTATAGAAAGACGGGCCACAGCCGCATTCAGCGCCTCTAGGCAGGGGGCGATCCCAAATTTGGCTCGTATCGAAGCTCCTGCGAACCAGGCCTGGTCCATGATTTCGATGCAGGGCTCTATATCACAGCCGCCAACTGACCAATCAATCAGGTATACTCAAACGGGAGATAGGTTACTCACGGTTGGAGAAATATACCAGATGATCGAAGCCAAAGACAAAGATTCCCGAAGAGGGTCTTTTCGCAGAAAGTCCAGTAAGCGTGATGAGATTCTCGATTTGCCCGGTATCCAAGAGTCCCGAAGCAAGATTAGAGAAACGAAAGGACGTGAACATGTTAGTTGAGCATTGATCTGATTCTCAGACCGTAACTAACTCAATCACCAGATCTTCATTATTGATAACTTCACGTCAATGGAGCCGTATATGGAGAAGGTCAAGAAGACAGCCAGAGCAGTCAGCTACGTCACCAAATTAGCTAACCACAATGGTATGGAGGTTTTCGCCGCATCAGAAACTACAATGAGTCCAAAGACATGCAAGCATAGCGTTCAAGTCGAAAAGGCTATTGGTAACTTCAAAACCGTTCGGGGCACATGCAGAATGAGAAAATGTCTCGACGATATCCTCAACCGAATCCTCGTCGAGAGGCCCTTCAAGCCGACTAGCATCTACATCTTTACAGATGGAGTCTGGGAACAGGGTGAGGACCAAGTCGAGTTCGCAGTCAATCGTGCAACTCAGTATCTGATCAAACATGGTCTTCCATCGTCTTCGATCATGTTCCAATTCATCCAGTTCGGTCGTAATGCCGAGGGGACGGCTCGGATGAAGCGACTGGATGATCATTGCAAGAAGGAAACCGATGCCGAAAAGTTGTAAGTACTCCCAGGCCTAACCGAAGTACCGAGTGGCTGACTCCCTCAAGTGATATTGTTGACCACAAGCACTGGGACGCTCATGTTCCTGACATCGTCATCGGTAGCCTTTCGCCATATACCGATGAAGTGGAGCATAGAGTAAATGATACACTATAGAAGGTTCTCATATACCTTGGGGCGTTGTATATAGTGTTCTTCTCGTGTATTATTACTTACTATTGAAGACTTTTGCTTCGGGTTGTGATGAGCGTTTCACCTGAAGTTCTCGGGTATTGGAGCTAAGATGGGAATGTTGCCTAATGGTTTTTGTTATACTAGTTCTAGAGGTTACCAGGTTCTTTAAGATAGATAAACAGATACCAAGGGTGTTTTCTGGTATACAACATCTCTTTTCACCTGTCCGCTAGCACATAATTGAGATCTCGCTGGAGTAATGACCGGATCAGAATCTCCCCGACGGATCATTAGTTGCCCCAAGCATTAGCGCCACAAATCAAAGTTTCTTCCACCGGAGTTGGAGGAAGCTGTCAATTCCGGCCCGGAAATTAGGCTAGTGAGGTCAGCCCAGGCCTGGGATCTAGCCTGTAAACGAAAGCAGTTAGCTTCTTACCTACCATGAGTGGCGATTGCTGACCTACATGTCTGTCAATGGAATTTTCACATCACTTATCTGTATAATGTCTCCGATCTCTGCCCATAGGAAGTACATCTTTGACGCATAGTTCCATTCATTTTCAGAAGCAAATGTCAATAATCATGGAATCAGAAATGCTCTCAATCACAGCGCCGGCTTATACCAGCCCAAGTGGCATACGAACTCTCGACAGTTCCAAGGCCATTTATCATTGCAGATAATCAGGTTCTCATCAAAGTCCATGCTGCGAGCATAAATCCAGTCGACGTCAAGAAGGCCGCCGGCATCTTCAAGATGGCAGTAAAGGAAGAGTGAGTTGCCTTTGCCCAGGTTGGAGAGAGACGACAAGCTGATGTCAACATTCTCAAGGTTCCCGTATCAGATTGGGTATGACGCTGCAGGTGTCATCGTTGAAGTTGGAAAGAGAGTGACGGCGTTGGAAGTGGGCGATGAAGTCTACACGAGGCTGCCAGAAATTGGAAGAGGTATGATGAGATGGTTGGTTAGAAGTAAGAAATCTAACCGCTGACATTATGACACAGGTGCCTGGAGTGAGTATGTGAAGTGCACAGATGCCTACGTCTCCCTGAAGCCTGAGAGTCTTTCTTTTGTCGATGCTGCATCGCTACCGCTGGCTGGAGTCACGGCATTGCAGGTTCTTGGGCAATACAAGGGCTCGCTCGAGGGCAAGACAGTGTTAATCCCTGGTGGCTGTAAGTCACTCATCACAACTGCTCATGAAAGAAGTATTTAATTTTTGTATTTAGTAAGCGGTACGGGAGCCCTTGCGTGCCAACTTGCCAAGAACGTATTCCATGCTGCAAAGGTCATCACCACAGTCTCGACCTCCAAAATTCCCAAAGTTCCAGAGCTTCTTGGTGAGGGCACGGTGGATCAGAGTAAGTCCTGACCCTAAGCCCCAAGACCTATCTGACCAATATCACAGTCATCGATTACACAAATCAGAAAGTTGCCGAGGCCGTTCCTCCAAAGTCCGTTGACTTTTGCTTCGATACAACCGGTCAAGCCATGGAGTTCCTCTCACTCATGGTTCCCTCAACCGGCATGATCGTCTCAATCTCAACAACTCCATCTGCCTCGACCCTCCAAGCTTCAAGCGTAATGCGGCGACCAGAAAACCCTCAGATCCCATTTGCCGGGCGTCTATTTCTCCATGCAGCAGATGCGATACGTAGACTTCGGGCGTGGCGCTGGGGCGTCACATACATGTATCACTTCTTGGATCCAAACCGAGAAGACCTGCATAAGCTTACAGATTATGTGGATGACGGAAAAGTGAAGCCTGTTGTTAGGGCCAGGGTTGATATGAGAGACATCGAGGCAGTCCGCGAGGCTTGCGATCAAACTTATAAAGGAAAAGGCGGATTGGGAAAGACTGTCTTTGAGGTGATCAAGGATTAATAACAATCGAACCAGTAATATCGAAGTTACAGTTTTGACTTCAAGAAGGTCAGGTCTCGTGGACTAACCACCTCAGCCTTGATCTCCTCCCTTGACCTCTCAACATCTTTCCTCACGAGCTCTGAGTATAGCTGCTGTATCCTCTCTGTAACAGCTCCTCTCCTACCATCACTGATGACCCGCCCATCAATCTCGGTAACATGGATTTGCGAGGGAAAAGTCCCTGTACAGAAAGCCTCATCGGCGCCATATGTCTCGGTGAGAGTGAAGTCCAGTTCTCGAACAGTGATACCATTCGCTCGGCAAACATCAATGGTCTTTTGGCGTGTAATTCCTTGCATCTGGTTGTCCTTGGTAGGGGCCCAGACTTCATCCTCTCGAACGATGAAGAAGTTGACTGAATTGCACGTCTTGACAAAGCCGCGTAGGTCAAGCATAAGCGCCTCGTCGACATTCATCACATTCGCATGAATGCAAGCTTGAACATCCGTCGCTTTTGAGATGTGATTCCACTGCTCGTCCTTGACATCGGGTGGCCCCCGTCGGACCCATGTTGTTGAAAGTCTCAAGCCTTTTGACTTGGAGTTGGGATCAACGGCCTTGGACTCGGGAATGATGACAATAAGAGGGAGACCGATGTTGACCTTCGGGTTTTGGTAGGGAGTAGCTTTCAGACCACGGCTGACCACGAGTCTGATGTGGACATGCTCATCATCTCCCATATCGTTCTCATCAAGCGTCTGGTGAATTAGGTCAAGGAGATCCCCTTTCGATAGACCGAGGTCCAGGTACATGGCTTTCGCGGACTGGAAAAGTCGATTGATGTGCTCTTTGGCAAACTGGACTCGGCCCTTGTTGGCACGGATACCTTCCTTAATAGCTGTTATTCATTTGTTGGTCATTATTCACTCAGTAGAACCTACCCAGATGCCATCGCCGATCAGGAAATTTGAGTCAAATACTGAGACTACAGCTTCTGCTCGAGGTACCAAATTGAACTCGCCAGTGACGCCATCACGAATTCCAACCTCAATGTCCGTCAGTGATTATCATGGGCATATGTCATGAGATAACTTACCTTGATAGAAGCATTCTTCGCATTCGGCACAGAGCTATGCGTTGAGCCTCCATGGCTTCCTTGCTTCGCGTTTGTCATAATTGATGTTGTCAAGACAATGCTGTATATGGGGCTTCGATTTCGCGATATTGAGATGAAATGGTTCAATTCAGTCAAATATTATATCTCCGAGAATTAATAAGGCTCATGTTGGATCTTCGGACTCTGGAGGCGAGCTCGGTGTCCACCGGACGGCAAATTCGGTCGTGACCGAGCTGACTCACGTGAACAGGTGATAGTCCGATAAGCCTTGGATCATCTGTCCACTGCTCGTGCTTGCAGCAAATATCGGGCTTCAGTACAAGGCGATAAGATTTTATTAGACTTAATATAATTCATGACAAATTCGCGACCAATTTAGTAGAATCTTAAATGAACTTATTTTCTGCCGCTCGATGCAGAGTTTTCTCTCTTGACGACCGTTTCATAAGTCTGTTATCAAAAATCGGCCAACTACCCACTGTAACTTGACGTGATCGCAAGGCTCCCCAATCGTCATCGGCATCCATTCTGGTTCGTTCGTTATCATTCCCAACCCCAGATAACAAGGCGGGGTGATAGGCTAGAACTCCTCAAAGCAGTAAAGTCCCCTCGGTAGCGTCCGAGTAGTGAGCTCGGTGGTGACCGAGCGTCTCGTTGTACACCGAAGCCTAACAACTACAGTGATAAACTCCCCGTTGCAGCGAAATTGGCCCCGCTAAACCCGGGGAAGTGGTAGACTAGCTTTTGTAGCATTGTCAATCTTGAGAACTCTTAAAGACGGCCATGCGAAGCATCTAAAGATCGTCGAGGGACTTTCCAACTCGCTTCCAGACTTGGACTTCTTCGATAACTTTGCATCATGGCGCAGACTCCCAAGTCTGAGCAAGGCCACGCCAAGGATATGGCTCAATCAATCGCCTCTGATCGTGTTCAAGATGAGGTACTGGAATTGACCAAGGCCCAATCAAAGCGACTTCTCCTCAAGACAGATCTGGTTGTCATGCCGCTCGCTGTCTTGAGCATGACTCTGGCCTTCCTGGATAAGGTATGTGTAGTCACTCAAGTCTAGTCAATTGCTTGCTAACGGATCCAAGAATGCGCTCGGATATGCCGCCATCTTCGGCATCAAGGAAGATGCCCACCTCAAGTCTCAAGAGTACAGTTGGCTCAGCAGCATCTTCTACTTCGGTTACCTAGCCATGGAATTCCCCAACCTCTGGTTAATGACCAAGATCCCTATCGGCAAGTATGTCGGTGGCTGCCTCACCCTATGGGGTATTGCCCTATGCTTCATGGCACTTTGCCATAACTTTGCAGGACTGGCGACTATCAGATTCCTTCTCGGTGTTTTTGAGGCTGCTGTACTACCTTGCATGATGATCATCAACTCCATGTGGTATTTGAGGAACGAGCAGCCTCTTCGAACTGCTTTTTGGTATAACACTTTCGCGGGTGTGTTTGGAGGTATTCTGTCTTATGCGATTGGACAGATCAATGGATCGCTGTCCACCTGGAAGGTCAGTGAAGGTCATCTGAAGGGATATTTCTTTGCTGACAAAAAGTGATAGTATATCTTCCTCATTTATGGATCTTGCACCATCCTCGCCGGAGCTCTCGTCTTCTTTGGCCTTCCCGACACTCCCTCGAAGGCATGGTTCTTCACCGAGGAAGAGAAGAAACTTGCCATGATTCGCCTTGCACCCAACCAGACCGGCATTGAGTCAAAGAAAGTATGCAGCGACACGTGCCCCATTAGATAAACTGAGGCTAACATGGCTCTAGAAATTCCAAACTGCCCAAATCTTGGAAGCTCTCCGTGATCCCAAGTGCTACTGCATCTGGCTCGGCGTCTTTGGTTATGCGCTTGCTAACGCGGGTATTACAAACTTCAACCCTCTCATCATTGCCGGGTATGGCTTCAGCAAGACAAAGACCGTTCTCATGGCGACTCCTCAGGCAGCAGTTGCGATGATTAGTCAGGCTATTCTCACCACCGTTGCTTTCTTCATTCCTAATCTTCGATGCATCTTCTGGATCTTCGGTGCGCTCATGGGTCTGGTTGGAGCGGTTATGGTGCACTCACTCGACGTTGCGACCCAACGCGACGCGTCATTGGCAGGAGTCTATCTCATGGGCTTCTACAATGTCCCTTGGGTCTTCCTACTAAGTCTGTCTTCCTCCAACACTGCTGGTGCAACAAAGAAGAGCTTTATGGGTATCTCTATCGCTATCGTCTACGGTATGTACCAACACACTTGATCAGTCTTCAGCCTCTAACTTACACTTACAGCCGTCGGCAATATTGTCGGACCCCAATTCTTTCTTGATAGACAAGCACCCACATATGTCCTCGGCATCGGTTCTATGCTTTTCGCGTTTGCCTTGATGGCTGCCACTGGTCTGACGTACTATGTTCTCTGCGGTATAGAGAACAAGAAGCGTGATAAGCAATATGGCAAGGCTCATGACGACACTGATATTGGACTGGAGGCCGAAAGGAGCGATAAGACGGATTGGCAGAATCCCAACTTTCGATATACTTACTAGAATAGCGTAGTTACTCTTTGGAGCAGATTGATTCCGTTTAATTGATGATATGCATAATCTTACCGTGCTCGATTGAGACGCGTGATGTTCCCGTGCTTAATTTTTCGCGAGTTGACTTATACGACTTCGTGACTTAGTATCTTTAGTAGAACTTGGCATATTTGTTGTGTAATGGCAGCATTACAGCCACAAGAACTTACAAGACGTTGTAGAAAGTAATTTGAGGAAGGGAAACCAGAGCCGTACGAGGTTATGGGATACTTTAGTGATACGCCCCGTAATCGGTCCAATAACTGGCTACCCTATACGTTCCTTTGAAATGTCAATGTTTGCTCTGGAATAAGCGTGCTGACAACCTAACGAAGAAATTTAAAGTAAAAAAATTAAACATAGTAGTGAATTCTGATTTATATGACTTGAAATTCAATTACCAAGTTCTTTGATATGAATCTTAACATCCACCGGAATCTGTACATCTGTTGATGCTTGTCCCCAAATTGGCTTATCGCTCAATGCGGTATAACGCCGAGATAGCGCTCGGTTCGGTAGTTACATAATTCCGATCCGTTATAGCGTTGGCCAGGATGTCTCCACTATTTTCGGATGGATGCGAGACATTTTGACTTGGCCGTCATTCATCTACTTGAAGCAGAAACGGACAAAAGAATATTACTACCCTAGACGATAATGTTCCATGCTCTCAACTCTTCAACCTTCCGTTTCAAAGGCATGCAGTCGATGCCGGTCACGTAAAGTGAAAGTAGGTTCAGCTACAACGACCATTTGTGTCAGTCTTCAGTGGTCGGCTAACACCGAGGCTATAGTGTGATCTCAGAGTTCCTCAGTGTACAGCATGTGCACGACAGGACGAAGCATGTAACATCACGGACTGTGTCTCCTACCCATATACAGTAGTGAAAGCTCTCCAGGACAGGATCAATGATCTCGAAGCCAGACTGAGACTGGTCCCAACGCCCAATGAGACCGTTCCTGAACCAGAGCCAGAACCTGCGGACGTGAATCCGGAGCCCCGTGCTGATCTGCAGAAAGAGGCTGAAGAGGTGGGTTTCCTCACCACGGGAGGATCAGATCTGTACTCAGGTAGCAAGTATGGTAAGTGAAGATCGACCACGATGATCAATTTGAAGACCCTGCTGATCATTGATCTGCTGCTTCAGTCGGGAGCGCGGCCGGATCGACATTTGCGAGGATCTTCTTCAAGCAGCTTAATCTTGTTCCCTCGTGGGATTCCTCCAGCCAGGGAAGTGGTCTTGAACAGCCCCTGTGTGAAGCAACTGCAGCGCTCCCACCTCAGCCTATTGCAAGGGCTCTCCTCAACATCTACATCGCTAGGGTACACATTTGGTGGCCATTCTTACAGCTTCCGCATTTGAGAAGGGGCTTTCAGCGTATCTACGAGAGCCCCAGGCAGTGCAGTGGCCATGAGAAGTTTACTGTGTTTGCTATCCTAGCGCTAGCAAGCTGCCAACTGACCACGAAAGATGCCCAGTCTCCAGCGATGATGGACCTCAACGACTCCAATGCATATTTCCGGACCGCATTGCGCTTCTTCAATAACTTTAGTGACCACCCAAGGGATCTCTTCGGGATACAAGCAGTGCTTCTTCTGGCAATATGGATGCTAGACTCGTCTCACAGCAGCCACAATAACGATCTTTGGCAGGTTAGTCGGTACATCATGTCGGCCGCCATCGAAGCAGGACTCCACCGTCACAACAAAGACTGGGGCTTCACAGCTGAAGAATTGGAGATCCGGAATAGGACATGGTGGTGTGCATACAACCTGGAGCGGTTAGTTGTCTCGCCCGATCGAGAGTTCTGACTCGACTGACCTCGCGAACTAGACAAGTTGCGACCATGACAGGCCGAGTCTTATCCATTCGGGACCATGCAGTTCACACCATGTTACCCAATTCAGCCACATTCGATGCCCTTACACCCCTCGAGAGTTCCGTGGCCCCCGTTCTCCACAAACATAATGTTGAGGTTATTCGTCACATGATTACATTGCGGAGGATTGGCGGTCGTATCCTTGAGTCGATCTACATAGCGAGAGGGCCAAGCGGCACGGCTATGGACACTACATTCCAGCAGATTTGTGCGACCTCCGATCAGATACGGAGAGACCTTGAACTCTGGGAGCAGCAATTGGAGGCAATGGAACTGAAGCCATCTCGGGAGTACTCTGAGATGAAGATTGAGTACTGCCTTTTGCAGCTCCTACTACACAGGCCTTCGCCTACATTCATGGTACCATCACGGCAAATGGCGTCCTACTGCTCAAAGGCCGCATCAACTGCAATCAGTCACTGGTCCAAAATCGAAGGCGAATATGGCATTTCTGCTATTTGTCGATGTTTTAGACAATTACATGATATAATCCTTGTCGGACTAGCGGCTCTTTACTGCGACTGGTAAGCTGAACTAGTTAAACGAGCTGACCCCTGGAATGTGACTGACATGCTTATCCTGCAGGCAAGCAATGGCCCTACCACAGACTGGAGATGACGCCCCGAGGCCACATCGACATTTCAACGACACTGCAACTTGTCTAGACCTGATTGATCGAGGAGTTACTAATATGAGAGCTCCATATTTGGCAAAGTACAAAGATTTATTCCAGGCTGTGAGGAACAAAGTTTACGCCAAGACGATTTTCACCAGCATTAGTCCAGGGGCTATGAACTCGACCATTTCCCCTGGCACAATGTCACAAGGACTTATTTTTAATCCCAGCGACGATATAATGTTCTCGATGGGTGATGGGGTAGAAGCATATGTGAGTCAGGTGAATGAGTTCTTGGATGGTGGTGGATTCAATGTTGATGAGGCTCTTGATGCGTGGTATGATGCTTTGATGGGGGAGATACAAAATGGCGATGCCCAGATGATGGAGTGATGCTTCAGGGCAGAGGAAATGAAATAAAATAGACAATTATCGACTGCAAATGGATGAAATATTGGCATTAATAATATTGCTACAATTTTACGCAGCAACCAATAAATATGACAGTGTGGCTGATATTGACGTCGTCAGTGAGACAGTCGAGCCGTTATGTGTAGTTGACAGCTGACAAGAGAAGCTAGCACGTCGTTGGCGCCGTTGTAAACCCCTGTTCAGCTGGAAGAGCCTCCAAATGGAGCCCCCAAGCCGAAGCCGAGACATTGAACTTCAGCGGCTGAAACATTGGACCAATGGCGGGGGTTCAGAATGACTTTGGTCAACAAAACAAAGTGGATAAATTGATTAAGTAAAGATCACTAATAGATCGATCTCCCAGCCAGTCAATGCATGTCTTAGATGCATAGTTACAAAGGCACAGTTAAAATCTGAAGGCTCGATTATTATGAGAAGAGAAACCCCACATTCTGACTCGACATGACCCCTGATAACGTTTACCCTTCCGATTAGAGGTATAGAGGATACAAGACCATGGTAGCAAAGAGGACGGCCTTGATGACAACGGACTTGGTCACCTTAGCCTCGGGTGCGTGGCCAGTAACAACGACGGCGGACGGACTAGCGTCGTCAGAAGGAGATGCCGACTCCGATCCCGCTTCATCTCCGTCTCCGTGCCCGGCTTCATTACCCGCTGCAGTAGAGGCTCCGTTGGGCGCATCCACAGTAGTAGTGTGAGAACTAGCGTCCGCACCCCCGGGCGATTCGGGAACACCGGTATTCTTAGGGCCCTCGGGCGACTCGGCAGCGCCAGTACTCTTTGGGCCCTCGGGTAATTCGTCGCCTTTTCCAGCACCATCATGCTTGGAACCCGAGCCACCAGGGACCTGAGACGGTTTCTGGTCGTCGGGCAATTCAGGACCACCGCGAGAGATCCACGGGTACACGCTCTCAGCAGGGGAAACAGGCGCGACGGACTTGTGACTAACGGCCGTGACAACCGCAGTCAGAGTAGAGCCAGCCTTGGCGGCCCCACCGTGAGACCCCTGAGCAGCTGTGGCTGACTCGATAGGTAGAGTCAAAGTGGTGGTTACTGGGTGCTCGCCACAGACGTGGCAGATAACGGCTGTGGTGGTGAAGCCAGGAGGACACTCGGTGGGGGCAGGTCTCTGGCAGTGAGACGAGGCGCAGGGGGCGGTGATGGTATAAGTATGTACTCCTGGACCATTGGGGCCAAGGGTTGGGAGGGCAGTAGTGTAGATGAGTGAGCCGCCGCCTGTCACCTGACCATGGCCGGAGCCACCAGAGCCAGAGCCAGAGCCAGAGCCAGAGCTAGAGCCAGAGCTAGAGCCACCAGAACCACCAGAACCAGAGCCTGAGCCATGGGCTCCAATGGTAGAGGTAGGATGGATGCTCGTCATAGTGATAGGGGAAAGAGTGCTTGTCACAGTACAGTCTTCGGGGATCGAAGGCTGTCCTCGCCTGAAGGGCAACCAAGAGGCATGACTAACAGCGGGAAGGAGAAGAAGGAGCGGAGAGAACAACATGATTAACGAGTGAAGCGGTGATATGTGCGTTGGTATTTTTTCACCTCGAAAAGATGGTTGGAGTATTTATGTTTTTCGCTTTGGCATGTCTCCAACCAAGTCCAAATATCACGCATTGGTGAAGTGTTCACAACAACCATCACATCAAATCCGGCACGCGATCCCCTTCAAGTCTTGATCTAGCCCGCCCTTCAATGTAGAAGCAAAGTTAATCACATCGCTTACACCTCCAAGACTTGCTGGAATGTCCCCTGCATTGGCTTGTGACACTATCACGACTTCCAGTTCCGTGGGACTAAAGTGAAGATTCATGTCTCTCTGAACCAACTATCTGGATCGGGTCTGTACCTCGCCTATTCTAGACAATGATTGGAACTGCCAACGGGCATAAGCAGCTGAAAATCATAACCGGAAGGAGAAGGTCTGTCTCGGCAATGCCCTTCCTACCAACGGGGATCGTTGCACAAACTCTCCCTCAAGACCCATCCTATCCTATCAGACCCCCGTTATATCCACCTTTTCCCATATACAGATCCCGCGGGTAACGACTTTGTCTTAACTAGGGCAGAGTTAATAACTTATACTTCAGGGCCTCCCGAATCATCACCCACGAGTCAACCAGAAGGGCCCCCCTCAACACCATCCCAAGACCTTACGATGCCTAAAGCAGATAGAGGGATATTTGAAAAGGATAATATCATGACATTCAAGGAATTTGGTGGCGTTATGAAGCGAGAGAATAACGAATACGGTTGATTTATTCTCGCGATGGCTCCTAAAGGAGGTAAGCTGAAAATAACTTCACTTGAGAGGTCTACTATCTCTGCATTCCTGACGGTATGTCTTCACCCTTGCCCAGACGGATAGAGGATAATCCAACATTGCAAACCTTAGTTGCGGGCTTGAACATGCCATTCTTGCGATATGTTCGCTTTAGGGAACTCATTCGTGATGTTCTCCATCCCCTTTCTCAGAACCTTATCCATAAATATCAGAGTCTTCTGCAACTAGCAGTCTCGATATCAATCACCAACACTCTCTTTCTTCATATCTTTGTTACAACAGTCGTTTTGGGTGTCATTCGCTTCGACAATGCGTCTTCGTCGTTTCATCCCCAAGCTTCTGCTCCTGGGCTCAACTACCCATGGTCGACCTACAGAAGAGTGCCCTGATGGGGTTTCTATCGTCAAGGTCCAGCCTGAAGTTATCGTTGGGCTCCAGCCTGTCAGTATCAGTGCTGTCTTCACTAGCAATACAGTACTTACTATTGATGGGACTACGATTCCTATCACTGGCGCTCCTACTACCTTGGTCACTGCCTTCACTATCACCAAGACTTCGACTAGGTACATCACTGGGTAAGCGTATCCGTCCCTCTAGTCTTGGGGAAGACTAGTCTGATTACTTGCATTTAGTAACCCGGAACCGTACTTTACTGGTCCATATACGACCATCACTAGCAACAACCCCGGATCGAACCCCACTACGATCACCCGACCGCCCTCTGGCAATGATCACACCGGAACAGTGATCATAGTCAACCCATCGGGAGGTTCTGGTGGCTCTGGTGGCACACGCCCTGCCTTCACTGGCCCGTACACGACTATCACAAACAATGGACCTGCTGGAAGTCACCCAACCACTTTGACTCTTCCTCCTGGGGGCAATGACCCCAGCGGAACGGTTATCGTGGTCGTCCCCTCTGGTACTCAGAGCAAGACCTTCACGGGTCCATACACAACTATCACGGCTGATGGACCGGGATCTCAGGCTACCACTCTGACACTCCCTCCTTCTGGCACTGGTGGTGTTGGAACTGTCATCGTGATTGATCCAACGTCTCATGGTTCCAAGCCCTCTTCCACCAACTCAGGTAAGTCTCCGGCAACGACTCTCACTATTCTACCATCTGGTACGGATGGCACTGGCACTGTTATCGTTATTGGACCTACGACAACTTCCCCTGGACATGCTTCCTCTGGAGGCTCCGGTGTCCCCAACCCCAACTCTGTCACTTCGAAGGGTACCTTCACTGGTCCGTTCACCACTATTACTGGTATCAACACTGGTTCTACGGGTACAACCGTGACACTCCCCCCCTCTGGTACTGACTCCATCGGCACTGTCATTGTCTTGGAGCCTAGTACAAGTGCTCAGAAGACCACCTTCACAGGCCCTTTCACTACTATCACTGGAGTCAATACTGGTTCTGCTGGAACTACAGTTACACTTCCCCCCTCAGGCACTGACAGTATCGGCACGGTTATTGTCCTCGAGCCAAGCACGACTGCGCAGAGGACGACCTTTACAGTTCCCTTCACAGGTCCCTTCACCACGATCACCGGCGTCAATTCTGGCACCGCCGCTTCAACTGTTACCCTTCCCCCATCAGGCTCGGATCCTACCGGAACTGTCATTGTCCTTGAGCCCAGTGGAACATCAAAGCCAAGCACCTTCACTGGTCCCTTCACAACCATCACTGGAGTGAATACCGGCTCATCGGGAACGACTGTTACTCTTCCTCCTTCTGGTACAGGCTCTGTCGGTACTGTCATCGTCCTTGAACCTAGCACGACTGGACCGAGAAGCACATTCACTGGCCCTTTCACTACGATCACTGGTGTCAACACAGGCAGTCTGACTGCAACACTTACACTGGCCCCATCTGGCTCTGACCCGACCGGCACGGTTGTCATTCTAGAGCCTTCAGTCACTGCCCCTGCCTCTAGCTTCACTGGCCCTTTTACCACCATCACTGGAATCAACACTGGCACTGGTGTTGCAACTCTCACTCTGGCACCCTCTGGTACCGACTCAACTGGAACTGTTGTCATCCTTGAGCCTTCTTCCTCTGCCCCTTCAAGCACTTTCACTGGTCCCTTCACCACCATCACAGGAGCCGGCCCCATCCCGACGACCGTCACCCTTCCTCCTTCAGGTGGTGACCCAAGCGGCACCGTTATCGTGATTGGCCCTCCCTCAAGCACAACATTCACTGGTCCTTTCACTACGATCACTGGTGTCAACACTGGTACTGGTTCCTCGACCGTCACACTTCCACCTTCAGGCACCGATACGATTGGTACTGTCATTGTTCTGGAACCATCCACGACCAAGACCTTCACTGGGCCTTTCACGACAATCACTGGTGTTAACACAGGCACCGGCGCTTCTACTGTGACCTTGCCACCTTCTGGGACTGACTCGGTTGGTACTGTCATTGTGCTTGAGCCGTCAACGACCAAGACCTTTACAGGACCTTTCACCACTATAACTGGTGTCAATACAGGCACTGGTTCTTCCACAGTCACCCTGCCTCCTTCTGGTACCGACACTATCGGCACAGTTATTGTCTTAGAGCCTTCCACCACCAGGACTTTCACAGGACCATTCACTACCATCACTGGTGTGAATACTGGGACTGCAACTGGTGCCTCAACTGTGACACTTCCCCCCTCCGGCACTGACTCAGTCGGCACTGTCATTGTCCTCGAGCCTTCCACCCGCACAACGTTCACTGGTCCTTTCACGACCATCACTGGGGTCAACACAGGCACTGGATCTTCCACCGTCACGTTGCCTCCTTCTGGCACCGATACCATCGGTACAGTCATCGTGCTCGAGCCTTCTACCAGCGCCAGCGCCAATGGGCCTTTCACCGGACCGTTCACCACTATCACGGGTGTCAACACCGGAACTGCAACTGGTGCTTCTACCATTACCCTACCTCCTTCTGGCACGGACACCATTGGTACAGTCATTGTACTAGAGCCTTCCACTCGTACAACCTTCACTGGTCCTTTTACAACGATAACCGGGGTCAATACTGGCACAGCGACTGGCGCTTCCACATTGACCCTCCCTCCTAGTGGTACAGATACAGTCGGCACAGTCATCATCCTAGAGCCTTCCACTTCTGCAGTCCCAACAACCTTTACAGGCCCCTTCACTACCATTACAGGCGTCAACACTGGAACTGCAACTAGCCCTTCCACTTTGACCCTGCCTCCTTCTGGCACAGATACAGTGGGCACGGTTATCGTCTTGGAGCCTTCAACTTCAGCGGCAGCCACCACGTTCACTGGACCCTTCACCACTATCACCGGTGTAAACACTGGAACTGCAACTAGCCCCGCTACTCTGACTCTCCCGCCGTCGGGTACGGATACTGTTGGTACAGTCATTGTCTTGGAACCCTCGACTTCATCTCCAGCTTTCACTGGCCCTTATACTACCATCACAGGTGTCAACACTGGTACTGCGACTGGGGCTGCCACAGTCACTTTGCCGCCTTCTGGTACAGATACAATCGGCACCGTGATTGTCCTGGAGCCATCTACAGCTGCTACCCCAACCACATTTACAGGCCCATTTACCACTATCACCGGAGTAAACACAGGCACAGCTACGGGAGCCCAGACCGTCACCTTACCACCCTCTGGAACCGACACGATTGGTACCGTTATTGTGTTGGAGCCCTCAACTTCAGCTCCTGCTTTCACCGGACCCTTCACTACCATTACTGGTGTGAACACAGGTACTGCGACTGGAGCCTCAACCATCACACTTCCTCCATCTGGAACAGATACCATCGGCACAATCATTGTGTTGGAACCTTCAACATCAGCACCTGCGTCAACATTCACTGGTCCATTCACCACTATAACTGGTGTCAGCCCAGGGACCGCCACAGGGCCCTCAACAGTCACTCTCCCACCGTCAGGGACAGATACTATTGGAACCGTCATCGTGCTCGAGCCATCAACATCAGCCTCGGCTTCGTCGTTCACAGGTCCTTTCACCACCATCACTGGCATCAACACAGGCACAGGCACAGGAGTATCTACCATCACTCTGCCCCCAACAGGAACTGACACCATCGGAACTGTCATTGTTCTTGAGCCTTCAACTTCAGCTCCTGCCTCGACTTTCACTGGACCTTTCACCACTATCACTGGCGTCAACACAGGCACCGCTACTGGTACCTCTACCTTGACACTTCCACCGTCAGGCACAGATACTATCGGCACAGTCATCATCCTCGAGCCCTCAACTTCGTCACCTAGTTCTACCTTCACTGGTCCTTACACCACCATCACAGGCAGTGGACCCATTGAAACAAGCATAACTCTGGCACCATCTGGAACAGATCCTGTCGGTACCGTGATCGTGATTGAGCCCACGCCTGCTTCAACTGTATCCCCTGGAGCCACCGGAACTAGCGAGGGCTCAGGTGTTTCATCAACCTCTGATGGTTCTCAAGGTGAGTCAACGTCTTCCCTTGGAAGCTCCGACTCTGGCGCTTCAAGCACTTCCGGTTCCCCCTCCCAGCAAAGTTCAGATGTTTTTTCTTCCCAATCTTCTACCTCTGGTTCCTTCACCGATGTGAACTCTGGCTCTGCGAGCGGCACTTCCAGTGGCTCTGTAGTATCTTCAACTGGAGTTTCATCAGGTGATCTGTCAGCTTCTGTTACTGGTAGCTCTGAGTCCGCCTTCAGTACCTCTAGTCCCACATCCCAGGAGAGTTCAGGTGCCTTCTCTTCTGAATCCTCACTGTCGGATACCCTCACCAACGGTGGCACCGTGGGTACTGAGTTTTTAAGCACTACCTTTACTGGCACCGACGGATCATTGACGACCGCCGCCTCAGGCGCATCGCCAACCTCTGACTCTCAGAGTCAAGAGACGTCTGGTGCTGGAGGCCCGGGTACTTCTGGTACGGCATCCCAACAGAGCTCAGACCCTTCCGGTTCCTTTACCAACGGCAATACTGTTAGCACTGACACTGGCCTTGGCGAGTCTACTGGTTCTCCATCAGGTGCTTTATCAACCTCTGGTACCGGTAGCGAGTCGGCCTCTGCTCCGGGAAGCTCTGTTGGAACTTCAAGCACCTCTGGCGCCGTGTCACAACAGGGTTCTGATACCTCGTCAGTCCCAGCGACAGAGACTGGTGGTAACACGGCTGGCCCCGGCCCCGCGAGCACCACTTCTGGCGGTGCTCAAGCATCATCAACTGGGATGTCTTCTGGAGCTGTGTCCTCTAACTTCGGTTCAGAGACGTCTTCATTTGGATCAGGTACTGCATCTGAGACTGACACTAGTGGCAACACTGGCGGTCCTGGTTCGGGAAGTACCAGTTCTGGTGACTCTGAAATAACCTCCACTGAGGTTCTTTCAGGAGCTTCATCCTCTGGAATTGGACCGGAGGCGACTTCAGCCCCATCCGGTGCATCTTCGGATACCATTACCAATGGCAACACTGGCGGCTCTGAGTCTACTAGCACCTCTAATGACTCTGGCGAATCCTCAATGGGACTTTCCACTGTTGCCACATCTGGAACTGGCGTAGAGACATCTTCAGAAGGATCGGGTGCTTCTTCAACTCTCGGTTCGGAGACCAGTGGTAACCCTGGTGCCTCTGGATCTGCAAGCACGACATCTGGCGGTTCTGAAGGATCATCTACCGGACTTCCTTCGGGGGCTTCATCCTCTTTGTCTGGCTCATGGACATCTCCAATTTCATCAGGGTTTTCTTCAGATACTGCAACCAACACTAACACCGTTGCGCCAGGATCTGGAAGCACTACTTCGGGCGGCTTTGAAGTATCCTCCACTGAAGCTCCCTCAGCTTCGTCCTCTGGATCTGGTTCAGAGTCTAGCTTGGTTCAATCAGGCGCTTCCTCAGATACGGTGACCGATGGGAACACTGGCGGCCCTGAGACTGCAAGCAGTACCTCTGACGGCTCTGGCGGAGCTTCAACAGGAGTCCCCACTGGTGCCACCTCTGGCCCTGGTGCTGAGTCTTCCGGACCCGAGACCTCTGGAGCCGGATCAGGCACTTCTTCGGGTTCTCCTTCAGAGACTAGTGGTAACACTGGCGTTTCTGGTACCCCTGGGCCTGGTACCGAAAGTAGCACCTCAGCTGCCTCTGGAGGATCCTCGACAGGAGTTCCCACTGAAGCTGCATCCTCTAGCTCTGGCGCTGGAACCTCTGGCACTGAGACTTCGGGGGCTGCATCAGATACTTCTTTGGCTTCAGTCTCGGAGACAGGTGGCAATACCGGCGCTGCAAGCGGCACCTCTGATGTATCTCCAACGGGTACTTCTACCGGTGAGACATCATCTGGCTCTGGCTCTGAAACATCTTCAGCGGATACTGGTGGTTCCTCTGCTTCGCTTACGGAGACTGACAACACTGATACCGCAGGCACTGCAAGCAGCACCTCGGGTCCCTCTGGAGGATCCACGACAGGAGTTCCCACTGGTCAGACATCATCTGGGTCTGGTACCGAGACATCTGGAGCCAATTCAGGTGCTTCGTCTGCTTCACTTACAGAGATCGGCAATACTGGTGCCCCTACCTCTACAAGCACTAGCGGCTCTGACGAATCTTCAACTGGTGTTCTTTCTGTTGGTGCTACATCCTCTGACAACACCGGCTCTGAGACCTCTTCAGAAGGATCAGGTGCTTCTTCAACCGCTGGAGAGGAGTCAGGTACTGGTGCCCCAGCTTCTACAGCTGGTACGTCTGAGGGCTCTGAAGGCTCTTCGACAGGAATTCCCACTGTCGCTACTTCATCTGGTTCTGGCTTAGAGACCTCGGGCGCTTCCTCGACAATTGCTGAGGAGTCAAGTACCGGTGCCCTTGCCTCTACCGCAACTGCCTCTAGCGATTCCGAAGAATCTTCAACTGGAGCCCCCTCCGGTGCTGCATCATCTGACTCTGGTTCTGAGACCACCCCAGCTGGATCAGTTGCTTCTTCTTCGACTGCTGTCGAGGAGTCAGGCAATACCGGTACCCTCGTTTCGACTACCAGTGCATCTGAAGGCTCTGAAGGATCTTCAACTGGAGTTCCCTCTGGAGCCTCTTCATCAGAGCTCGGCCCGGAGACTTCATCAGCTGGATCTGAGGTCTCATCTGGAAGCTCTGGTACCTCTGAGCCTACTGCCGCCACTTCATCTTCTGGACCGGGTGCATCTTCTTCGGTTTCAGCTACACAGACTGACAGCACTGGTGCCCCTGTCTCTACCAGTGGTACCTCTATCGACTCAGAAGGTTCTTCTACTGGACTTGCAACTCAAGCTTCATCTAGTTCTGATGTAGAGACTGCCTCAACTGGCTCTGGCTCAGAGACAACCTCCACTGGACTCGGTACAGAGACCACTTCAACTGGGTCCGGTGCCTCTACCGGAACTGCCACTGAGGCTTCCACTGGTTCAGGCTCAGAGACCGCCTCAACTGGATTCGAGGCCACTTCAGATAGCACCACTGGACCTACCTTCATGACTTTCACCTCATCGGGATTCATTACACAAATCTCTAGTTTATCGTCGTCCTCTGAAGAGATCACTGACATTTCATCAGGCCCTGACACCTCTACTGGTTCTAGTTCTCCTGCCACCGGCGCCTCTTCAACTTCTGACTCAGACGCTGCTACTACCTCATCGGGAGCTGGAATAGAGACTTCTGGTTCTACTGGCTCCGCTGGAGAGCCTTCGAACACTTCATCAGGATCCGAGGGCTCCTCCACTTCCGGTTTTCCCTCCGAGAGCTCCAACACCTCCGCCGGCCCAGGAGAGTCTTCTGACACTTCTGGTGTCCCCGCAGAGACCTCTTCCGGTCCCGCTTCTGAGACCACTGGTGCTTCGTCTTCTGGTTCAGGTGCCGCCACTACGTCATCAGGACCTGATGCTTCTTCTACTTCTGGTCCTCCTTCTGAGAGCTCCAACACATCTGCTCCCCCTGCTGAGTCCTCGTCTGATGCCGGTGAGTCTTCCGGTACCTCAGGTATCCCCTCAGAGACTCCTTCAGGCTCTGGTTCCGAGAGCACTTCAGTGTCTGCCACTTCTGGGGCCGGTGGAGAGTCTTCGGCGGCTTCTTCATCTGGACCTGAGTCAACTTCCGATGGATCTTCTGCTACAACCGACGATGGCTCGGGCACTTCTAGCACTGCGGCTACCACTGGTGGATCCTCTGGAGCTTCATCTGCTTCGCCTGAGTCCTCTTCTGCCGCGTCCTCAGAACCCACTGAGACGTCTGGCACTTCTGCGGGCTCTGGGGAGTCCTCTGCGGCCACATCGGGTGTTATTTCTGAGACTTCCAGTGGCGCTGGCGTGAACACTTCTTCCGACGATGGTGCCTCTTCTGAACCTGCTACCTCCGGTGCCCCTGAGACTTCCTCAGGTGCTGCTGCTAGCTCAGGCGCTTCCAGTGAATCTTCCGCTAGCCCCACGTCTGCAGCATCCGAGCAGTCTTCTGCTACGTCGGAGGGCTCTTCTGAGACCTCCAGTGGTGATTCCGCCAATAGCTCTTCAGATGCTGGTGCCTCCTCAACCACCGGAGCTGAAGCTACTACATCGCCTGGTGCTGAGTCCTCGGCGACTTCGAATGTTCCTGCGGAGACTTCCAGTGACGCTGCCTCTTCCGGCGTTGCTACCTCTGACGTTCCCGAGACTTCCTCAGGTGCCTCAACCAGTGACTCTCCCGCCAGCTCCACTTCTGCGCCATCTGACGGATCCTCTGCTACATCGGATGTCCCTGCGCAAACCTCTAGTGATGCTGGCGCTGGTAGCTCCTCAGATACCGGTGCCTCGTCTACCGCTGAAGCTGAAACTTCATCTGCACCGGCTGGCGAGACTACATCAGATGCCCCTGCTGAGACCTCTAGTGATACTGGTGCCAGTAGCTCTTCAGATGCCGGCGCCTCGTCTACCTCTGATGCTTCACCAACTTCGTCGGCCGACACTGAGTCCTCATCTGCCCCGGCTGAAGAGTCTTCGTCTACAGCTGATGTACCTGCGGAGACCTCAAGCGACGCTGGCTCCTCTGCTGCTGCAACCTCCTCCGATGTACCTGAGTCATCCTCATCCGATGCTGAGCCTACCAGCACTTCCGATGACTCTGGTGCCAGTGCCACTTCTGCTTCCGCAACATCGAATGTACTCGAGACCTCTTCCGAGGTCCCCGCAGAGACTTCCAGCGATGCTGGTGCCAACAGCTCCTCTGCTCCTGCTACCTCTTCTGATGTGGCCGAGACTTCTTCAGCTGACATCGAGCCTACCAGCAGCTCTGATGCTGCCGCTAGTACCGCTTCCTCAGCCGCCGAGGAGTCGTCATCGCCAGCTACCTCGGATGCCGCCGTGACCTCTTCCGATGTACCCGCTGAGACCTCCTCTGACGCTCCTGTTGAGACTTCCAGTGATTCTGGTGCGAACAGCTCCTCGGACTCTGCGCCTGCTACATCTTCTGACGCAGCTGAGACGTCTTCAGCGGACACCCAACCTACCAGCAGCTCGGATGCTGCCGCTAGCACCACTTCCTCACCCTCTGAGGAGTCTTCGTCACCGGCTACCTCAGATGCTTCCGAGATCTCCTCGGAAACGCCCGCTGCGACGTCCAGTGATGTTCCTGCCATCAGCTCCTCTGAAGAAGCTAGTTCATCCGCACCTGCGACATCCTCTGAAGCACCCGCTGAGACCTCTTCCGTTGCTCCTGTTGAGACTTCCAGTGATGTTCCAGCCACCTCTTCAGCGCCCGCCGCGACATCTACTCCCGAGTCCTCTTCCGCTGCCCCCGAGACCAGCGCCGAGCCGACCTCATCAGCTGCAGAGACATCTGCTGAGCCTGTTACAACCGAAGCCCCAACCTCCGCCAGCCCAACCACTCCCGAGCCCCAGACCTCGTCTGCAACTGAGTGTATCCCTTCGCCAAACGTTTCGGGCTCTTGCGCCGTGGCTCTTCCCGCTGCCTGTTCACAACTCGAGACTACCAGCGGCCTAGCTCTTATTCCCGTCCTCACTGTCTGTACTGTTGCCCTCGGTCCCTATGCCGTTGGTAACGTTGCCTCCTGTCTCGCCACCACCCCGATCGTTGGCACTTCTGGTTTGAGTATCTTCAACTGTGTCCTTGATGCCTTGGAGGAGCGTTGCATCACAACTCTTCCCGACGCTTGTACAGATCTGGCAACTTCCAATGGTCTTGAACTTGTTGCCGATGTCGCTGTTTGTGCTGTTGCTCTCGGTCCCTTTGCCGCTGGAAGTGCTGCTACATGTCTCTCCACTGGTGACATCACTGGCAGCACAACAGGTACTAGCATCGTTGAGTGTCTCGAGATTGCTTTTGGTCTTGCGTCTGGCTCAAGTACCGTTACTGGCCTTCCCTTCTGTGATGAGCCTACAACTACGCCCACACCAACGCCTACGCCAACCCCTCAGCCGGCCTGCTTCGAACTACCTGAAGACTGCGCGTTCCTTGGCACCTTGACTGGTTCCGTCGCTATTGCTATATCCGCTCCAGCTTGTAGAACAGCACTCGGCAATTACAACACAGGAGCCGTGGCGTCTTGCACTACCTCCGGTATCGGTCTCTTCACCTCCGGCTCGGTTGTCGTTAACTGTCTCAACAATGCCCTCTCCGGGACGTGTATCTCTACACTCCCGACGGCTTGTTCGAGCCTGGCTGGGCAGAATTCCGTTCAACTTGCCTTGAACCTTGGTGCTTGCGACAGTGCCCTTGGGCCATTCGGAGAGGGAGCAGCGGAAGATTGCTTGAGCGTTCTGCAGGGTAGTGGCGACGCTGTTGTGAGCTGTCTCAACAATGCGCTTTTCTTTCCCACTACGGCTGCGGCACTGTAAATGGTAACTCCTAGTATGGTTGGGGGGGAGACAGCAGAGTGTTTTTGTGAGGAACTTTTATTTTTGTAATCTTTTCCTTGCGTAAATTGATGGATCTTGGGCAGTCTCAGTGTCATTCTAATAACTGTGGCGATGGTGATTACAGGGCTAGTACACCCCGGAGTGCACAATGACTTCTGGCGTTGAATTGAGGTGTTAAAAATACTTAGTCTAAGATCCTCTAAAATTATATTAAATTATACTAAGTTCACCTAAGGCTTTTTGCCACCTAAGATAGAGGTCTAATTTTATTGCACCCCCTTGCTTGTACAATAGATTGTAACAGTCAATTCACTTCCTTTCTACCTCATTTCTCTACTATTATATCAGGCCCTCAAATCCTTTGCCTCTCATTCCTTGTGCATAGCGGCCATGTCATCCATCTTCTTCTGTCCAATTGCATTTGCACCAACAGGAGCATCAGGTCCATCAAAAATCTCCGCTACCTCTTCAAGAGAATAGCCCTTGGTCTCGGGGAAGAAGAAGAAGATCAGGGTCAAGTGAACAGCAATCGCGACACACCAAACGATGTAGTACTTCCAAGCAATAGCCTCCATGGCAACAGGGTTGGCGAAAGCGTTGTAGACACCCGCCAAGTTGCCAGTGAGCTGGTACAACATAGATGCCTTTGCACGGAGCGAGTACGGTGTGACCTCCATGATATAAGTGGCCCCAATGGGAGAACAAGCGTGATACCAGAATGAGAAGACAAATATCATGGCCAGAACTGCACCAGCGTAGCCAATGTGCTCGAAGTTCTCCTGTTGGTTGCGAGCAGAGCAGATTGTCCAGATGATGTATGATACACCCATGCCTGACATACCAACGAGGAAGAGTCTACGACGACCAAACTTGTCAATCATGGCGGCGAAAACAACAGCCGAGAGGAAACCCCAGATTTGAAGACCGGCGTTGAGAAGAAGCTGGGTCTTGTGGTCGGTGATGTTGATGGAGTTGAGGACCTTGGAGAGATAGTACGACGTGAGGGCATTTCCAGACCACTGTAGCATAGCGGGGATGTACAGAGCAAGGAAGAATCGATGCCAGTTGCCGCGAGTAGAGATCCATTCGGCCCATCGTGACTTCTTCTGGACCTTCTCGATCTCGAGAGTCGCTGTAATCTCAGCCATTTCGAATCGTGCAAGTCTCGAGTTAGGATCTCCGTAGCCATGCCACTTGACGAGAATGTCCTTAGCTTCCTGGTACCGGCCCTTGTAGATCAACCATCGAGGAGACTCGGGTGCAAACATGACCAATGAAGCCTGAACAACCGAGAAAGCGCCCTGGAGAAGACTGGGAAGACGCCATGCCCAAGAGCTCTGCATCTGGAAGCTTCCGTACGTAACCCAAGCCGCAATGATGGCACCAAGTGGCCATGAGACCATCATGAAAGATGTCATCTTTCCGCGATGCGTCGGGTATGTAACTTCGGAGAGGAGGGGCGGCGCCGCAGTGGAAACAATACCGAGACCGAAACCAATGACGAAACGCGAAGCGACAAACATGCCATAGTTATACGAACAAGTCTGGACAATCGCGCCGACGATGATAGTGACCGATCCGATAAAAATGGGCTTTCTTCGTCCAAGCCAATCACAAAGTTGGGATGAAATGAGGATCGAAATGAGAACACCACCGTTGGGTCCAAACGTCATAGCACCAAGACGCGTTCCCTTGGGTTCACCGAAATACGACTGCCATTGAGGCAGCGATTGCGCTCCATTCAGCATACTCGCGTCAAAACCAGTAGCGGTTTGAGTCAAAAGACCGCTGAGGAGGAGGAGGTTGAGTTTCCATAACGTCCAGTCGGAATACCACGGTTTGCGGTCGCGGGGGATGACATCGGCGAGGACGAGACCTTGGAAGTCATTGGCGTCGGCATCGGGGAGGTGAGTTTCTTCGGCAACTTGCTTCGACATCTTGAAGATATGCAGACTTGACTCAAGTGGAAGTAAAGATGGTTGAGTCTGGTGTTTGTGTTTCGTTTCGTTTTGATGATCTCCACAGTCCTTTATATCTATCAATCTGACTTTGTGGGGTTGGACCAAGGTTGGCAGTGACATTTCCCTCTCCGGTAGATGAACCGAGGAAGTCGTACCATTCAGCCAAGATTGAACCCCAAAACTTGCTTGTGGGGGAGACTTGGACCGATGCCCGCTGCGCGTTTGCGGGTTATCTACCCCGGATCTACCCCAGATTCGTTAACGCGCCGTGGGGTCTTTGGGCTCGGTTTGGTTAGAGGGTCAATCCCCGCACGTGAGCGTGACCAATGTTCTTGGTTCGGGGCAAACGGAGCCGTTGGGGGCATTGTACCGGCAGCGGGCGAAGGATCGGAGGTCGTTGCTCCGGGCATTTCGATGCCGAATTCTCAGATCATTAACGCGAAAAATGAATGAATATGGCAGATGACTGGCGGGTTCGTTGTAGCTAACTCGTACGCTTAATTGGCATGACGATCATTGAAGTCACCCAACGTATTAGTCATCCTTGCAACAGTGTAAAGATACAGGGTAACTGGGTGTACCAAGTGCTGAGCATTAATTGATCTTGTCAATACATTTATTACATAGAATACTTCACGTAAAACTATCATTTAAGAACTGTACATATTCCGAGACTGATGAATAAACGTAGGTGAGACGGCATTGATGCCCTTGCATAACGGCGTCTTTCCAAACTCCAAAACAATGTCAAAATTATCGCTTTTCTTGTCTGGGCCATATTTGCACCAGGGGTTTTGCGCATAAAAAGTTTGCATTAACCTATTATTTGCGCGAAAAAAATTGATGTATTAATTGATATAACTAATAGATAGTCCACAAGGTATTCTGTAGCTTATTCCCTTTTACAAAGATTCCCTACTCCGTAATACGCAGTAAATTGCAAAGCAGCAAAACTTAGGAGTTAAGACTGAGGCGGGGGTCTTATCTTATCTTATCCTATCTTATCACAAGTGATGATAAGATAAGATATGTTGTTCCAGATATAGAAAACAAGCTAAGATAAGCTTGGTTATGACATTTTAATCCGGAGCAAGTCCTCCACTACTAGATATTGACCGAGACACGGATTATATCAAGTAAAATAACACTCTCGCTATCGGGATCCCCACTAGAACCCAATGACACCCAGGCTCCCACTAGGTCCCTTCTGCATCTCTGCCTGACATGAAATATTGGCAATAAACTGCATGTCTCAGGTGTTAAGTTAGCTTCTGAGGGCTGAAATGCTGAATTGGGCCAAGTGCTCGTAGTTTGAGCTGTGGGTGTTCAGTTTTGGGAACCGCCGACGACTGAGAAACTATCACCTCGCCCGCAGAGAGATAAACTAAGCTATTAAGCTGATACGGAGATATCCTAGACTTAACCCTGGAGTTACAACATGCGTCACAAAATGCAACCCTAAATGCTTGGATGGCTATGCTCAGCTAGCCACTGACTGGGCAGCAATGAGCTAACACTGAGGCTATCCTGGATCAGGCTCGGGTCTAGAACACCATGTACTGATTCTTTGTCACATACCTTTCAACTTGCACGTCTATTCATGTTTCGTGGCGTATGCAATGTGATATCTTATTAGGGTTCCGTGCATACACGTTTGTGATTGAGAGCAATGTGATAGTGAACTGCAGAATCTCAGCCAGCCACTTGAGTGGCGCCGCCAATGATTCATCTGTCGCCTGCATAACGCAACTCAATGGACGGAAGAGCAAAGACTACATAAAGTAGACTATTGCGACAGGTTTTGTCTGAAGGCATAAGCAAGCAACCAAGAATTGAACACATTCTCCTATTTTATCTCCAAGGAAACATGGCCTCAACATTTGACCTCGCCACGGATGAGTTTCTCACCTGTGAGATCCATTCCGAGAGCACCCTCCCACTTCTGAGCTACTTCATCGCGTGCAAGAAGCACAACCAGAATGGCTCCAGAACCCTCTTTCAGAAAGTCAAGGCAAAGATCGGAGTCGCGGATCGTCCCATCCCCGACGAGTCTGAGCAGTTGCAAGATGTTCTGCTGGCTCTTATGAAAGATGGACCGGGCAAGCCTGGACAAAAGCTCACAGACTGTCCAACAGTGAGTATATTAGCAGCCGTCTCTATGGGATACCCTGCTAAAGATGAGTAGGTCACTATCGTCGGCGCTGGTGTCTCTGGCCTTTGTGCGGGCTACGAGCTGAAGAAGGCTGGGTTCAAGGTCACCATCCTCGAGGCATCTTCCCGAGTCGGCGGACGAGTCAAGACCTTCCGGGAGCCATCTTTCGCGCATGGTCTTCATGGCGAGGGCGGTGCCATGCGCATCCCCGCGAATCACTACTTACTTCACAAGTACATCGAAGACTTTGGCCTGAAGACCCAGATGTTCGACTTTGAGATGAAGAACAAATTCATCTACATCTCAGGCTACGGTGAGACGCTTACCTACGATCGCTTCAATGAGCTCCTTCAGGAGAAGGACGCCAAACTGCTGTCTCTCTTCCCTGGTCTCCGTGATTGCGAAAAAGGCAAGACGTGCGACAAGCTATTCACAGACGCTGTCGAACAGGTTGTTATTGACTTCTGGAATGCCTATGAAAAGGCTGCTGACGAGGTAGCGGTTCCCGAGAAGATTCAAGTCAAAGCTATCAAGGAGGCATATGCCGCGATCACCAAACAGTATGATAGCTACACGCTACGATCTTACTTGACTGATGTTGCGGGGTGGACTGAAGATGCTATAAATCTGTATGATCTTGGCAATGCTCATGTCGTCTTCGAGAATGGCTTCATTGAGTCGTTCAAGGATGCCTTTTTGTCGAGTAACAAAGGTGGCGAACAGGCGGGCATGAAGCAGCTTCAAGAAGGGATGGATGCTGTGCCCAACGCTTTCGTCTCTAGTGACAGAAAAGAAAGTGAGTCACTTCTGCGCCTTCGTTGAAAACACTCCTGACTAATATCTCACAGAATCGTTGGTTGATGATATCATCTACGGTGCTCGAGTCACCGAGATCGGTATCCATGAACAATCGGACCCCCAAATCCCTCTCCAAGCTCCGGTCAAGGTGACCTACGAGGTCACAGCCAACAGTTTGAAGAAATCCATCACCTCAGACTATCTCATCCTCGCCATTCCCTACACCGCGCAGCGAACAATTGCCAAGTCAAAGCCCTTCGTGCCCATGCAGGAAATGGCAGTGCGAGACGTCCGCTATGTGGAAGTCACCAAGGTCCTCCTCCAGTACAAGAAGAGATGGTGGGAGGAGGTATTCACCAAAGCGGGCCAAGGCCTAGACGGCGGTCTCGTCAGCGATCTTCCAATCCGTTACACCATGTTCCCCAAAACGGATGGTAACACTCAGTTCAAGCATTCTAACCGCGGTGTCATCATGGCAGCATACACCTTTGAACAAGACGCTACTATCCTCGGATCTCTCTCCCCAGACAGGCGAATCCAAATAGCCGCCGAGAACCTGAACAGAATCTTCCCTGAAGCCAAGTCTCTTGACCTTCTCGAAGCTGGAGCCTCGCAAGTCTTCCCAGCGGATGAGTTGGCTGGCGGAAGCGCTTTCTGCTATTTCGGGCCGATGCAAAAGACGAAGTTCTTGGATGTCATGCAACAGCCTGATTGGGAGAACAGAGTGTTTTTTGCGGGTGAGCAGGCTAGTTTTACTCACGGGTGGATCCAAGGTGCTTTTGAAGCCGGACTTCGATGTGTACAGCAAATCTGGTCTGTTGCTGTTGAGGGTAAGGCACAGTGAGCCAAGGCACAGAAGGCTTGAATTTTATCCCCCAACTTGCTTTCTTATACGCGTTTATATCTCTCTGTAGTCACTCATTATAACCACAAAAAATCATCTAATGTCTTGCTCTAGTGGTAGTTTCTGGCTTTCTGCCACCAGGACTAGTAAAACACTTCTTGAACACATAACGTGGTGCAAGAAGACTTACCTCTCTGTGATGATATAAGCTCTCAGTTAATGAGAAAATATTTATTTACAGAATGAGGAACATAGCCCAAGCTTAGATTATAATTATGCACGTTTGTAGGAGTTCTTACATAACGAGGCAGAATGCTAGGTGCAAATAGAAATGCCTCGAGCCATTGGGCCAAAAAGGTACATTTGGTGATCGCTAAGCCCCATTTAGTGAGTGCTCAGCCCTGTTTAGTAAAATTATTACACCACTAAAAATCCTTTCAATTGGAAGGATCTCAATTCCACTTTAATTATACATGGTTATCCATGTCTTTTGAAACGGAATTCCGTTTAATACCCTTGTATTTAAGAAGTTAAGCTTCTTCAAGTTCCCTATTTTTAAAACTACGTAGTATCATAAACATAACTAGGCTGTGTGGATCCTTTATCGAGAATCCTTTAATTAAAATCCTCGACAAAACTTCCCTTTCGGCAATTGCCAGAACATTTAGAAATAGAGAGGAAACGAGGCTATGTAACCGAATAAGATAATATAAGAAGCCGCATTACCTCTAGCAATGAACAATAGTCCGACAACCACTTCTACTTCATTATAATCAATCATTCTCAAGACTCTACAGCCATGGCTCCTACTATGCCTCGAATGGCGGCCTATGGCCTCTTACTCCTCGGTTTACCTTCCACCACTCTCGCTAAGCCAGTGGGAATCCAGGCACGCCAAAATGTCCCTGGCGACACGCCTTTCGTGAGCTTTGATGCTTGCAGTGATTCTCAACGCCAGGACATCGAGAAGGCCTGGGCCGATGTGGTCACGCTCGCCGGTGTTTCAAAACAGTTCAATCCTCCCGGCACGATCGAGTCGAGAATCTTCGGAGATGACATCAACGTAAGATTCGAGGATATATCCCGTATATACAGTGAGAGCCTCCCTTCTTGCCGCAAGCTACGAACGTCATGAGCTAACTCGCGGACAGCTATTTTCCACAACATCGAGGAACTGAGTAAGAATGGGCGCAAGATGCAGATTTCCTGCCAAGATATCTACCAGGACCACAGGGGGGCGAATGACCAGGTTACATGTAAAAACGTGATTCAGTCTTCATCTGGCTCCATCGGCGCCTACGCATTTTCCACCGAGCCGACCATCGAGAAGTCCACCATTGTTCTTTGCGATCCCTTTTGGGCGCCCGGCCAAGAGTTTCTGGGGGAAATAGTTGATAATCTCCGCAAGGCGCCAGAGGGTGACAGAAAGAACCCAAATCTCATGGTCGGCAAGGGTAAAATTCTACTTCACGAGCTGACGCATCTTACCGCATTGGCAGAGACATCGACGAATGACGGTGAGTAGCTTTCGTCGCAATGACAATTGAGCTACAAATGCTGACGGAATACTCAAGTTATTGTCATCGATCAACTCCTCAATGACGACTCCAATGTAAAGGCTTATGGGATTAGATTGGTGGAAAGGCTGGCCAGAAACAAGAATTGGCGCGCTCGTACCGCCAAGAATGGTAAGCAGCAAGTAACCTTTACAAGATTTGATACTAACTCATTACTTTCTCTACAGCTGACAGTTACGCATGGTATGCGACCGAGAAGTACTTTGAAGGCATGTTCGGCACTCCCAACGCAGCCTATGAGAAGAGAGATGGAGATGAGGATGATACTTCACCCGAACAACCGGCGCCTCCCGCAGCTCCCACCAAGGCACTCAACATCATCCTCGAGAACAAGCGTCACGGAGTCCCGAATGATAAAGACTTCTACGATACAATGAACTGGCTATTCTACTCCACCGACTATGGGACTGCTTCCCAGTGTGCACTCAACCCAGCTCTCGCCACTCATGCCGATGTATCTATTGACACCCTATCGATCAATGCTCTGAGAGACGACCACTTTCCTGGTGGCACATTCGATATCAAGACTCAAGATGGAGACTGCCAGTATAAGAACGATGGCACAGGAAACCCAGGAGCTTTGTGGTGTGGTGAGCAGGGACACTCATGCAGGGCACACCCGGACAGACGGACCTTCACTTACTGCCGCGACCTTGACAAGTCTGCGCAGATTCAGCATGCAGCTATGGTTGTTTGTGAGTGGTAGCCTTGCGATCTTGGTAACAAAGGGTGCTCGCTGGTAGATTTGGAGCCGATGTTAGTCTCGACCTTGGAGTAATCGGTAGGACTAGTGCCGAGTTGGATAGCTTATTGTGTTCATATTGTGTTCAACCTTGAGTATAGACGTTAATCTATTTTTTTCTTTAAGATCAATTACTTTAGTACATATACAGACATACGTTGAAATAGATATACAGCCTTCATATATAATACGAATGTAGGGAGTGGCACGGCTTTGTGATCTAAGACTGGCAAACCAATAGTGAAGGCTGGGCTATAGACTGGTCCACTCCTACCTGGAGCTGCGATGAGGCTGGCTGTCAGTAGCTTGGCTTTCTTACACCAGAAGTCTGTCCAGGCTGCGTGATGCAAATGAAGCTGAAAGAGTATAAGACAGGGCACCTCATATACAGCCACAATGTAGATTCCTATAGTGGACATCTTTTTGTACTGCTATGCGTAATATTTGTTGAAAAGATATAGTACATGGTCGCGAAAGAGTTTCAGGCAAGAAGACTTTGTCTTCAAAAGTATGAGGATCACAGAATAAGCGGCCTCACTGAGGGCATACAGATAGGCTATCTATATGTTATAGTCCTCGAACATGAATCAATTTGTGACCTATATAGATCGATTGTATGGGAGCCTCTGTTGGTATGCAGCTACTGTGCGTTCTAATTAGACGTGGAAGCGCGCCCCTAGCTGCCCTTGTGTGGCTTCAAAGGCATCCATGATCCGTTGCGTTGGGCTGACATGAACTCCGCAGAAGCACATTCAGAAGGGGACGACTAAGACCTTTCTCTGTCTTGTTCTTTGCACGCGTGAGTACCAGGCAATTGAGAATTCTCCTCTTGCGCCACTTTCTCGATATCGACATTCATTTAGACCCCAATTAACCGAAGCCCGGCTCACTAGTCGACTTTGACGATCGAATCTCTCGTAATTATGGAAGATCCTACTTCGGCGGAAGGAGAAAGCGGCTCAACCAAATATACGATCAACGATCTGATGGATGTTTTGCAACATCCGTTGGCGAAGTTCGTGACCATTCGCAAAGAAGTGAATGAAGGTAACGCCGCGGCGGAGCGGCAGAAACTTGACCGCTCGATCAGAAGCCATGTTGATCCAATCGCGAAAGACGTCTTGAAGGTACCAGACAGCAGCAACACGACGATCAAGGCCTATGAGAACGGTGCGAAAGCGATGACCGCTACACTCGTGACTACAAGCAAGGTAGCAGACTCGATCGGCGAGAACTTTGATACCATAACCAAGAGTGCGACACAAGCCTCCGAAGACATTTCACGCACTGCTGTTGCACGGTAAAAGACGGCCGAACGCGTGGATCAAAGTATAAGCAACTTGAACAAAAACATCGGCGGTGTCCGTATTATGGCAAACTCGATGATGTCTGGTATACTTCAGGCCCTTGAAGAGGTGGTTGAGGAAGTACGCATGATTAACCATAACCTTGAGGGTATCAAGGACGAGTTGCGGGCAAAGAATATCCTCGTCTCTTCGGGCGGATTTGGACCGGATGGTTTTGCTCGTGTTTTCCACGGTTTTGTGCAATTGCAGATAAAGAGACACCATGGTGATGACCACAGATTCTTTGTCTGGTACCCCGATACTACATGGCATTGACGCTTTCAGCAACTGATGGAAGACGAACTGTTGCCTCCTACGTTCTGTGCGTACACAGATGACCTTGATTGTCTATGTGCATGCATGAAAGCAGCCAGAGAGTCGTTACCTAAGGATTCCAAGGTGACCTTCCATCTGGTTATTCCAGCATGGTATGAGATCCAAGTGAAGGTCCCGCTTCACTTTCCCGATGAGCTTCAGCCTTTGCGAATAGTGGGACCAAAGCATGGTGGTAAAGAGTTGGTCTCTTTTAATCTTCCTGCAGCAACGGCGGATTTGCTTGATGGTATTGCTACTGTACTAGATCCCGAGGGTTACAACGGTAAAGCAACTGTGGCAGCAGTAGCTACATGGGGAGTACTTGGTTGTGGTGGAGCCCTTGGGGATTGTTTTGCAGCCTGTATCGGTCTTGGTATTGTGACTGGGCTAGGTCCTATAGCAGTTATACCTGCCGGGTTTGGATTGTTTCCTACAGTGGGTGCTCCTGTTGCCTTTAGGGGTGTTGATGCTGTTGCGGAGATGCTACGCGAGGAACCAACTCGAATTTTGGGATCAGACAGACGACTACATCGAGAATATGGTATCGATGGGTTATAGGGAAGAGAGTTTTGTGACATGACCTTTCAAACATGGGAGCGTTGAGGAACGACAGACTTATGCCCAAGGTAGTTTTACATAACAACTTATTTCTAGTAGTATTCGCTTCTCTTTACTAGAAAATGGTGGGTAGAAATGACTTTTACAAGTAATGAAATTGAAATCTTGAGGCATTTCGCCACTGGTTATTTTTAAATGTCTTCACGCAGCAACGATTGTGGATTCATCTCGTTGAGCGTCGAATTTATTGTTTGGTTTCTGCTGCTCATTTAAAACTGGAAACACCTGCAGTGTGATATTTAAGCCTTGTTTAATCGCTTGGCCTCGATCTGGACCGACTCAGGAATCCACTCCTCCAGACTCTCGCCCACCGGCTTCCAACCGAGATACTTCCTCGCCCTCTTAGCCTCACCACGACTGTTCAATCCCCACGAAAGAGCCTGAAATCCCAGCTTCTTCTGTGCCTCATCAACATCAAGAACCTTGGTCTCATCGCTATCAATAACGCCCTGCTTCTTAGCCTCCTTGGCAATGAGAGCAGAGATCTGACTCCACTTGTGTTTGCCGTTCTCGGCAAAGAAGTAACCCTTTGGACCCCAGATTTCCTGCTCGTCGGACTGCTTCTCAGATGATGCGGCGCGTTCCGACAAAAGAACGAGCAGGGTGGAGAGATCGTGGACGTGTACATTATCCCATTCTGTCTCGCCAGCGCCGATGATTGGACCGAAACCCTTCTCGAGAGTTGTTTCAGTCAAGCCTGGGATCTGGCGACTTCGCTGGTTGGCGGGTCCTCGCCCGGTTCCGTAGATGGTGGGAGGGCAGACGACGGCGACCTTTACTGCGCTGGGATCCTTGGCAGCTTCATCGAGGACAATCTTGTCGACGTCGCGATGGAAAGCGGTATCGGGCAGAGAAGTGACCTTGTCGACGCCCTCCAGATCATCGTAGGCTTGCTCAGGCAGAGGCCCTTCTCCGTATCGCTTGTTATCCATGTCATACCAGCAGAGAATGCCTGTCCCGCTGATGTGAATCCAGTAGCCGGGATTTGAGCTCGAGTGGGTAGAGCGAAGGCCGGCAGCGATAGCTTTGGCAGCTCCTTGGTGATCGGAACTATCAGCGGTATCTAAAGCACGTCAGTACTAGAAACAAGAATAACTGCGATAACTTGTACTTACGAATCACAATGTCGGCCTCAGAAGCAGCCTTCTCAATGACCTTGGAGTCATCCAACGATCCAATCGCCAACTTCACATCAGGATATTGCTTCTGCACATCCTTTCCCTTATCCTCGCTTCGGACAAGGATGGTATACTTCCAATCAGTATGCGCTTTATGCAACGCGTAGAACGCATCACCTCCAATGAAACCGGTGGTGCCAGTGCTAAGCGAAGGGTCAGCGTCAGCTTACGGTGACATTGGGAGGGGACTTTACATAAATACGCTCTTTGCAGTCATTTTCGTAGATTCGCTTAGATTAATTGCTTGAATTGAGTTTATTGATCTCAAAGGTGTATTTGAGAAGAGGTTAATTAGGAGGACTTATAGAATTCAATTGCTGAGATATCAAAGACGTCAAAAGAAGCACAGTGACGTCATGCTGAGCAAATGGCCCCTCATAACGTTAATGGCTTGCTTAGCAATCTGTTAAGGTTTCCACCTAAGATACATGCACTGACTAACAGTCCATTTTGGTGTGGATAAGGACTTTTCCAGAACAATTATTCATTACTTGAGCAAGCTTGCTTGCTTCTCGATTAATCTATTTTACATGACGTGCTCGAGGTCAAAGTCGCACTGAGCTCTCTTCTAGAAATTTCCGAACAGCAGATCCAAAGGCCAAGTCCGACCAGATGAATTGGTTCAATACCGTGTTTGTGTCAGAACATGAACTGGGTCTTTGGAAACCCGTCGAACGCAAAAGCGCAATGTAACTGGAGCGAACAGGCCCGTCGGGGGCAAACACTCCGCCAATACATATCAGCCAAAGCAACAAATCTGCATGCTCGTCCCACATGGGCTCATCACGGACTGATTGAATTTCTTTGAGGAGTTGCGCAGTAATATTGGACTTGCAAGTCAGCGAGTGCCTCAAGGGGCTGCATAGGGGACTTACGGGAATTACTAAAGCGCACCAAACTTTGCAGCATAGCATTACTGAGCACATGTATGCTGCGAGGTGGCAAGCTTTGGATATGGGGCAGGTGTTTGGGAGAGCCTGGAGACGAGATTGTATAGATGCTGTGTGACTGTTGATGTGTACCGTCGATACTGGACGGCCGGTACGTTGATAAATGTTTCTGATGCATTGAAGAGCATGTATATCTCTGACTATATCCAGAAATTCTTGGCTGAATAAGTGAGAGCGTACTTGGAAGCCTGACGGTAGCTCAAAGAAATCTGGAGCTATTGAGTCTCGTTGCCATTGGAGTTCAGTGAAAGTTGTATGGTCGACTATGCGTTTTGAACCCACCATGATTGACGAGTTCAAGTCCTGCCTGTCAAAGCGTAAGAGCATGTCTTTGAGTTCATAAAACCTACGTACCAAAATATGGCCCGCTTGATGCCTTCTGTGAGATTCATAATGACTGGTTCACAGGCATTGAGAAGGTACTGTATTGCACCCATGTGAAGCTGAACTTGCGAAGTTGTGCCAAGACGTGCCTGGTAAGTCAGTACGATATACCTTCAAGTGAGTGAGAGCCCTACCTCAACACCAACTAGTAACAGGATGGCACCAATGGTTGACTCCGACACTACTTTCTCAGGCGTACTTATTCTTTCACGGATATGCTGAATCGCTTGGCCACGGTATACAAGACATTCTTTGTTGATGACACCGCCATTTGCGGTGAAAGCCAATGACAACATCACCGCATTCAATAGAGCAGGATCAATGAGCCCAGATCGGAACACCGATTTGAAGTTCTGAAAGTCATCTTCGACGCTGAATACAGGCTCCGGAGCTTGGCGTGCATTGACTGGGATACATCAATATTATGCCTAATATTGTATGAGAAAACTCACAATCGTTCAGTAAGATCTGTAGCCGTTTGGAGTTGACGGGAAGACTTTGGAAGGGATCAAGCAGACTTGCAGATAGCGTAGTAGGTGAGGGCGATATTTGCCTATTGACTTGCCACTTGCAAAACATTCTCCTTTGTTCCTGTTCATCTTCTAATGTTCTCACGGAAAAATGTTGCATCGATTCCTGTTGCCGTTGTCGCTTTTTCTGTAAGGCCTGCTTCACTGCGTGTGATCGAGCGAGACGCTTAGCAGCCTTATCACTGCTCTTATCAGGTGTCCCCTGCACAGTGACGAACTGGAAGTGCGCCACTAGCCATGGTCAGTAGAATGGTATTGGATTGACGGCACAACATACTGTTTGCTATCCGGGATTAGGTACTTGCAGCGCTCCGAGTATGCATTGTGGCAAGTATTATGGTGCCATTCAATGGCCTCTTCTCTCTCTGCGTCGCGTCTCACCGTAAGCTTGATGCTGCTTAGAAATCGTCCACCGCAAGATCCACATTTCCCCTGCTGTAGATCAGCTAAGCCGCCTTGGGCAACATCTCGTTTCCTGTTTCGGAAGTATCTCGTTCCTACATCAAGAACAACCTGATTTCCATATCTTGACAGGCCTACGCCTTGATAGCACGAGGTCTAAGTGTCACCGCTTCAAGTGAGAATGGTTGATAATATACTCATTTCATGGAAGATTTATCAGCTTGTGATCTTACGATGGGTCCAACGCAAAACTTTTGTATGTCATCAGTCCGAACTGGCAGATATAAAGAGAGCAAGATGGCCGGACCGTGGAAGGAATTCACATCAGTCGCTCTTCAGTGAACAGCTTCGAACTCATCCCAACTAAAGTCTATACAATTGCAACAAAACGCGTTCAACATGTCAGAGTCACGCCTTTTCCAGCCCATGAAAATCGGCAACATCAAAGTCCAGCATCGCATTGGCATGGCTCCTCTTACACGCCTCAGAGCCAGCATTGACCGTGTCCCCAACGCCCTAATGAAGGAGTACTACGGTCAACGCGCTTCCATCCCAGGTACCCTCATCATCTCAGAGGGAACTCTTGTCTCCCCTGCTGCTGGCGGGGGTTTCGCCAGAACGCCTGGAATCTGGAACCAAGAGCAAGTCTCTGCCTGGAAAGAGATCACAGACGAAGTGCACCGTAAGGGCAGTTTCATTTTCGTTCAGCTGTTTGCGATGGGTCGTGCTGCAATTGTTGAAGTTGCGAAAGATGAAGGAATCGACATTATCGGACCGAGTGCAATTCCGATTGAAGGCAGCCCTGCTCAACCTCGAGCCATGACTTTGGACGAGATTCATGAAATGGTCGAGGCATTCGTCACTGCATCGAAGAATGCGATCCACGCTGGCTTCGATGGCGTCGAAATACATGGTGCCAATGGGTATCTGCTCGACCAATTCCTCCAGGACGTCAGCAACCAGCGGGACGACGAATACGGCGGCAGCATTGATAACAGGTCCCGTCTGATCACCGAGATCCTAGAACGCACTGTACAGGTTATAGGTTCAGAGCGCGTTGGTATCCGTCTCAGTCCATGGAGTACCTTCCAGAGTATGCGCATGAAAGACCCAATCCCTCAGTTCACAGACATAATCAACAAAGCCAGCCGTCTCAACTTGGCCTATCTTCACTTCATCGAGTCGCGCATCTCCGGCAGCCAAGACTGTCAGGATCATGGCAACGAGAAGCTCGACTTTGCATATGATCTCTGGAAGGGACCTTTCCTTATTGCTGGCGGGTTTAAACTGAACGAAGCGGAAAGGCTAGTTGACGAAGAACATCCCGATAAGGATATCATGGTCATGTTTGGGAGGTACTTCCTGGCCAACCCGGACTTGGTGTATAGAATCAAGGAAGGCTTGGAGTTTAACCCCTATGAGAGGAAGACGTTTTACAGTAGCGATGTCGAGGGTTACGTTGATTACCCGTTTGCCGTTAGAAAGGATGCTGTGGTTTTAAAGTGATTTTAGGTTAGGGAAGCTTGCTGCAGGTCGCTTCGTGGTGAGAGCATTGCATTTAGGGCCTCGGCCTTGTTCTCTGACATAGCTCGTCGCCTTTTCCTTCTCTTATACTATCCAATCCCAAGTGGAAAGATCACGTTATTCTACCTATGATTCTGCGTAATTTATCTCCCTTAGCCAAAATTGTATTCCTTTTAGGGGTAGGGGGATGCAATAAATCTTAGGACCTTGCTCCACAGTAATAAAAAGCTTTAGGTAATACTTAGATAAACTTAGTACAAGTTTAGAGGATCTTGAACTAGGTATTTCTAGCACCTTAGTTTTATATCAGAAGTCTTCTTGCACCGCGTGGGGAGGCTAGGTACAATATCCCCGTCAAAGAACGGTCGTTTTACACTACCCTTGCCTATTCCAGAAAGTTCCAACTCCATATCCAGCCTTGATTCTGTTCCAAGAACGGGTTGTCCAGAATTGAGTCGCTTGGATCATATGTCATATCTCCAGTGAATAGACGACTGGCCGCTGTTTTTAACAGTTAGTGTCTATAATATCTGGCAGTTCTTGCACAAGAAATCGAAGCTCACCTTGCTCATAGTCCACGAGGGTGTCGTTTAGTGAAGTGTCAGCGGAGATGATCATGTCTTGATCTGCGAAGTTCATGCTTAGTGTATCAGTTATGCTACCGTTGTTCGTTGCAGGAACTGAATTCAAGTCAACGTTTGACTTTGACATCGGGGCTTCGCTAGAGCATCCCCAGTCAGACACTTTGAAGTTACTTCTGCTTCGGTCTTTTTGAGGGACTTCTGGGTATGCACTACTCAAACCCCCAGTCTCTGACCTCTCATTGCCTGTTTTTGTCATCGCTAGACTCGCCAATCTTTTCGTGATATCCAGACTCTGTGCGGCAACAATTGACTTATCCTTGAGAAGGTTCTGTACCTGCATCAGCTGCCGTATGCTGGATATTGCCTGAGCCGAGTCAGAGGCCAAGGGATCAAGGGTTATGGAGATACACAGTGTCACGCCTGCCGTCAAGAGGTGCAACGATACTACAGATATAGCGTAAGTCTCAGATGCCTCCAAGAGGTATGGAGTCGAAGCAACTCTTGATATCTGCAGTGCAGCTTGCCTACACTGTTCCAACGCCGTCCGAAATGGGTTAATCATTGAAATGAAGGTGTCTGTCGAAGTGGCGCTAGCCTTTTTGAACGATAGAAGAGGCCTATGGATCAAGATCTTCGCATTCTCGTACGCCAGCTCGAGGGAAAGCGCTTGCAGGCGGAACAGGTAGTTTTCGAATTCTCGTTTAGTTCTTTCACGGCCATGCGGGGCCTGAAACCCCGATGATGGGCCATAACCATCAAATATGAGCTTCCGGTGTAGCTTTCTACGCCACTCTTGGAGACGCCCGTCCAAAGTCGTAACCTTATTGAAAAGTGCGTTCAAATTGTCTGCTCTTTTCCGATCGCCGTGCCGAGTGCCGTACAACTCAAATAACGCGGACTTGATAATAACCGACAGCATCGACATGAAGCACTTGTAGAACAACAACGACGGACCCCTCGGGTGGCGTGAATCCTTGGTTGAGCCAGAGTACTCATCATACGAATCCAGGAGATCGACATTGCAATCGCTATCGGAAAAGCCTAGGGGAAATCCATAGAGCATTGAGCAGAAAGTGTCGATCTCATAGACAGCCCACCAGGCCCGCTTCCGGTCTTGTATCTGCTGTTTCAGAGCCTGATCGTTTGGATCTCCAGGTGACATCTTCCGATGGAGGTTGAGTGCTTGAGCGATACGTAATCCAGAGCCAGACAGTGGCCAAGCCATGCCAGGCTCGCCGTTGTACAGGTAATAGCTTGCCAGCAGAACACAGAGTTGCACTGCCTCAAGAGAACCTCTTGATACTATATCCAAGAACCTGGATTTAAGTGAATCTAGGATCCGGGTTTTCAGTTGTTCCGGATCAATATTGTAAGACTTTAGCTTGCTTTCTTGCGCACCGATGTGATGCAAGCTGGTCGCGAAAACAGCCAAGAGAACAGCTATAAAGCCTATACCTCTCGATGAAGCGTTTGGACCGGAGGGAAACGTGGTATGATCATAAAGATCCTGGAACTTGCTTCTGAAATCGTCTTGGTGAAAGACCAATATGAACCAGTGAATCCGATCAAAATAGTTGTCAACCAAGAGTGTCGCAGGCCCTATATCGGGTAACAAGGACATGAGCTCTTTCTCGGCAGCGGAAAACTTGGACCTGATATTGTTTTGCTGTGACTGGATGTCCTTAGGCCGCTCAGTGACATTTGTCTCGATAATATTCTTGGTGAAGTTTTCTGCAGTGGCTTCAGATTGAGTCCAAGTCTCGGATCTCAGAGCGGAGAATTCAACGCCTTTAGGTGAGGCAGAGTCATGCTGCTGAAAAGCCTTGTATTTCGGTCTTAGTGATGATACAAGCAAAGGTCAGGCTCTTGCTCTACTCACCTCTTCAACGAGCTTCACAGTCGAGCTGGAATTCCAAGCTGATTCTAAACCTGATCCAACAGTAGTTTCTGGTTCAGTTTTGACTGAAATTTTCGCTGCCGCGGCTTGCTCTGGAGCTCCGTGATAGGGTCTCCATCTGGCACTTCCAGATGCGATGCATTCGGTATTTGCTCGTGAGCATAGGGTGCATGGACGCTCGACGTCACACTATCGCATTCAGTCAATTGATCCATCGTTGATAATTTCGCATTACCTTGAGCTTCTGCTTGCGACATCTTTCGCAAGCTTTGGATACTTTGCGCTGATTGCTTTTCATTACGATCGCTAGATGCTGTGGGCTATGGAAGAGAATGTTGCGATGATGAATAAGGGGAGATGTTCGGAGTAACTCTTTTCCTGTCCGCTCACCGCTTATAGTAATTCCGTGATATGATTTGTCGGATCCGGTGTATTCGGCCGAGTATGTGTAAACTATTCTACATCTTAACCCTACCCAAGCATTTCCCTTCCCGACCTATCTCAGTATCCTCCGACAGAGCTATTAGCCATAGGCTTGAAAGTAACTACAAAAGGCTGGTCAGTGATTCCCCTCTTAACCGCTTCCTCCATAATCGCAACAGTAGCTGTAGCGCCAATACGTGTCACGCCCAGCGACATAACATGCAGCAAATCGTCAAGGGTGCGAACACCTCCAGCAGCCTTAACCTGGACATCCTTGCCAGATTCCTCTACCATGAGTTTCAGATGAGGAATAGTAGCACCTTTGTAACTGTACATGCCGTTTTCCTGCTTTACAAAACCATAGCCAGTCGAAGTCTTGACAAAAGCCACTCCAATATCCGAGCATATCTTGCAGAGGCGCACGATATGTTCCTCCTTCAGGTAGTCGTTCTCAAAAATGACTTACAGAATAGCTCCACGCTTGACAACGACATCGTTGACTTGACGAATCTCATCAGCCACGTACTTCCAGTCACCGCCGAGCGCCTTGCCGATATTGATGACCATGTCGATCTCATTGCCGCCAACAACGGTAGCGACATCGGCTTCGAAGACTTTGACGGCAGTGCTGCTGTTTCCATGAGGGAAGCCAATGACAGGACAGATCAAGACATCACTTCCCTGAAGCTCCTGCTTAGCAATGGAGATTGCATATGGCTTGACGCAAGCTGTAGCGACGCCGTACTTTTTGGCGATGGAAAGGCCTTGAAGAATGTCGGCGTCTGTCATGGTGGGGTGCAGAAGAGAGTGGTCGATCATCTTGGCGATTTGTCGCAGAGTAACAGTGATCTCGTTGGCGTTGGGACTCATGACGTTCTTTTGAATGGGTGATTGCTGTAAAGTGACGCTGTTTGGATGATAAGTGATGATTGAATGAGGCATCTGATATTCTCTCGGGGCACACACTTTATATAATAAGTTCTCCAAGTCGCATACGAGAACGCCATTGGCAGTCATCACAGCGAGCTTTCGTTTCCCTTTACGGTAATTTGTTCCACCGGAACTCAGAGTGGGGCACTATCTGCCCTCGGCGAAGGGACGGAGAGGCCCACGGGCTTGCCTAATTGGGTATTTCCGTTAGTCTCCAGGTAACCGTCTGAGAGTCAGGACAATTGAAGCCACAACTATACCATATGCACAGCTAAGTCAGTATAATAAAAGCTACGACAATTATACAGCGGCTATAAATATACCAAAAGATGCTAATAAGATAAGGCTATGGCTAGTTATAACTAGTTATAGCTTGGTCAAAATGACTTATGTAAATTAGCTGGATAGCATGACTCTGAAATATCAAGGAACACCCTGATTTCTTTGTGACCTGGAATCTTGATATAAATCACCTCCTGAATTGAAATCAAGCAGCCTGATCAAGAGTTTGTTTACGACCCCAACCTAGGAAAACACTGAAAGAACACCAGGCTTTGGCCTTTAAGTAGATGCTCCGTCATCATCAAAAACATGCTGGAAAAGTGTCAGATTTAACAGCTATACTCACGTTTATCTCTTGCTTCACTTACCAATAACGACTCCACGAGAGTTTCCGATGCTGCGTTCTTCCCTTTGCCAAATCCACCACCCACTAACTGTAGTTTTCTTCTTTGCCGAAATACGACATCAGCCTGCGTATTATTAGCGGGAACAACAACAGCAACGCTTGCTAACAGACCTGTTCGACTGTCTTTGCCGTGATGTATCTGACAACAACAACTTGAGATTCTTGGCCGAGTCGAAGTGCTCTCCCAATCGCCTGCTCCTCGATAGACGGGTTCCATTGCGGCTCCAGCAGGTAAATGCGGGATGCGACGGCAAGGTTCAATCTGCCAAGCAGTAAGAAAAGGTCAATCCACCGGAAGGCTAAGACTACAGACTCACCCTACGGCACCAGTTCCCAATGTCATAAGTAGAATTGTTGGGCCAGTTTTCGACTGAAACTCCTTCAACGCTTTGGTGCGCTCAGTGAGCGTTCGGGAACCATGGATTATACCATGTCTGATGGAATGATGCGAAAGAAGGGCGCTGACTAAGAAAAGTGTCTTCTTCCAGCATGAAAACACGATACTGTGAGGCAAGATACTCAGCATGTTTCCATGACCGTACATGATTGAAAACTGACCTTTTCTCTGTATTGTGCTGGCGAATGTCGTCCAAGAGACGGAGCAACTTTGAAGGATAGTCGTCCTTAGAGAAACCGCTGCCAGTCTGTCCACTTGTCCCCGAGCTTGCTTGCCCATCTTGCGTGGGCCCAGCACCTGGAAGTTCGGGTTCACCTTCTTGGTGACAGGCTGGACACGGAGATTTCCTCTTACGATACTGAGGCATGCAAGTGCGACAAAATAAATGACAGCAGGAAAATATGAATCTGCCACCATCCGTCTTGTCAGAACTGTCAATAGAGTAGATCGTAACAGAGCAAATAGCGCAGATGTTACGCTCATGTTGCTGGAGATATGTCAAGGCCTCATCTGGGTCGGATGGAAGACCCGTGATCTCAAATTGTTGGTTGTCGATCGATCTACCGTTGTTGCAAAACAGACGCAGTTTGAGAATCGATTGAAGCACTACAGAGCTCACTTTCCTCTTGCTGTGTCCGCTTGTTATCATATCCAGCTGTGTCTTACCTTCGTGAACCAAATTGTTATACTCCTGTCGTTCAGAATTAGTAAGCAAGACCTCTCGGACATACGTGACAGGATGCTTCAAGGGCAAGATGTCTCGTGTTCTTCTGAGGCATATGGTTTCAAGCAATGTTCGTAGATTCTTGAACCGGTCTCTCGAAGCAGACGACGTTGCTGGACCTGTGATAAACTTGTAGAAAGTAGGAGCATTTTCAAGGACGGGTACCCTGAGGAAGGATACTAAAGCTCCCAGATCTTCCATACTGTTTTGAATGGGTGTTCCTGTCAGACACCAACGATGCTTTGCTGAGAGCGCGGCGACGGCTTTGAACTGGTTCGTTCTGCGATTTCTAATATCGTGAGCTAATGTAAGTCATGTATGTCAGAATCTAAACCGTGGTAGCTTTTGCGATGTTCCCGAACCTTCATCCAGAACGATTCTGAACCAGTGAACTTTAGATAAGCTACTGCGAGATGCGTCGGCCGCCAGTGTCGCGTAGGTCGTGAACACTATGGACTTTTGGTACAGTAAATGTACCTCGTTATGTCGTTGTGAACCAGTGTGTCGGTGACAAGACAGGCCACCGGGATAAGTATGCCTGATTTGTATGTTAGTTCGACCGGTGGTTGATAAGTAACATCGGGGAACTTCACATTTGAATCTGTTCTACCCAGTTGTCGATCAACACTAGGTTCAAATTAGTCAAAGTCGGCTCTTCTTTGTTTTCTTCTGTTCTTTGGCATATGTCACTTACGGGCTGATGATACCACGATCAGTGTTGCGGCAGATCGTTGACTCGATTCCACAAATGCATTTGCCCGATCTAGTGAACCGGCTATGGTTGACAAAATGACAAGTGATTTGCCCAGTCCCATATCATCGGCCAGGATCCCGCCCTCAGCCTCTTCTTGATTTGGACGCTTTGCTCCGCTGAAGACATGCTGATAACTATGACAGTCAGTAACAGGTATTGATCTGTACATCTAGTTCTCACAAAGGTTCATCTGCATCTGTGCTATTGTACTTCCATAGGCTAAGTTCGGAGGGAATATCGCCAGTTTCTCGTTTGAGGATAAAGTCGATTGCTTCCTTTTGGTAACTGTAGTCCAGTTAGAATCTGCTCCTCGGCATACAAAGGAAATAAGTGCCGACGTACGGGTAAAGCACACTCTTAATCCGACCGTCAACTTGAATACCATCGCGGAGATTACGATATGATAGTGAACCGAGAATTTCGTCGACCGCATCTGAGTCAGTGACTTCAGGCTCTTGATCGGAAGCCCGATTTCTGGCCTCCGTAACTTGAGGTGGGCACAGAAGAAGAGTTTCAATCGACGCTTGCTCCGGGTATCCTTCCATCCTAAAGAAGTGTGGGTTATAGTACTCCACGCCCTCTAGGCCACACCGAGGGAACTGGAGATAGGTTCCCATTTTTGAAAGGGTTCGACCGATAGACTCGGCGTCCTCACGCCTTCCATAGATATTGAGCTCTATTGGAAGCTTGGAGCCAGCTCGCATGTCCTGAGAACTCGTTTCCAAAACACAGGCCTCATTCGGGACGTATGCCAAGAGACATAGTGGATGTTGACACACGAGGGAGAGCAATATTGTGCTCAATCCTTTACTTAACCGCGCGAAGACAAAGTCGCAATAATCCAATGCGAAGTACTGTCCTTGTTGTACAACAACGAAGGGTAATGAAGATTGGTACGGGAATAACTGGTGTTCTAAAGGATTGCAGCTTAACTGTGCATTTTCTCCAATGACCTAATCGTTGGTCAGCAAACTTTGTTAGCAGTCGTTCCATACTTCTTCTTTTGTACGAATACTCACGCATCCAAAACAGGTATTCATTACCGGAGTATTTGCCCATACTTCCTCTTCATTGGTAGACGTTGGAACAGGACTAAATGAGTTTCGTTCATGGTCCTCCGAGATCCGGGGTCGTTTTAATGAGTTTTCTTGCATTTTAAGCATAGGAACAAACCAAGAAGTCAATGGAAAACGCACTAAGCTTAGCTGCCAGAGCTGCAGGAAGCCTACCTGGAATTTCAACCCCATTTGATCAGGCATTTCTTACCCCGCATTCCATTAGGCAGAAATCAGCCTCATCTATATTTAGAACTACGCTTATTTTCAGCTCTGTCTCCCCGTCGGATTTTCAGCCGCTTTGGCCTACCAGCTGATTTTCTTTTTCCTCTCTTTTTTTATTTCATCCTCCTTTAGTGCGAGTTGGTCATAGTATCATCATTTCCTACCTCATGCTCTCTTCCTTTGTCGTCTAGGAGTAGAAATGGATAACTCCAACATATCTAATATCGAGTCAGTGCTTGGGGAATTCAAGCAAAGTTTGAGAAGCAAGAGAGACCTGGAAAGCTTCAAAGCTACTACGCTGAGCACATTAAAAGGCAGTATTGCGAAGATACAAAATCAACAGCACGCGAGACGTCAACTGCAGGACCTGAACCGGTTGACGCCCTTCCTCGAGGCTGTTAAGCAATATGGCGAGGTAGTTTATTTATTCAGCAAGAGCGCTGAGATTATGTCATTCATTTGGGTAGGGCCTGTCCCAGCAATGAGCTTTGCCAACTTACACTGTCATAGGGACCAATGAAATTCCTCCTAGAAGTGACCATTCTGCTACCTCTGCGATTCTACGAGCTGACTTGAGAGCACAGACAACTAGTTCATCCAGTTCATGTATTAAGGCTTTCGGCGAGCTTGTTGGCTTATACGAAAAGGTTGGAGAGGCACTCCCTCTTCTTCATCAGTACAAAGACTTCTTTCTTACCAGACCACATAAGGTGAAAATACTTACCCTTATTTACAAAGAAATTACGAGGTTCCATCAAGTTACCTTGGATTGCTTTCAAAGTCTAGGTTAGTTTATATCGATTCAGTCTTCGAGAGATTCTGACGATGAAAGTGTAGTATGGGAGAAGCTATTCGATATTAACTGGAAGACAATTAAAAATGAGCTACTTTGCATCATCTCAGATATAATTCAACATCGAGATGCCATTCAGAACCAGGCCAATCAGCATCTGATGGCAGACTCAGAGAACACTCATTCAGAACCAGGGTCCCAATCAACCCCCATCATGGAAGAGAGTTACCGGCCACAACGTTTGGCCGTATGCCATTGGCTTAGAGCGATAGATCCAGCCGCAGACCAAAATGTGTTTTGCAAGATTCGAGCAGAGTATCCAGGTACAGGCGGGTGGCTCCTTGGTAACCATCTTTTTGACGGGTGGCTTGATCCAAAATTTGCCAAGATACCCCCTTTACTCTGGCTTACAGGCTTGCCTGGCGCAGGTAAATCCTTTAGTGTTGCCATGGAAGAAGCGATGCTAAAACTGAGATAGGGAAGACTATCCTTACATCCCTTATAGTCGAAGAAGTACAGAACCTTACACCGAGACCACATGTTCTCTTCTTTTACTGCAAACAAAATGTTCCAGAGCACAATACATTCCTTGCAATTGCTCGAAGTTTCATTCTACAACTTCTCAACCAGGACAAGAGTCTGTTGTTATACTTGTACCGAAAGCACTGCGACAGTAATGAAGCAGTGCTGTCGTCGATTCCTTTGGCCCAGGAGATGTTAAACTTTCTGCTGTCTAGCTGTAAAAACGCCTATATCATCATTGACGGCCTCGATGAGTGTGAGAGAGAAGAACGGAAAGCCATGACGCAGTGGTTCCGGCATCTTGTCGAATCGCTGTCTGAAAAAGCGCCCGATCGCCTGCGCTGCCTTTTCGTCAGCCAAGATGACCGTATCGGGGAAAAGGACTTACGAGGACTTGCCAAGATTACCATTGAACCTCAGGAGAACAAAAAAGACCTCCTAGCTTACTGCAGAGTACAAGCCGAGGAGCTTAGATGCAAGTTTGAATTCTCAGAGGAGGAAGCGAGTAGGATTGCCGTTGCCGTTGCCGATTCCGTGAAGGGTATGAACCAGATAAAGTGATTCGTTCCGTTTGCTAACGTGCAGGAAAGGCATCTTCCTATTGGCGAAATTGATTTGGATCAACCTAATTTCACAGATTACTCTTGCTGAGGTTGAAGAGCAAGTAAGCGAGTTTCCTCCAGAGATCAACCAAGCGTAAGTTCAAAGAAGTTCGAATCAGCTCATTACCTTACCCTTTTACAGATACGAACGGATTATGGATAGAGTAGTCCATAAAGCCCCTCGCCACATGAGAACAAGCGCTTTGCAGTTGCTCGGGTGGCTTGTTTGTGCAAAACGACCTCTGAAATGGCACGAGATACAGTCTCTGAAATCTATTAACCTTAGCGAACAGTCTGTTGACTTCGCACGACGCAAGTTTTCAGTGTCCGGAAAGGATCTTGCTGGCTCTTTGGTAGAGCTGCGAGCGGACGGAACGCTTGAGCTAATTCATGTATCAGCAAAACTGTAGGTTCTGGAAGAGCGAGTCTGTGCAGCAGCTATGCTAATACATATGCTTATAACTTAGGTTCTTGATTGAAAATTCGCGTTACATAGATATAGTTGCCAAAGAACTCGAACTCGCATGCTTTTGTATTGACTACCTCAATCTTCCAGTATTTAGGTGTCAGCCAACTACAGAAGCAGTACTTAACGGGGATTACGGATTTCTGGACTATGCTGTTTTGAACTGGACTCGACATCTGGAGGCAGGCACCTTGCGCCCTGATGACTACGGAGACCAAATTGGTGAACTTTCAGAGTCCTTGGAGACGTTCATCAGAAATCATTGGACAGAGCCAACCGCTAGGCTCCTAATACCTGGCGGGATCAAAAAGAGGCTTAAGAGCTTCGAGTCTCTAGACTTCTACGACAAACTCGAACAATCAGTGACCTCATGGAAGAAGCAACTGAGGGTATTAGAGGGTGTTAAATCTGGAGAGGTTACTCTAGACCTTGGTGACCTCGTTCTTGGTATACGAAGGGTCCTAGAGGATATACTCAGATCAAACAGGGAACTTTCAATACACAAGACAATCACGGACAAATACGGCAACATGATCTTCAAATGCCCTCGACTTACCTGCCAATTCTTTGTTGTCGGCTTCTTGACAGAGGCAGAACGAGACGAACACTTGGATAAACATACTCGGCCTTTTCGATGCACAGAGGAGGGATGCAGAGGTTCCTTTTTTGGATTTGCGTCAATGTGGGAGCGAGACAAACACATCAGGGACAGCCATCCTGAAGAAGATAGTCACCGTCAGGAGTTTCCAACTGATGAAGAGGTTTCACGAAGTATGCAAAATGATACTGTTGCAGAAGAGCCCACCGCAGCTCTGGAGGAAACACAACCACCACAGCCAGAAACAGAGGCATCTGACTCGGATTCAGACTCATGTTCGCTGGTAGAGCCAGAGCGGGAAGAACAAGACCAATTGCGCTCGCGAGAAAGGGGCAGACCACGACAGTTCAGTTGTCCACATTGCCCCAAAGTGTACACCAAAAGGTACAATCTCACGTCACATCTGCAGAGCCATACGGATAGGCGGCCATTTCCATGCAGTCTCTGTATAAAAGCCTTCGCTAGAATGGGCGATCTTATCCGACATCAGAAAACACATGGAAAAAAGGAATATGTGTGCAAAGGCGTGCTTACAAATGGGGCCAAATGGGGCTGTGGAAAGGCCTTCAGCCGGGCAGACACCTTGAAGACTCACCACAAATCTGAGGCTGGCCAGAAATGTATTCTACCCTTCGAGCAGCAGCAAATTCAGGAATAGCACTTTGGATTATTAGGTTGGCCTGGAAAATGTGGAATCATTTTGTACTCGTAACTTCGTATTGAGGAGCTAGGGGTCATTGCTCCAAACTCCTCAGCCTTCCAATCGTGATGACGACACATGCCTATGTCCCGAAGTCCCCTAAACTTACTCGTTGTGTTATGTTGAACATGAAGTGATTTGCCATAATGGCATTGGCAGTGTTGCAGGCTTGATATGGCGGCAAGGTATAATAGTGGCGATGAACTTTATCACCACTATCGGATGAAGCCCTGACGATCTGGATTGTAACGCAGCACAGTTGCGGCTCAGTTAGGGTACTAGGCATAACTGTGGGCTTTCTTGGACTGAAAAACAAAAGATTGCCAGTAGACTGAGCCCTCGAATTCTTACTGGCCATGACTAGGACTTGCATAACAGTATGTACTGAAAAGGGGCCTGATAAGACTCTGGTTGATTGGTTAGGGCAACAAAATACGGCTCAGCATTTTTTCAATGCCCAGACTTACACAGCCCTCCTTGGCAACCAAAAAAAAGAGAAAAACGGGCATTCGAGCAGCTGCCTTAAATACTATTGGTGGGGATCGCATCATTAAGGCAGTGCAGGGAGTGCTATCGTCAAACATCCGTACAAGCCTTCGACGTTCAAAAATGACAAATTAGCATTAGCTGCAATATTGAGACTATCAGAGCAAACTTAATGCTGTAAAGGAAGGGAAATTCTAGCTACTCGGCCAGAAGAGAAGGAACTCGATAGCTCATATTTATTATGCGAAGTGGTCGTCAGGTGGATAAACTGTGACTTGGCATGGTAACAGTTATTTTGCTTCCCCTTGAAGGAGGAACTGAGTGAGTTATGTGGCCAGTTTGTAGGAATGATCAGCAGTGAGACACATCATAAGCCAATCACAGACCGTTCAATCACTCAATCCCCAAAACTGTTTGCCAAAAAAATATGCACATCGCAAATGCTGAGCCGTAATAGAGAAGGGGCAAGCCACCCCTCCAGCTGACGACTGCTTGGCGAGCTTTAATTCGTTAAGGCCCGCATTGACTCCGCTACCACGGCTCAGCGAGCTCCCCCAGCGGCTCCATGCCGGATTCGCAAATCAGGCATTTCAGTAGCTAGTGTGGCTACCATTGGTTGAGAGTTAGTCAGTAGTGCTACGTGGCAGTACAGTATGTGCATATATCGTTGTCGATCAGTGGGGAGTATGCCACGATAAACCAATCATATGTTATCTAGCTCCTTGAATGCCCAATTTGTCTCTTTATCCCTATCGATTGATGGTCCCTCTGGTGGACACTGCTGAGCCGTAATAATGGAGAAGAGGCAAGCGATGGAACAGCCTATCACATTCTTGGCGAGCGTTAATGGGCTGAGCTTTCACACAGCACATATTGCAATTGGCTAGATTCTCCTAAGACTCCTTTTCAGCTTCTACGTAGCATGGCGTCCTGGCAATCTTAATAGCTCGCTCAAAACAACCGCGCCCTGTCGCCCTGCCATGAGGTTGCTACACACCAAATCCTACGAGCTGTCCCCACTATGGCTAAAAACTTGGCACAAAGAGTGAAATTTACTCAAGCAGTTTGCGACTGAGACCTTTTGGTTGACACCTTCCAAATCAGTAAGATGATCATGACCAATCACATCTTACCCAGCTACTCGAATTTCCGTTTTTGTTCTTCAAATCCAAGCAGAGCATCAACGATCCACTACACGCTGAGCCGTAATGATGAAATGCATTATTGGCGAGCTTTATTTAGTTAAACTTTTGATCGATAGGTGACCACCTGAATGCAAATAGATTCATCGATTGTCAAATTCTATCGATTTCCCGCAGGGAAGATCTTAACCGAAGGCAAATAGACGATTACATATCGCATTTGCATAAGTTGATAGGATCGTGAACTAAACTCGACGAGGTTGATATATCTATCTCATTTTTTTTTTGGGACTTGCTTCTTGATTACGGAAAGTCTCATGGCTTAGGGTCTCGCACAGAGAGGAAGGTATTCTTATCTAACTCATTTAGTAGTTTGTAGCTGCCAGCTTGTCAATCAGCTGGACTGATAAGCCAATTATATCTTATTTAGCTATTCGAATGCCAGCATTTCTTTCTTACACTCGCATTTCGAGGCCCTCTAAATTAAAAGCGCCACGCCGTAATAATAGAGAAGGGACGAGCCACCCTGCATCTCCGCAGCTCGTGGCAAGCTTTGATTTGTTCAGATCCGCTATTACGGCTCAGCACCAAAACGCCTGTGTAAGTTGTTCGCTGGTGAATAAATTGTAAACTGGGCATTGGAGTAACCAATATGGCTACTGTTGGCTGTTTCATGACTTTCACCCACAAAATCTCTCACAAAGGCGGCGAGATTGCTCCGTACCCTTGTTCAAGTTTTTTCCAAGGCGCATCCCCCCAGTAGCGAGTTTGACAACGTAAGTCAATCAACCACCCTTACCCAAACTCGAGATGTGTGAGGCAAGGCTTCTGCAGCCGCCTTATTTCCAAAAGCTCGACCCATCCTGCTATGTACCAAACCTTCGTGAAATATGCCAATCATGTCTTATTTAGCTATTTAGCTACTTGATAGCCAATTTTTCTGTTTTAAATTTACTTTGTCTCCACCCCACAGAAGAACGCTGAGCAGTAATAGTGGAGAAGAGGCCAGCCACCTGCCGCCCTGCACCAGTGCACCTAAAGATGTCAGTTGCGGTGCCTGATACGGAGTACTCAAGCCGCAAACAAACAATTGCACTTCGCATTTGCGCGAAGTTTCCAATTGCCTCAATTATCTCAAGACTCGTACTTGGCTTTTCTAAGTAGTATGGCACACTAACAATCTTGATCCCCGACTAAAGTAGCGCATTGTCATGAGGCTGCTGCACACCAAATCCCACGAACTATTCGAAGCCAGCGATGTCCCTATTCCATTTCCCTCCTATGCCATTCTGTCCCACACATGGATATCATCCAAAGATGAAATTACATACCAAGACATGAAAAGAAGAACAGGGGATATAAAGAACAATGTGTACAAGCAGAAGGGTTGGTCAAAGTTGAAAGATTATTGCGACCGGGCTTTTAAAGATGGATGGGACTGGGCTTGGATGGATACCTGCTGCATCGACAAGACTAACCCAGCTGATACTCAAGAAGCTATCAATGCCATGTTTCGATGGTACCAAAATGCCGGCGTCTGTTATGCTCATTTGAGCGACGTCGATTTTTCGATGAGCAGCCAGATCCTCTCTCTTCCGGAGGATACGGGTCTTGACTCCAGCATGAACAGTCTTCGAACAGCCGCCAAGAATGAATTCATCGGTGCTAAATGGTTCACCAGAGGCTGGACGCTCCAAGAACTTCTCGCTCCCCACTACCTGATTTTTGTCGACCGTGAGTGGCGCCATATGGGTACTCGAGAAAGCTGGGCTCCTGAGATTGAGAAGGCTAGTAATATTGAAGCACGCCACTTGAATGCCTTCAATCCAACGGAATTTGCGTCTTGCTCTACAGCGATGAGATTCTCTTGGGCTTCTGGCCGGGAAACGACGGTGGAAGAAGACGAGTCATACTCATTGTTGGGTCTCTTTGGGATCAGCCTTCCTCTCATCTATGGTGAAGGTGGCAGGCAGGCTTTCAACAGACTGCAGCGACAGCTCATTCATGTCTACCACGACGACTCAGTGTTTGCCTGGAAAAGCTCCCAGCCAGATCCCAAGCCAGGAGTTGGGATACTTGCTCGCTCAGTAAAGGACTTTTGGGACGCTTCGAAGGTTACAGCAGGACAATACGGCAATGCATACTCCATGACGAACAGAGGCCTGGAAATCACTCCCAAGTACTGGAGACAGCGAAGCAATCCCGAAGGCGTAATTGTGCGTCTGAACTGCAGAATTGGGTCCGCCTCCGATGCCGAGGACAAAGAGACCGGGATACATCTCACCCACGACGCTGTCGCCGACGTCTACTATCGAACACGCATTCATGAGCTCTGTATGGGCCAACTTGACCTCGCGGATTGGTATGAAGAACGACGTCGCGAGCCTCTTTTTATTCGGGCCGATAACTATTTGGAGCCGGCCACATCATCAGCTACGTTCGTAATAGAATATCCCAAGCAAATCCAAATTGTCGCAACATATGTCGCCACCTTCGGACAGTCTTCCATAAACCGCGGAATACAGCCTTTCGGGAATCTCATGGATGGGCCAGTTGCTAACGGGTTTAAAACGACACAGCTTTCTATTGAGCCGAAAAGTGTTGTCTTCCTTAACATTGAGCTTGAAGAAGCGGGCACCAAATTACAGCTGGATGTGATCATTAGCCTCACAGAAAGCTGCTTCCCATATGTCGGTACCTTGCGGAGGGATGCACTGCCATGGCAACGGCTTGGAGATCCAATGAATGACTCTGTGGGCAACGCCATGTACAATGCATTGGCAAGTCATATCCATCGAACTCGCCCATCAGATTCAACATATCCGTTAGTCAGCATGACTAAAATCGATAATCTGTCTATCTCTACGAACATCCTTCCCAAGCCCCCACGAAGAAGGGCAGGGTTTCAAGCGCGCAACCTGTCATTGAGAGAATACGTGTTGAGACTTTCGTTTAGCCAATGGGTGCTAGTTAGGGGCCGACATATAATACTGAGATCTTCAGATGGGAACCAGGAGGCTGCAAAAAGACAAAGGGTATCGTATTGAGTAAGAGATATACCAATAGGAGGGCTTTGCGAGTTGGTCGAATGTAAAAAGCGGTGACTAAAGTGTGAGCTGGACGATCTTAGGCTGATCTTATGGGCTCGACTCAGCTCTGATATCGGGTGGAATCATATCTCGAGCCGCAAGAGTCAGTCTCTCGTTCAGATAGATCCAATCCTCGTCAGCAAGACTAACTTCCTTCTCAAAAGCGTCTTCTTTCCCATCAGATGAAAGCCTCCGAAGCCATGCATCACGGCGAGTTGAGGGAGCAATGATTCCGTCCATCCACGAAGTCGATCTTTGGTTACCCAAAGTCTGGATCGTTCCAATCATCGGTGTTCGACCACTAAACTGGAGAGTAGTCGCGTCGACATTTACGCCTTCTCGCTCGAGCCATTGTGACGCTAAACGATCATCACTATAGGCTATAGAGTCAAGCATAGACGAAACAACAACAAGCGATAGAAGTGCAACTCCATCCCAGCCTTTTTGAGCGGCGACATAGGTCATGACGAGGATTTGTAACGCCTCCAAAGCTCGTAGGGCGTAAGCATGCCATATTCCCAGCGGGGAGTGCACCGATTGTACCATGGTCTTGTTAAGCATGGTATCGATGATTCCACGCGAACCGATGTATAGATACCATGTCGAAGCATTCTCATTCAGAGCCACCAACATACAGCCTGGGAGACCAGCCTCATTGTTTTTGAGGTAGCCATCTGGTCGCTCGATAACCATAAGGTGTCTACTTATGCGTAGGAGAACGGCGAGTACCATTGCGACACCCGTTCCGTAGAGCCCGCAAAGAAAGCAGACAATGCTGACCCCGAGAAGCCCCAAGGGAAGAAGAAACTCGAAGATGGTAGGGAGACCGGACCAAAGACATCGGGCACGGCTTATCTCTTTCGTTGTCTCGGTAAAGCGCAGTATGTGGAGCTTTTGATAGCGACGAAACGGGCTACTGGGTTTGAGAGGCTTGAAGCCTTCTTTTGACCCAGGGATCTGTTCCACTTCTTCCGGTACCCTTTGAACATTGACTTTGCGAAGCGCGTAAGCGCTGAGCATAGCGGCTACCGCTCCGTTGGCGCAGGGGAATATGCTTCCCCAGTTGACGTCCCAGACCTTCCTACGAAGGTCATTACCAGAAGATGCACGATCCAAGAACTCTTGGCCTTGTTGAAGGAAATCGGCTATAGTTGCTATGACTCCCAAGCGAGGGAATAGTGCGACGGGGACATAGCCAGACAATGCGGTCTGGCCGACTAATCGATGCGGTAGTCGACTGGTGGATAGATAAATGACTAATGGGAGTAGTGCTGTCCATTCAAAGATGATGGAATATGGTGATGATGAAGTCGAGAGTACTGGCGGCTTGGCGCCGATGACTCCGAAACTAGCAGGCGAGTCTTGCGATGTCATAGTAGTAAAAGCCATAAGTATTATTGAATGAACAGCTGTCTTGGCACACTCAGTCTGACTTCTGGTCCTTATTATACCTTAAGGCCGATGAGGTGAATGAGGTTGAAGCCTAATATGTCAGCCCATTCATATCAGCATCAGCGTAGCCTGCGGTGCGGGGCCTTGACATGCGTCTTTGCGCAGGTGAGCGATTAGCAAAAATAGGCAGGTCGGAACTCCGACGGTCCTTATTTTTCTCATGACATGGTTATTCCGCTCAATTAAGCAAAACCTATTCGTAATCCGTCGCGGTAGGCGATTGATCCGTTCTGAAAATGTAAAAACACGTAGAACATTGGAGATGTAAATATTGCCAACATGAGCCCACCCACTACAGCGGGTTGGGGCAGTGTTGTCGCCCGCATGTACAGGCCTAGGCAGCAAGGCCCAATATTTAATGGACTGGATCTGTATCTCAGCAGTAGCGTCTACGCCTTCATGAACACTGGAGAACATCTCTGCAGCTCGAAGCAAGACTTACCATGATTAGCGATGATGGCCAGCTCTCGTCTAGAGATTATGGCGGCGGTTGAAGGCGCAGCTGAAATTCCGCACCAGCAGATTCTCATTGGTCACGTTCCGCTTTAGTGCGTAATCGGGAGAGTCCCGGTAAGCCATCCATAGAAATTGAGACATCGACAAGAGTCGAGAACTCGATAGTGAGGCTAGCGTTCCAATAGCTATGTGATAATGCAGGAGACGTCGATTCGTGGCTGAAGACACTGAATTATTGAACATGTGAGCGATAGATTATGAAACCACTGGTGAAGCAAGTTTCCGGCCCCGACTCTTGATAAAGTCGGTGTCGCACCCTGCAACATCGAAAGAAATGTAACAACGTGAGCTTCTCAACCAGTGTTCACCATTTATTTGCTACTATCAGCCAAACGGAATCATAAAACATATCGTGGTTTTACTCCATATATCTAAACACAATGCCGAGCCCAGACCTTAACACGGACATCCCAACCCCCACGATTGACTCAGCAACCTACTATGACGTGGGTAGCGAGCAGTTGTATCTCACCATTACCTACCCAGCGGTGCACAATACACGGCAACAGGCCTAAAAGTCAATATGATTACAAGCTCATCTACGACGCCAACCTTTCTTGGTAATGGGCCCGTCGCGTTTGAAGCAACAAATAAGGGAACCTTTATGACGGGACTACCAAAGACTCTGGCGTCTCAGGGGGGACAGATCATCGTGGCTGGTTTCGACCCAGCATTATTTGATACGAGCTCTCCTAGCGATCCCTGGCAGATTCCCACAATCAACACGCCGCCTTTCACTAGCGCCCCAGCCGCCACTTTTACTTCCCTCGGATCCGTCGAAGTGACCTGGACATGGATTGCAGGACTGGATGTAAGCGCGCAAGAAGTCACTCTGACCGTTGCGGGACAAACCCTTCCCCCAGTCAAGGTTGAAAAGCCTAGTGTTACTGCCACTTTCACCATGGCCCAAGCTAACAATCTGTTCACTCCGGGCGCAAGGGTCGCTATCCAATGCACACCCATTACACCCGGTCTATGGGCTACTCCTGTGAATACCACTTTTCACATCCCGACGACCACTCTCATGTCATCATTTTCATTGAATAGTTTACCTCTCGTGGCCCCTGAGTGTACGATGACGAGTCTCCACGTATCAGGAACAAGCAATATGCATGTCTGGTGGACAACCCCCACAGGATCTATTGAGACAGCTCAGTCCGTCTTTACAAGTTCGGAAATGGATCCGCTGCAATTAGCCGGTGCGTCGACCGTTTCTAATACAGGATCTTGCCTTGCTTCCGCGTATGCCAACTCTGCGAACCAACAGTTTTGGTGGATCACGGCAGCTGGGGCTATTGATGGACTAGTCAATACCGGCACAGGATGGGCGCCCCCTGGCACCGGAGCTGGTGAAAGGTTTCCCTTCAACCAGGCTGGGGTAGCTTCAACAGTCAACGGAGGCTCCATGACAAGTGTCTTACTAGAGGGTGATACTGGAATGATCCTTTTCTGGGTCGGTCCAAACGGTGGCATCAGTTGCTGCAGATGGATTAATGGCTCGGGTTGGCAGCCCGTCTCAGAAGCACTTCCCGCTGGGACGGCAAGCCCTTCTGCCCAACTGACTGCGCAGGTCATTGGCAGTACTGCCTACCTCTACTTTGTTACTCCGGAGGGTGGAATTGTCAGTTCCACTTGGTCAGACGCTGGCACTACTAGTTCGGGCGTCATTTCCCAATCCACAGTTGCCCAGTCTGGCAGTGCATCTACAAATGCAACATTGTCTTCGGCCTTGGTAAGCTCACAGGAGATTGCGGTCTTTTGGACGACACCCAAGAATGGCATCCAAATGTTCCTTCAATCTCGCAACATTGAGCGACCTGTTACTGTGGCTCAGTCAGTCCTGGGAGGGACAGGAATTGCGGCTTATTCAATGGGAGCTAGTCAGTGCTCAATTTGGTGGATTGGACAGTCAAATGATCTCAGAAGGTCGAATGTGGACTTCACCAAAATCGTGGCAGCAGTGACGCCCACCTGGCCTGTGTTTGAAGAGGTTGGCCCTGGTTCTTGCCAACAAACTCGATCACTTGTTGTCCAGACAGTATCTGGAACACGTATCGATGTCTTGTATGCAAATACGAAGGGTGTATTGTCAGGATTGGCCTACTAGTCTTGTTACAGGCCTATAGAAGGAGGGCTAGCATACGCTTAGTATTGAACCCAGTTTATTTCATTTCAGAGTTTTGCGCTGTACAGCTAAGCTTATTAGAGTTGCGCATTGACTCTCCTCGATATAGCGAGAAGAGACATGGTGGTATTCGAATTGCCAAGAGTGATTTCCAAGGCATTGTTACCTCATGCTCAAGTGTATAAAGAAAAGATGTCTCCTGAGGTGCAAGAAGACTTTTAACATTAAATTAAGGCACTAAAAATACTTAGTCTAAGATTTTCTAAATTATAAGAAATTATACTAAATTTACCTAAGGCTTTTCGCCCCTAAGGTCAGAGGTTCTAAGTTTTATTGCATCCCCTTGACGCCCAAGTAATCACTGTAGGTTAAGTTGCTTCCCCAACTTCACGCGTCTCTCATCCATTTTTACTGGCAGCGTCTTATCTTAGCGCCTCTACCGCTGATAAGAAATACTATCACAATGCTGGGAAGCAGACTGATCTACCCTACGCCGACTCCATGGCAATCAATTGTCCATTAATAATGTGATTCGCGTCGAATGCTTCGCTAGCTATATATACCCGTAGATGTCTTTGTCGGCTATGGTCGCTGGAACAATTAGACTACAATGTAGCTCTGTCCACGATTTCAGCAACAAGCACGCGTGCGGCTGAGTGGCCTTGGCAGTGGGACACATTATAACCGAATTATCTCTTCACACGATTCATCCCGATTCTTTAACAGCGATACATTTTTACCTTGCAGAGAAAACAAGTTTCCTGTTCATATATCTCCAGTTCTATAACGTCCACCGTATTCTTCTTCATTCAGCCTTGTGCGTTATGCAAAATTACCCCGCATCTTACTCATGTGAGCTACGAATAGGCAACAACGGCGAGATAGCAAACATGGAAGGGATGAAAACGCAGGATAGAGCTCATGATTCATTCTTCAAGTACCTTCCTAGAGTAGAGCTTGCTCCGGATGACACACATAGTCAGGCCGTAGACTGGTTTGACCCTGCCACGACCGACGAGTGGCTGAATGAAGAGATCCAATCACGAAGAGATAATCTCGCCTCGACACCAACACATCTTCATGAGAGAAGAATGTTTTGTGAGCTTTCAAGGCTCACTTTGCAGCACTATCTACGCTTTGGAACAGAAGAGTCCTTGGATGATGCAATCGAGTTGGAACGAAAGGCTCTGGAGTACATCTGCACTGGCTTTCAACATGCAAAGTGTCTGCTAGTCCTGGGAGACATGCTTTGTCTAAGGTTTCGCCGCAAAAAAGCTGTCTGGGACATGGACTATTGCATCAAAGCCGCAAAACAGCAGATCTATCTACCCCCCGCACAGGGACCTCCATACACTAGTGACATGCTCAGCTTTGGTCGTTGGGATGAATCCTTTGAGCAATCAGATCTGGGTTCAGCCTTCACAGACATAGACGAGGGCATCAACAAATCACATGCTGCGTTTGAGCTCATCCCCGATGACTTTCCCCTTCGGGGTGAATGGCTGGACCACTTCGGTTCAATTATTCTTCATCGATATTCACTGAGCAAAGCAATCGAAGACGTTGATAAAGCTATCGAGATCTGCAGAACTGTCTCCAACGATATCAACTTTGGTCCATCAGAAAACCTCATAGAGGCCCTTATTATGCGGATTCCTGCTACCTGGGACCAGTATGATGTACTCGAAGCCATAGACATCTGTGATGAAATGTTGTTAGAGTGTCTAGGCGACAGAAAGAAGACAGTTCTACAGTATCGTGCTGAAGCTTTCTACTGCCTCTACTGTTTAAGTGGAATGATGGAACATATGAACGAGAGCGTCAAGGACTCCAAAAGAGCAATAGATTCGGAACGTGGAGGCCTGGAGTCACTCAGTGTCAGGTGTCACAGGTTTAGGAGTGGTCTGTTGTATCTTCGTTATCAGCAGACTGGTGACATGACCGATCTTGATGACTCGATGGCCTCAGCAGCGACCGTGGCAAAGATACTCTTTACTCCGGGTCCCAAGTCAAAAGCCACGCTGTTCAGCATGCTGGCAAGCGATTGGGTCTACAGAACTGAGGCTACAGCACGTCAAGCACACTTTGCCGAAGCCATCGAGTGGCCTGCATGCATCAAATTATTTGGAACGAGCCGAATGGATTCTCTTCACGAACTATGTCTACGGCAGTATGAACGATACGAAGTAAGGGGAATGGGTGGCGATCTTCAAGACGTTGTGAAAATTATGAGACAAATGGTCGAACTGGTGCCCAGTCAAGCATTGCGGAGCAGTTTGGGCAGCCGACTAATGCAGTTATACTCCGAATTCAGCTTTCTACAGCCCCTACTTTTGCAGGCAAAAGCCATTTTTCGGCAGTTAATTGAGGAGTCAGAAACAGATTCAGAAGACCAGAGGCGGTATTCCTTGCAGCTGGCGCATTGCCTTTGTTTCCAGCACGAGCGAACAGGAGATACTGTCGACCTCGATGAAGCTGTCGCCATTGTGACAAAGATCTTCAGCACGGCGAAAGCAGATGACCCAAACTACGCGCTGGCCTTGAACAATTTCGGCGAAGTGACCTACCAGCAGTGTCGCATCAACAAGACAGAATCCAATGTCGATCACATCATCGACCTGTTACAAAAGATGAGGGAATCCACCATGTCACAATCTCCTACTAAGCCTCTGAGCAAGTTGGTAGAGTGCCTTCTCTGGAAGTACCGCATGACCGGTGAAGTTACGCATATAGACTTGGCAGTTGAGCTGGCAAGACTTGCTGAGAGTTCACTCCCAAACAGATACCCCAATTCCCATTGCATCATTCGTCATAGACTTGCAATAGCCTTGCACGAGCAGTACTTGCGGACGCCGACGCTGTCTGCTCTAGAAGAAGCCGTTGAGCTGGAGAGGCAAGATCTAGAACCTGGCCAGTTCACTCGTTATCTTTCTCATGCTAATCTCACGTCACTGCTCGGTGAGCTATACGTCGCAACGGGCGATCGAGAACACCTCAAAGAGGCGATGGCCATGGAAAGAGAAACGAGGAATGTTGACGGCCGGTCCATCTGGTGCTTCAGAGGGGACCGCGTCTATATTCCGTATATTCTCGACATCGAGAAATCGTACCAGCTTTCTAATAAGCTATATGAACACTTGGAGGCCATTCCATACACTCCGGAGCTTAGGTCACAGTACCTTAGTAGCATGGCATTGATGCTCTTGGGAACGGGCGAGAACGATCTAGCAATGGGATATGCCAGAGAGAGTCTGGGCCTTGTTTCACCAGACAGCCCCGACCTGTCTTGGCAGTTGTGCTGTCTTGTACTCTGCTCAGAGTGCAGTCTTTCAACTTCAAATGACGCCTCCGAGCTAGAAGAGATGGTCACGGCAGCCAGGAAAGCTGTGGAGCTGTCGCTGGAAGACCATCCTGGTAGACCATTCTATCTTTCAGTCCTATGTATGGCCATTCACAGACGATTTACAAAGACGGGAAGATCCTCTGATCTCAATCTGGCGATCGATTGCGGAGTTGAGGCTTACAACCTGACCTTTGGCGAAACACTCCCGGACTGTGCTAATCGGTACCTGGCATCGGACCAGCTATCATTCTGCTTACAGCACAAGTATCTCAGAGAGGGTATTTCGAGCGATCTTGAACAGTCTGAAGAACTTCATCAAGAGGCTCGTAGATGTGGAGAGAAGCTGAAGAGAAACGATGAATATTACAACTGGGTTCAAAGCTCTCCTGATGGGGCTTACATGGTTCATCTTGGCACTAACACGAAAGGCTCTTTCACGCTCATCAACGAAAGACGTGTATGTGCCTTACTCCCAGAAAAGCGGGACTGCCACCCTCGTCTGTTTGCCGTCGCGGAGCAATGTTTCAGATATTACAAAGAGTCAAACGATGAGAACTACCTCTCCCTGGCTTTGGAGGCTGCGAATTCGGCACTCGCCTTTATTCAGGATGGTCATATCACGCATTCCGCACGGCTCCACCTCGTTGCGAGGTGTTACGAAGAGTACTACAAGAGGTCGATAGCCTCCGACTGTGGGGAAGAGGACCAAAAGGATCGCCTTCGTCACCTGGATATGGCCATCTCAAAATTCCGAGAAATGATCAGTCACCTCTCTTCGGAAGATCCTCTGCGCCCTGATGTTCTCGGTCGTCTCGGCAATTTATATTCCGACAAGCTTTTCTACAACTACAAACTCGATGATCTGAAGATGGCATTGGAAGTACACCAGGAATGTCTTCATCTGGCAGGAGAGAGTCAGATTGAGTGTGCAAAATGGTTACGTCATCTTGGGTGCTCTAAGCTTGTCTCCTACAGAGTATTTAGGGACGAGGGTGATTTACAAGAATCCATCAAGCTACTCGAGCAAGCGAAAGAACAACATCTCAATGACAAGGAACTTGTTCCAGGGCTAGCCAGTGCCTACCGTTTCAAGTTCATGATTACTAGGAACGACGTCAAAGACATTGACGCTGCGATCGAGCTATATCTCAAATCCCCTCTACCGGAGTATATCACCCTTCCTTGGCTCGGCAGTGCTTATCTAATCCGATTTGAGCTGACAAAGGCGCCGGAGGACATGAAGGTTGCAATATCCAATTCGGAGAAGGCTCTCCAGCTAGCTCGAACGGAGCTGGAAGTCTCAGATGTCGTCCAGGTGCTACAAAGTTTGGCAAACTGCTATCTCGCGAAGCATCATAACGGTGGTACCCTCGACGATATCAATGAAGCCATTCGCTACGCACAGGATGCTGTGGATGTTGAGGCACAGGAGGCCTTCCAAGTGGTCGATATCGCAGGCCTACTGGGACTGTGCTACACGACCAAGTACAAGGTTACGAAATGTCAGGACGATCTTCTCAAGGCCATCGATGCCGATGAGAGCGACTTTTGGGTCTTCATGCCAGCTGCAAACATATCCGACAGTTTAGTCCTTGCGCAGCGATTGATGGAATCGTACAAAACTCTCGAGAACTGGGAGAAGGGCTTGAAGATTGCGGAGTACGCGCTCGAACTTATCCCTGCCTACACACCCCGTTATCTACGATGGTCAGAAGCCCAATCTCTTCTTTCAAGAATCAGTGGCCTTGCATCTTTCGCCGCCGCCTTTTCGCTCCAAGCCGGCAAAGCTGAGGGTGCTAGTCTGGCTCTATTAGAAAGAGGTCGTGGAGTCGCCGCGGACCTTTTATATGATCTTCGTCTTGATTTTGACAGTCGGAAATTTGCGGACTTGAAGCCGGCGTATAAGGAGACGCTTCTGAGCAGTATAGGGCGACTTGAGAATCCTGTACAGCTACCAGGTCTTTCTTCCGATGAGCTGACGTCAGGCACAGCGGAACTTACTAGGAGGTTAGAAGCGAGCAAAATTGTCGACGACTTCATGGACAACTTCAGCACCCGTTTAAAACCAGACAACACAGGCTTCACAGGGTTCACGAGGAACGGCCCAATGGTGATTATTAATGTCAGCTTTCGTTGTGATGCTTTCATTATTAAACACGTCGTTGAGGCCATGCCCCTGCCTGACTTATCTGTAGAAGAGCTGGAACGGAGACTCCGCGACGGAAACTTGGGAAGTCTAAACACCATGGAATGGCTTTGGGATACTATCATGGGACCTATTCTTGAACATCTGGGTTACACGGAGATGCCTTCTAGTGAATGGCCCCAGATATGCTGGATACCTACGGGAGCATTAAGTCGCTTTCCACTGCACGCAGCTGGCTATCACCAAAAGAAAAATGGCCACACCGTCATAGACAGAGTCATGTCGTCTTATAGCTCATCGCTGAACGCCATTTTAGAGGGAGCGGCGAAGGATAAGCGAAGCTCTTCTGCCAAGGCGATTTTGGTCGCTATGCAGAGAACGCCCGGTAGTTCCAGCCTACCTCATGCCCCCAAAGAGGTCTCGATTGTACGAAAGATGTGCGAGTCAATGGAGCTCCGTACCGTGGAGCCAAAACGAGAAACTCAGGACGTACTGGCGGAGTTGAAGGACTGTGACATCTTCCACTTTGCTGGTCACGGCGAGACTGACGACACAAACCCACTGAAGAGTCAACTACGTCTTGAAGACTGGCAAACACAGTCTTTGGCAGTATCTGACCTATTGAATCTCAAGCTGCGCGACAATCCACCGTTCCTGGCATATCTCTCAGCTTGCGGGACAAGCCAGATCAAAGATAAACGCCTTTTGGATGAGAGCCTGCATTTGATTAGCGCATGCCGACTAGCTGGCTTTCGGCACGTGGTCGGAACGCTCTGGGAGGTCGGCGATGAGGCTTGCGTTGATGTTGCGGAGACAGTCTATCAAGAGCTGAAAGATTCTGGCATGGAGGATGGATCTGTGTGTCGAGGGCTGCATAAAGCTGTTCGGAAGATACGTGATAATTGGGTGACTGATGCGAATATGCGGGCGGTTAAAAGGGATGTTGATGCATCGATTGTCAACGTCAAAGATCGTGAGAATGCATTCAAAGATGGGTTGAGTGACGGGAGATCGGCAAGGGATATTGTGCCGTTGGACGAGGATGAGAATGAGAGGCCTGCTCCTTGGGTCGCTTACGTGTATCACGGAAGTAGATAATCATTAAAGCGACGGTTACTAGAGGTATTTGTCTGTCTTTTCTACATAGACCTCAGGGTGTAAGAAGACTTCTGACATTAAACTAAGGTGTTAAAAATACTTAGTCTAAGGTCCTCTAAATTACACTAAATTACACTAAATCATATTAAGTTTACCTAAGGCTTTTCGACGCCTAGGATAGAGGTCCTGAGCTTTATTTCATCCCCTTGAAAGAATATTGTATTTCAATTGCAGAGTCGGAATTAAAACATCATTATCCATCTCGACCAAAAGGGCCATCGACCCCTCTATAAGCCACAAGGGACTTGCATTCCTAGCACGACCAATTAGCGTGTATCTATACTCTCAGGGTCAAAGGCGGCTGCAAGGGGTCGCAGATCACAAGCGATACCGTTTCTCAAGGGGTAAATTGACTGTTTCAGGCGAATACTGGTGGCGCATTTCTCATGTCTCCCTCGGCCAGTATAATTATCAATCCAAAGACACAGCTTCCCTTTCGTAGTAGAATTATTGGGTTATCGGTCTAGTGGCGTTGGTGGCTGGAAATACTGGTTCAGCCCTGCTTATCCCCATTCCAATACCCGGCTCTAAAAAGAAGGTTGTTTCGTCCCTTGCGTTGATCATTCGGCTATTTGAACTGATGCCCTGTCCTTATAATCTTGAGGCTTGTCCGCCTTTTCCTCTCGTAAGAGCACATTATCCGTTAAAATGGCGGTGGCTACTGCGGGTCCAGCATACAAGCTGTGGTTTCTGTCGACAGGCATTGTCTTTCTCTTTTTCCTTCTTTTTGCATTTTACACCGACTCAATCAAGTCGCCTTTGGACTACGCCCATGCGAAAGCCGCAGAGTTTTGCAGCGAGTAAGTGCAAACTTATACAAATGGCACCAGATGTTATTAACCACTCGTGACCAACAGTTCGGCTCCACAAACTACAGCAGAGGCCGATCCCAAAGACGGAAAGTTCGGTAACTGCAAAGACCCCTATCGCCGTCCGGGCTATCTCTATGTACCAGCAGAAACAGAGAGATACAGAGAGACGCGATGGATGCCATTCACAGACAAGTTTCTCAACTCTGAGGATCCCGAAACTGCAGAGTATCCTCACACGGGAGGAGACCTCATCTTCAACGATACAGACGTCCCGCGGACATTCTTTACAGGATCGGATATACCTATAGAATGGATGAAGCTGGCAGTAAAGGAGAATAAGCGTCGAAAGGAAGCCATGGCGCATATCACCAACGCAACATCAGAAGATTATCACAGGATGAGAAACGATGCTGAGTTCGGCTGGCTCTGGGGCCGTCGAGTCGTATCATTCGGCGACTCTATCGACAGGCGAGCAGCCAGGTATGTCTGCCATGAGTTCGGCCACGACATGGAATTCCCCAAGCTTCACGAGATAGAGCAGTGGCCCATGGGTGTCTGCCACATCCCCGCATTCAACCTGACATTCACTGCCTTCCACTCCGCAGGCGGTTTTACCTACAGGCCCGAATGGTTTTGGTACAAGCAGATGCGCATCATCCCATTTGAGAGACGCTGGGAAGAGCTTTGGCAACCACATGAGCGAGATATCCGTGGCCCCAATGGCAGGCCCGATCTGATACTCTGGCAGAATGGGCTCTGGGACCAGAGAGGCTTCCAAGTCGGCGGACAAAAGCTCCACGAAGGACAGAACGTCACCCTGAACGGGAGACACAGGAAAATGGTCTGGGACGAACTGCATTTCTTCTTAGCTCGTACGAAGAAGTATGCAGAGATGCTCATCAGAGAATTTCCAGACACGCCTATGATGTGGCGAAGTCTAACGTATCACCAAAAGACTGGCTCAGGAGATATCATGGTAGTTGAGATGGACCGTCTTGGACGCGCTTTGGCAGAGCAGTATGGACATGAGGTCTTTGAATGGGGTCGTATCGTTAGTCTAATGGGGAGCTGGTATGAAGATGGTACACACCCGGGTGAGGGCGCGTTGACTTGGTTATGGGGAAACATGATTCTAGAATATCTCGCAAGATCAGCGAAGTCGAAACTTGGAGGCGATTATAGGTTTCCGTATTTTGACGGATGGGAGCGGTGCCACGAGGAACTCGTTGGGTGGGGAGGCCGATAGAAGAGGTTCGACACTTGAATAGAGTTCATTCCTTTGCGTTCTTAATTCATCATTAAATCAAGAAGGAAGGATAAGATACAAAGTTCGTTGGCTAGTCTTGTAGAAGGAATGGTATCAGTGCTTCCGCTAGACCTTCTGGATCCTCTTCAGGAATAAAGTGTCCGCACTCCAACGCTCTACCACGCACATTCTGAGCATACTTCTGCCAGATTTCAAGGGGACCTTCTGACTTGTTTTGCAAAGACTCGGCAGATACACCCGCGTCGCCCCAGATCGCCAGCATGGGAGCCTGTATCTTATTTCCCTCCTCAAGATCTTTTTCGTCGTAGGCCTTGTCCAGGAACGCTCCAGGTCTGTAGTCCTCACAGGTACTATGGATATTTTCTTTGCTGCAATACGCCTTTCTGTACTCGTCCAATGCCCTCTCGTCAAAGTCCTCAAGTGTCTTTTTCTTCGTCCAACTTGCTAGGGTATGTTCCAAGTAGTGCTTGCCATTATCCGCGCCCTGAATCATTGTTTCGGGAAATGGGTCTGGCTGAGCGAGAAATAGCCAGTGGTAGGCTTTCAACCCAGCCGTCACATTCCCAAAGCCTTGAAACATGGCTGCAGTTGGGATAATGTCGATTACAACAAGTTTTGAAACTGCCTCGGGATGATCAAACGCGAGGCGGTACGCCACTCTGGCACCGCGATCGTGTCCAACTAGGAGGAACTTGTCGTATCCTAGCTGGGACATGACGGAGATGCAATCGTTGGCCATCAGCCGTTTGGAATAGCCGGATCCGTTGGTGCTGGGAACGATAGCTGACAGGCCATATCCACGTAGATCTAAAAGGATAATACTGAAGTGAGGGAGTAGAAAGGGTACGATACGGTGATACTCGACGTGTGTCTGAGGAAAACCATGGAGGAGGAGAAGAGGGGGTTTTGCTGAGTCGATCTTGGCGCGGACAAAAATGGAAACACCATCCGAGGTCTCAATAAATTGGCTAGTAAAGCCTGGCAATAGATCGTGAGCCATTGCTGATTGAGACGATTCTTCGATATGCTGTATTTAAAAAAATGGTAGGATTGATGGGAATGGTTCAACTATCAATTGATCATGAGTTCATGATCTATGTGCGTACGCTATTTGGGTATACCCGAGGCCCTCGGTGGTATCGGTGTGTCCAGATTGGGTCAAACTTCCGTGTTAGTGGAAATCCTGGATAAGACGGTTAACTGCAAGGTCCAAAATTCAAGTTTAAAAAAGAGGTATGCCATTATCTTGGTCTCTATAATCACTACAATCCAATGAAAGAAGGAGGGATGTGTATTCTCTCCGCTAGAACTATATTTAATCTCTCCAGAATTAAAGAGGCAGTATGCAATACTTGTTTGTTTTATGAATCCAGAGCCTTATTGATATGGGTAATAAACTTCCAGTCATGCTCGTAGTGACCACTTCCACTTAAGGCCGTCTGATTATCGAGCATATCATGACAGATATGTAAATAAAGCAATGATTCTTTCCAGAGTTTAACCTTATACATGTTAAGAGGAGGATGTGCTTGGTTCTCTTCTTCCTTATCTAAGCTTCTACTATTATAGTATAGCTTATATATTTCTTATAAAGACTATTATAAGTCCTCTACCTAGTATACAAATAAAGTTATTAGTAGTTAAAAAAAGCTTTAGCCCTTAGTATATAAAAGTAAAGAATATTTTTTTTTTTTTTAAGTTTATAAGTTAGCCTTAAAAGGTATATCTAAATATCTTTAAAATCTAATATAATTTAAATATTAATTATCTTTTAAAAAGCAAAGCTTTATTAAGTTAATATTATTAAGTTAGT